GGGGGGGGGGGGGGGGGGTGTGTTCAAAGTGGAGTTTGAGGCCCCTCTGGTAGAGGGTGGAGGGAGGATCCTTGGGGTTGGGGATCCTCCCTTGGCGAAATTTGAAAATCAATCCCCGATAAGATTGTATTTTTTAGCATGTTTTGTGGTCAATGACCGTAATAATCCTGAGGAAATGTCATATGCCCATCAATCCTACTAATGACGCCAGAAAAAATATGACAGGACAGGGTCATGCTGGTGTTCCAAAGTCAAACGTTAAGGTGGGCTACCGGTTGGACAGTAAACTCTTGGAGGTAAAGCGTAACATTGTGCTTGAAGAATGGGAAAACTTGGGATTCCTTTCCCCGGAAATAACTTGGAGGTAGAGAGGGACCGAAAGCACATGCCGGACTGCTCAAAAGTCGAATTAAATCCGTTTGGTAAAACCTCTTATAGAAGTTCAAATAAGGATCTTGGAGGCTTTGAGTTGTTTTTAATGAGTACCAATTAGTGCCCTTATTGCTGCTTTCAGGCCACCCTTGGGGGGGGGGGGGATTGCCTCCCTCCTTGGGGCTGCCTGACCCTGTCATCATAGACGATGAAAAGACAAGGGAAAAGGATTAGCCACTTAATTTCGACCAACCTGGCCAAAAACTTTTATTTAATCCATTTAAATACTTTCCATTTAAATCCACTTTAATCCATAATTTTTGTGGCCATCTTGGATTCTGAAGGGACTCTGTGGGCTTGGAAAACGCAATGATGATGGGAGTATCTAAAATTTTCAGATTTTTTAAGCCAACAATTTTGGAGTTTTAAGAGCTCAAAATGGGCAAACCCCCCCCCCCCCCCCCCCNGCTAAGTAGCATAACCTGAGGAAAGTTCTCTGAATTTTGTAAGCTGAGGAAACCAAAAGGGGATTTTTTTAACTTTTCGATTGAACCTTAGCATAATCTGGCCTCAGTCTGATGTACAATGGCAAAATGTGGCATTATTCTGGTAATGGAAGTGACACTGAACCGACGTTTACTGTGGCAGTAAGTAGTATAGTCTCCTATCTGTGACCCCATTAGCACATTTACTTACGACTAAATTGAACTAGGCAAATGCAAGCAGGCAGATTTTAAGCAGCAAATTTCTGGTACGGTTTCAAATAGGACCTTCATCTCTTACTGCTGTGCCCACACTTTAGACCTCACTCAGGGTACGGCGTGTTTGTTTACAAGCCCATTAGAGAATGAAGCATTGACTTGTTAGGATTCAACATAAGCTTTTCTTTTTCATCCTAAAAAATCCAGGAATATTAAAATGCATTGGTAAATTAGACTTATCCGATACCATTTTGATCTTCTGTTTACTGAACGCAACTCAGTAACCTCCTGAGCGTTTAGTAGAATCGTTCGGCATTCATAGGTAAACATAGAAGACATTGAGTGATTCAAAAAGAGTCTAACAAGGCTAACCGTTTGGCATCAGGTAATTCTGTTTCTTAAGGCTTCCAAAAAGTTTACTTCAACAACACACCTAAAAGAATGATTAATTGAATAAAAATCTTGGAGTTCCTTACCTAGAAGAAATTTCACTGAAGTTCCCACCGTCCAACAAGCGAACTTTCACAAATAGCACAGCACTGACAAATGGGACAGCAGTTAGCTCCTCCAAACACAGTTCAACTGTAAATTTGTATTTCTTTTTCTTCATCATGAATGCCATGGTCCCCACAGGATTGATAGTTATGGATGCCGTTGTTATTGGATATGAGGGGACTTCATAGGTTAAGATGCATCACTATCGTGCAGCGTTAAAAGCTTTTGAAGACTGTAAAACTAGTTATGAAAAAGTAGGTATTAACTTCACGAAAAAGAGAGAACACTAAGGTGGCGAAAAACAAGAAGATACTAAAATGGTTGTTCTTTGTTCTTCATACTGTCCAGTCTCAAGTGATTTTAGGGACTAGGGTAAGCATAACATAAATGACAGTCATCTGTATCCCATGATGCAAGAGAAGCTCCATATTATTTAAAGAAATATTACTTATTCTGGTGGCAATTCTGATATAATGTGGCAACTTTATTGAGTGGTAAAGTACAAATTATTCGGAGATAATTTAGTGCAAATCATGTACACTGAAACAATAATTTAAAGAGTGTATCATCAGCAGAGTCATCTGAGGTTAACTGAATTTCTTAAACGAAATAATAAACCTAGGATAAGTAGGTTAAAATATCAGCTACCAGGGCTAATTTCTCTAAATGGGACCTTACTTAACGGGAGGAAAAAAGCTTACACACTGCTTCACATGAGTCATTTCGAGGAAGAACCATTAACATTATGTTTGCGACTAGCAAATATTCTAAGCTATAACGTCATTCATCAAGAACCATTGGGCTCCAGTTATTAGGTCGCTCTTTTATCATCTCATCTAAGACTGACGGCATCCCTACCCAACATTTATTACTGTTTTCAAAGGGTGTCTTCCTTACCATACCCTCCAACCTACTTTCTTACGACAAGAGTACGCAGCAATACAGTATTCTAGGTTAGTTTTGAGAACAACTCGTTGCCTGCGCCACAGTCAATTATTGACAACAATAAAAAACTAGATTGTGTCCATAAAAACTGACATTACTGAGAGCTAAAGCGTGAGAGCAAATGAATTTAAGGAAGCAAATCGATTGAAAGTTCTCTGCTCCTTAACGCTTCAAGATAATCCAGCGAGAGCAAGAATCACACTGCAGATGTGACACGCTACAATTACAGGTTCCCTCTTGTTGAGCTTGAGCATTTTCCAATTACGAGGAAAAAACAAAAAATCAAAGCTCTGAGAAAACTTGGGTTCTCATGGATACATGACTGAGACTGACCAGAACAACCGAGAACAAACCAAGGTAGTAATAATCTAAGTACTTTGAATGATAACACAGTGCTTCTCAGTGATCTAACTATTTCACTGGTTTCGATGACCAAGATAATAACCGATGGTTCAGATAAGTCTGGTGAATTAAGGAGATGAAACTAAACAGATGCATTTTAGGTTTCACGCGGGGACTAACGACCGACAGGCACGAAATGCGAAAGTTTTATCACTTCAAGCACTGAACCACTATCACAGAATCAAGTATGTACATATGCGTGCGGATTCGACTCGAAACACTGAGAATACACGAGCACCGACTGAAATAAATCGAATTATTCCGATGTAAAATCGGTCCCTTTTAAAACTGGTAAAAAAGCATTCGATCTAATCTAATCTGCGCGATGGCAGTGAAAGTTAAAAATTTACAACACAAGCACAAGTGATTGATAGAAAATTTTCTCACTTTGACAGGAAGAGAAGACGAGTCAGATGCTCAGATTTTTTTTTTTTTTTTTTTTTTTTTTTGAGAGCTAGATAGACAGGAGAATTTTAGAAGAAGCAACAACAAGGAGAGAGGTGTCAAGATGTAGCGGCCATTTTGCGTGTCATTTGATGACGTCATAAGATACTACCCCCCGATACTGATTGCTGATAAAAAAGAAGCAAATAAAATAGAATTCTTCGTGTTGTTTTTTTGTGATGTAACACTAATATTTGTGTTGTGTATTTTATGTAGCTCCTCTAAATTTTAGCGTTTATCTCTCCTTGGAGCATTGTTCTGTGATATTACCGCGTTAAGTGATGGAGAATGTAAAAGATAACAACAGAATCTTTTCAGGGATCAAATTTGGATTATTTATGTAGATGCTCATTCATACAAAACTGACTCCGATCATATTTTCATTTTACGACGGAGCTATGACAGTCAATTTCCATTCAGTTGACGACAAATTTAATCCTCAGTTCTTTAGTCCAAAATTCACTGTCAGTTTTATTTCTACGAAATAGTCTTATTGGCTTTTTTGCTTGCGTTCCATCATGGGTAATCAACTGGTCGGAATAGCTCCGTCCCAAATATTCCCCGTCGAGCATTACTTCACAGATTTAGCATCTCTTCAGTTCGATATTAAGTAAGTTTATTTCATCTTTTGTAGTGTCTATATCTCCAAGTATACTGTGGTAATGTAACTCATGAGCTGTCATGTTGCTACATGCCGAAGAGGATTGCAAATCTGACGCTAAGTCTTACATACATGGTTCTGCAAATGCACATGGGTGCAGAAAGTGCTCGATCGGCCAATTGCGGTGCAAATGTGAAGGCTCCTGTAAAGGGTTATAAATATGTGAAGGCAGAAGGTGTAAACCAGCTAAGCGCAAAGCTTTTCGCATAGGAAACCATGTAATGTGCTCTCCTATGCAAAGAAAATAGTAAAGCGCACCCTGTTATGTGAAAGAAATAGTGAAGTGCATTCCTTTATGCAGAGGCAGAGCCAGATTTAGGTTTGTGCCGCCCTCCCCCCCCCCCAAATATATGGTGATGGACTGTGATCCGATACCCAGGGATTTTTCAGGCAATCTAGGGATTTTTTTGATGAAATAAAAGTAAGTGAAAATCGACTTTTTTACCCTCAATTTTACCTTCCACTCAATAAAAGTATTTTTCATCTATACATTGTAGGCCTTATTAGCAACACTATTTTTCCTCGATAATAGGCCAGAACATGTAATGATTGTGTCACTCGATATACTTGACAGCTCAATGGAATAGGGGGAAAAAAAAAATATAATAAAATATAACAAAACCTCCTCAACTAAAATTCTTTCATTTTATTGGTCCGTTCAACGCTCCAGAGGGCGGCAAAATTCAAAGAAGCCAATCAGATTCAAATATTTCAAATCGGCTTTTCGAATGATGTCATTATTCTACGTTGAAAATGGCAGTGTTTTGCAATGTCTCGGGATTTTTTGGGAATATTTGAGCAAATCTGGGGATTTTTTTCTTTCCGGCTGAGGATTTTATAACAGATCAATAATATAATATCTTACTCTTGATCAATTGAATATCTTATTGATTCATGCGATGCCGATGTGCACGAAACATAAGTTTCGTCAACATGGCAAAAGCGCAATCTGATTCTGCGATAGTGAGAAGGATGCGCATCTGTACAGGAAAGTGTTGCAAACAAATATTTATGGAGGAGGAATTGACTCTTCAAGGAACAAGGATTTATGACTTGTAAAAGGCGAACATAAAACATGAACTCCTTTTTTTCTGTTAAAAAAAAAAAAAAATCCANCCCCCCCCCCCCCCCCCCCCCCCCATAAATCCGGCTGTGCAGGGGGAACAGTTATGCGGGCAAGTCTTATGTGGACAGCAATGTGCGGGCAACCTCAAAAAATGCAAAGGCTGCCTCCAAGAATGTGAAGACGGAGAACTCTTTGCACCCTTGCAAATGCATAAAAATCATTCGAAGTACTAGGTGTCCCTCGGAACTATAAGTTTGTGGTTTTTATTCACACCAAAAATATTTTGGCTGGTGACCCTATGTTGGTTTGCTGGAATTTGTATGCAAATTATCAGATATCAATACCAAACCTTGGCAGTTTTTGACTTTTTGCCCCAACAAAGAGTGATAGTCACTGCTTATGAGTCCAAAGAATCGATCCCCGGAAGAAGTGCAAAATTCAGAGAAATTAAAGTAAGTATGCCTACTGTCACATAATTGCAAACTTCGCTGCTCCCACTCTCTGTAGCTTGAATTAGCTCCCTGGCCCCACCTTCCATTTGCTCACTATTCATGATAATTCATGAGAAAAAGTGATTGAAGTAAGCTCTAAACAGTCTGTTCTTTTTCTCCTTAGCCTCGGCAGCACGCGGTTCTTCAAAGTGGCTCGTGCGAAGTCTCAGGAAGGTCTCATAGTTGTGAAAGTTTTTGCTATCCATGATCCGTCCCTACCTTTAGCTTCATATCGCAATCGCATCGAGGAAGTGAGAATAAAATTGGCCTCCGCTGTGAATTGCCTAGCATTCCAAAGAACCATGGTGCGTATTTATTGCTTCCCTTTTTTCTTAACTGTAATTTCTTTTATGAACCAACCCACATGACAGTCCTTCTTATAGGTATCAGCTAATCTAGGTGATCATTCAACGGATCTGTCTTTCTTTGCTTGAATTTTTTATGCCTGAACTTAGTATCTCGTACCCATCTAAGTAACTGAAGACTCCTGTCTTGGAAATGTACTTGAAAGTCCTAACATGAGTAAGGGTGCTGATTTTTGAGTAAACAGCAATTTTAGACAAATGGTTTGATTTTTTCCGAAAATCACCACATTTTGATAGTTTGTGAAAAGAACTGTGTCTGCTGTAAATCTTTTCCCCCTTTTTTAAGACTCTAAGTACGAGTCATCTTTACTCTCGTGGTGATGCAATTGCTGCTTTCCAAATTTGGACTGATACTTAAAGGATCATTTGGAAAAAGAGCATGCATGCATTTAACACTGCTGAGATTGCGCATATTTTATTTGATTTTTTTGTCAATCAAAGGCCTTTATTGTCATACATTCACCCTCTAGATTATTCTGATTTCATGAGTTGATTTTCCTGAATAGTTTGTGCAGAGTTAAGTGAATTTTTATTGAAGTAAATAAACAACGAATTTGTACAATCCTGGCAGTAACGGTGGACGTGCGTCCATCTCTCGAGTGGTCCTTCATTTAACAGAAATTATTTGATTATTAGGTAATGATCCTATGACTTCTCAGACTCAATACCAAATCAGCCCCTAAAAGTCGATGGGATTTTTCCTGTCAGCTATATCTAGAAATTAAATTACATAACGTCTGGAAATGATTTACTTGTAATGGCTGCCTGTAGTAATAAGCACTCACTCTGCATGTTGGGGGATTTTAAAGGGAAAATCGTTTTGTTTGCCTTCCCGAATTAAAAGTGGCATGTGTATTAATGGCAAAAAGTAGCTCAATGCATGTATATATCTCTCTATCAATTTTGATGACAAACTTCATTTTCAGTTAACTGAGAAAGCTGGATATTTAATGAGGGAATATGTCAAGTATAGTTTATACGATCGCATCAGCACTCGTCCATTCTTGGTTCCAATAGAGAAAAAATGGATCGCCTTTCAAATACTTTATGCTCTTCATCAGTGCCACAAAGTAGGGGTAAGTATTTTTCAATCAGTCAGCCATAAATTTACTGGTCATTAGAGTCATCATGATGTGTAACTTATTATTTCTTCCTTCCAGAATGGAACTTCATCTCTTCAATGAAGGATTGTCAAAAAAAAAGAGAAAAAAAAAGAAAGAAAAAAAAAAATAGTAACTAGATACCTTTCATGTGGAGTCATGGCAATTAAAACATTCTTATTACATTTTGCATTCATCATATAAAAGATTGGTTTAAAATTGAAAAAATTATTGTCGGCCAATGTCAATAGCTCTTCAGTATAAAAATATCAAGAGAGATTGGGTTGAAAAATTTAGTAGAAATTTTTAAGCAGCAGTTCTTAACCGGTAGTCTGCAAATCCGGTAGTGCTTCTGTAATGAAAGTAACGGTTAAGAGGAAATCTTCCTTTAATAGTAAAAGTCAAATTTTAAAAAAAAAACCATTAAAAAAAATTCATTTGTCTTTGTTGGTGGTTAGCAGACTCTTCTTTTGGCCTAAAAGTAGTCTGCGGCTAATAAAAGGTTAAAAGCCGCTGTTCTAAAGACTTTTCCAATGTAAAACTATTGCGAAAGTTAAATGCTTAGTATATTAGTTCCATATCAAAATGAAGATGTAAATCTATAATTCAAGATTCCAATGTCAGCTTTTAGCTGGTCCAGTGTTCAAACTATTATTTCTTCAATTTATGTAAAGTTTTCGTTCTAATGCAGTTATTTCAAACCTGCAAATCTCAATCAGAGATTCTCTGTTCTCATGAATGAATAAGTATACAACTTAAACCTCAAGTTCAATGTCTAAATATATATGCATTTTGTGTGTTTTCTTTACAATGTCACACTTTTGAACAATTCGTAAAAAGTTGATAAGAGCTCATTTTCAAAGTAACATGTATTTATTTTTGCTCATTAGTAAATGATGAATGTTTTCATTTTTGTTTGGACTAGGTATGTCATGGAGATATCAAGCTTGAAAATATTCTAGTTACTTCGTGGCACTGGGTTCTTTTGTCAGATTTTGCATCGTACAAACCAACATTCTTGCCAGATGATAATCCTGCTGACTTTTCCTATTTTTTTGACACATCTAGGAGAAGAACATGTTATATTGCGCCTGAAAGGTATTGTTTATTTTTGCTAAAGGCAAGTCTTCTTTTACTTATGTACTCGCTGTAAAATATTAGTAATGATTTGTGATAAATATCAAATAATAAAGAATCTGACAAGACATAACTTTCAATGATTTTGGGGGAAAAACACCAAAATATGATAAATATTTTCAAATTTTATTTTTTCACCAAGTTACTCTTTCGATGATTCTGTTATCTTTTTAAGATGAATCCAGGCTTGAAACTTTGCGATTTGGCCACCACGTCGCGCTGCTCAGAATAACCGTCTATATTTGCCAAAATAATAAAAACCGTAATACTTATTCAAGATTGGAGATCCAGGGGATATAGCAACGTACTTGAGGAACACTCAGTAAAAAAATCAAAATTCCCAAAAATAAAGTCTTAACTACGGCGGAAAGTAATTCTCATCGCGGCAATGGGAAAGAGAGAGACAGAAAATGAAGGATTCCGTTGCGCGCTCGGCCGCCGCCGCTGAACTGAAAGTTTCAGCCGTACTTTCTCTGCGCTTGTAATACTAATTGCCAATATTTTTGGCTTAAAAAATCAAACAAAAAATAATCTATATCTTGTGGATCTGCTTTTTGTAATTTAAGGAATATTATTTCAGTAAATGTCAAAGAAAAGTGAAATTTTCAGTGGTGACTGGTGGCGCTATCTCTAATCTTGAATTATCCCTAATCGAACCCTGGATTCACCTTAACCAGCGAAAAGATTCTTTTTCTGTGAAAGGGAAATTTTTTAAATATTATTCCTTCCTTTCTTTTATCATAGGTTTTTACGTAGTATGGGTGGTGCAGAGACTGGAGGTCAGTTACTTTTTACTGAAGAAAATGTCAGCTCAAGTGACTTAACTCCTGCAATGGACATATTCTCAACTGGGTAAGTCAGAATTTTTTTTTTTTTTCAAATGTTTACTGAGCTCTGTTTCTCTGAGGGAAAATGAGCCAATAAGGGGAATCTTAACTTTCAAGGGTTCTTTTGCCAAAATCTACTTTCATCCCTCATGCAAACTACTTTTGACTGACAGAATTACAATTTTCTTTCTTTCTTTTTTTTTTCCTACTTCAAATAACCCACAAGGGCTAATCCTTGCGCTTTAGTCCCATCCCCCTCTGTCCCTACATCCAGTCCCAGGCAACCATTGTTTGAAAGCATCAAATTCTGGTCGCCTGCCCGGGAATCGCCTGAAAAAGAAAACTTGATTTGAAACGAAGACTATTCTAAAAATTTAAGAAGAATAAGAATAATCCCTTGTTAAAGACTAATGTTCTTAGAATAAGACAAACAATTTGATAACAATTCATAAAGAGTTTTGTCTGTGTCGGTAGCTGTGATAAAGAGAGTCATTTTAATGATGCGATTGATCTAGCTGAATTAAGCATGGATTTCAAAAGAAGTGCTTCTAACATTAAGCATGAAAAAATTACTATCATTCATTGAGTATCCTATTGTTCACTTTAAATTGATTCCATGAAAGGGTGAGTCTATTTAGCAAGAAAGACGTATCATTAGAAAATAATGGAATCTCCCCTTACAAATCAAGACTTGGGGGTTTTTCACTGCATAAATCAATCTGCTGCTTCAGTCTTTAGCCATGACAGCAATATTCCTCCAATGAATTTTTCAAATTCTCCGTGTCTACATGTGACTCCTTTCATTGGTATCCAGTCACTCCTGTTGAACTTAGTTTCAAAATACTCCATGAAGTTATTTCTCTTATTACTAAAGCAGCACAAAATTAAAGCAGCATCAACTCATAGATTTGTTGCTTTTATTTATCAGTATAAAGAATCTAGGTATTCAGATTTCAGATGAGAGCATAAATGAGATAAAATTATCCATGATTTCTTTGTCCTATTTCTGAATGGTGCTTTCTAATAGAATTTTTATTGGATTGTGAGTACATACTCTCCTTTTCTCTTTCTTTTTTTTTCNCCGGGCTTATGGAAAACATACACTTAAACTAACTCCTGCCGGGCTTATGAAAAACTGAAAAACTTAAATTAACTTCTGCCGGGCTTATGGAAAACATACACTTAAACTAACTCCTGCCGGGCTTATGAAAAACTGAAAAACTTAAATTAACTTCTGCCGGGCTTATGGAAAACATACACTTAAACTAACTCCTGCCGGGCTTATGAAAAACTGAAAAACTTAAATTAACTTCTGCCGGGCTTATGGAAAACATACACTTAAACTAACTCCTGCCGGGCTTATGAAAAACTGAAAAACTTAACTTAACTTCTGCCGGGCTTATGGAAAACATACACTTAAACTAACTTCTGCCGGGTTTACGAAAAACTGAAGATAAAAAAAAATGACTCAAAGGAGTAGGGCTCGCGGTACCGGATCGTTTAATTTAAAAAAGACTTGCTTTTTACCCGGCGCATCCGCCATGTAAAAGCGTAAGGGATGGGGAAATAGCCTAACTCGCGATGAGACTAGAAAGCACTAAGGTGGCGATCACCGGCAAGTACGCATGTATGCAACACTGACCCCTCGCTGGCCGCTTGGCCGCCGCTATATAGTAATGCCCAAAAGATGTAACCCTGGCGCGGCACGCGCCAACCGAAGCACCTATCTGCGATCACCTCGGAAATACGCGATCTCTCACGTATGTCCGAGGTGCTCCTAACAGAGGCGTACTCTCAAGGTAGAGTACGTCTCTGCTACATTACTAAAGCAGCACAAAATTAAAGCAGCATCAACTCATAGATTTGTTGCTTTTATTTATCAGTATAAAGAATCTAGGTATTCAGATTTCAGATGAGAGCATAAATGAGATAAAATTATCCATGATTTCTTTGTCCTATTTCTGAATGGTGCTTTCTAATAGAATTTTTATTGGATTGTGAGTACATACTCTCCTTTTCTCTTTCTTTTTTTTTCTTCTTTCTTACATGGGAAAAAAGGCTAATTCCTCCATTTGTTACAGTCATTTAGTTGGTGTAATTAAATCTGTTTGTTGCTGCAATATAAATACTTTAAGCTGACCCTAGCCTCTCCTTTAAGAGCTGAATCATCATTTTTCATCCACTGCCTCTCTCTCTTCTATGTTGCATCAGTTGCAAAGCATTTAAAAGTGTGCAAAATTTTGATTCTGAAATTTTTTATTCACAGGTGTGCTTTAGCTGAATTATTTTCTGATGGTGCTCAACCAACATTCGATCTTTCACAGTTACTTTCATATAGAGCGGGTGACCTATCATTAGATCCAATAATTAATAAGTTAGAGGATCCTGCTGCCAAAGTAAGTTCCTAGATACTTTAAATTTTGTACATTAATTGGAATCTAAGTGAAAAGCAGTCCTAACTGAGAACTTTTACCTCTGCAGCAGATAAATGGTGAGTGTGGATATTCTGAAAAGGACCACCCATAAAGTCTCATTTGACACAAAAGTCTCCGATAAAAACGTGATAGGGATATATTTTTTAAAACATACCAATTCCTTGTAGCTCATTATTTCTCATTCAAAGGAATAATATGGGACAACGTCAGTATTAAATGAAAATTAATGAATTTTGAAGCAACAAAACACAGGGAGGAAAAGAAAATAACTTCTGCTATCCCTTTTAATCAAATTTCCTGATTTTTGTCAATAATGATGACCTAAACTGGTTTGCAAATGTTTTAGGAGTTAGTGCGTGCAATGTTGCACATGGATCCATCTCAACGATGTTCTGCCGAGCATTACCTAGACCAAGAAAGAGGTCGACTTTTTCCTGAATACTTTTACTCTTTTCTCCAATCATATATGCTCATTTTCTCCTCAACGTCTCCCATCCTCTCACCTGACGAGAAAATTGAAAGGTAAGAATGTAGTGCTGATGAAAATATGGTGATTATAGTTTGTACAGTGATGTGTCAAAAGTTAACTTTTGTTTCATGCTTAATTTTTTCTTTGGGGGGGGGGGAGGAGGGAAGGAGGTTTACAGCATTCAATCCTCTGTTCAATTGTGCTCATTAATGGAGGAAAATGTCCCTGTTGCAAAGAAATGAGCTTGACTCTCCAACTGTATAAGTTTAATATTCCACGTAATGCAATGAAAAAAATAACAGAGATGTGCTGTCTGTGACAAAGATCTTATGACAAGCAATGATATTAGTCTAAAAGAGCCATAGAAATATGTATGGGGGGGCTGAAAGCTACTTTCCCCTGTTAAACTGAGCTCATTCTATGATTCATTACATTTTACGGAAAGTCTACAGCAACTAACCTCAACTTTTTCAGTATTTTGGCAAGGTATTGACCATAATTTTTTTTTCAGACTGAAAAAGGATGTGAAAAACATAGTTAACTTGTTGAAAGTTGCGGAAGGAGAAAATGTGAACTCATCACCAGCAGATATGAAAGGCACAGGCCCAGATTCTTTAGTTCTCATCACTTCACTAGTCACATCTTGCATTCGGTAAGGATTATTGACACTATTTTTCTTACTGCAAATAGGTCCAGTCAGGGATTATGGGTTGGGTTAGCAGACAACTTCAAGGGTGCAAGAAATCTCAAGGCTTACGGTCAGTGTATGCACCCATAAGCCTGAGGCCTCTACTCTAAAATCGAACTGTTTGTTATCTCACAGCAGGTACAGTCGCACTAGAGAGAGTCAAAGCCTGTCCGCGACCACAACAGCGACTCAGAATAACAAAGACAAACTGCAAAATTACTCAAATCCACCTAGGTGAAACTCTTGAATCTTTTTTTATGACTTTTCTGGAGCAAAATGGACCTCTGTGTCGAAAAGTGAAAAGTTGAATTATCAACCTTTTTGCATATAGGAGTATTTTATGAAAATTTTTGTACAGAAAAAGCCTAAAAATCTGCGACAAAATGGAGGTATGATGGGTCGAAGTTAATTTCTCAGAAAGCATTATTTTAAGGAAAAGCGATCCCAAGTTTCAATATACCAAGTTAAAGGCTCAAAATATCTGGACCCTAATTATATTTTCAACTAAAATTGACACTAAAGTCATCTGAATTGATGACAGTTTATCTCTTGGATTACTTCAGAGTATTTTTTATGAAACTTAAATTATGTTTCTTCAACCTATCTTGCTAAAAATTGCTTTCCTGAAAATTTGCTTGCGTCCATTAGGGTCTCTTATCCTGTCGGCAGTCAGACACTTATTTCTTATAGCTATTTACCTGATTAGTTGTCATTAATAACAGAAAAATTGTAAGAAATGCCACATTTTATTTTCTTCTAAGCAGCGGTGATGTACTTTGAATAGCTTTTGATGAAATTGTGTAAACTAATGTTTAACCAGAATCACCGGAACTAAATCAGACGTAGTCTAATTTCTTTGCATATTTCAGTTTTTCAACAGGAGATTTATCATTATTCTGACTTGAGATTTTGTGACTACTTACATTGTTTACACAAGCTAGAGTACAATTGTAGAAAGTTTTGAGGCATTATATTATTCGGTCCTCTCCTAAGAAAAGAAACTTAGAGGAAATTAGCAAACTTTAAATAAAGTTAGGCTGATTCTGGTTGAATCTGTACCAGTTGGCAACACTGTTTTTCCTCAATTTGCATTCATTAAAAGTATCAATGTGAGGTGAAGAAAGCTATCCTACCCTAAATAGATTATTTTACATGCATTTAAATGGAGGGAAAACATTGTTGCTAACTTTCACAAATCGCCACTGATCCGTCTATGTGTGTATTTCACTTTGTTTTTATTTTGTGTTCTTCCATTTTTATTCCTATCAGGGGTTTACATCTGTCCACATCAAAGCTGCAGGCACTGGATGTTCTGCTAGAACTCTCACATCATGTCGCAGCAGAAACCATACTAGATAGAATAATTCCATACGTGGTGAGCATTTAGTTTTAGTGATTGTTTTTGACAGGGTTTTAGAAGTTTCCAGACTCCTCTCCCTCTAGTTTAAAGGTCTTTTCAAGGTAATTTATTACAAAATCGAGCTACAAGCCAAAAATAAAATAAACAAATAATATTTTAAACTACATTTAGATGAAAAATAATATAAAACTTACAAGAAACAAAGCAAACGATTTTTTAATCAATTACCATGTTCTATACAGCTTAGCCAGCCAAATTTGGCATTAAAAAGGTCTTTTCAAGCTTGGTCTCTCTTCTTTAAAGAAAAAAGCCTACCTATGAAGCGTCTGAAGGGTTCAGAAAGTCTAAAGAAGCTGATAAATTGTCTTGATCCTTTCCCCTCGTAGCCATATCGAAGGTGAAGCTATAGAAATACAGTTTTACACATTTTAGACTTCTATGATACTTCATTGATTCCTACAAAACTGCCCAACGTCATTTTTTCAAAACTTCGGTGATTTTTCTTCTCTGTGTGAAGAACATTCTGTGAAAATTTCAAGCCATGACTTTGGTTTTGTCTCCTTTCAAAGAATTAATAGCAGCAAAAGTTTTGAGACACAGCAACCAATATGTGTGTTTCTGCAGTTTCACCGTCAATATACCATTTAAAATACCTTGATTTTCTCGAATTTTTTGCCGAAAATTTTCAAGTGAAAGAAAAAAAAAAAAACAAAAAAAGCTATTGCTTTTTAACATCTCCTCAAATCACTTGCCAGGCTTCTTGGTCATGCAATTCAGGGACTGCTAGATGAGACCTGCATCCCTGGCATATTAGGACAGATACTGTTCCTTTGAATCTAATTTAAATGTGAGGCTGCATCCAAATCATTTTTCAGAAATAATGTGTCAAAAGCTTTTTTAAAGCAAACTAATTTTTCAGTAGTCTCCCTTTAAAGTTTTCCTTCCTTACCCTTTCAGTTTCACTTAGTCAATGACCCGTGTCCTCGTGTCAGAGTGTCTGCAATTCTCACGCTTAATAAGAGCTTAGCCCTAGTCGAATCTCCACCTTTGAGCGATGTCAACATATTTCCTGAGTATGTCCTGCCTGGACTATCATCTGTGAGTATTAGCACAAGTTTAAGTTTCTTATTGTCGTCCTCTCTATTTCCTTATGTGCAAGGCAGATTAAAATGAGGCAAATTCTCATCGATTGCACTGAAAATCATAGAATCACTTGAAAACTGCATGAGTCTCAGAGGAACTATGATGTAACTTTGCTTGACGTAAGCTATAATTTCAGCATACCTTTTAGCCTCTGCTTGCAGTGAGCATCGTGACATCAGGCTATTGAAAGCAGTACATACTTACTATCCAGGGACTAGCCAAACTAATGGCAGTAATCACCACTTTAACTCTCTCTTAAAATTGCCTTTACGTAGTGAATGGGCTTTTTTTTTTTTACATACTTTTTGTTATTCATTGATGTGAAGAGCTTTAATTCTCCTAGCTTTCAGCATGCACCAGTCGTGCCAAGAAGCAATCACAGTATTTCAAATACATGCAAGATGATGAATGTTCTTCCGATATTTTGAATTTTTTTTCATATCTACTATGTACAAAAACAATTCTCAATGTATCCAAAATATACACATTTCCTTTAGAGTAAAACTGTAACAAAAAAGTTTTAACCCAAATCTTTTGAGGTTCCTTTGCTCGGTGTTATGTAGTTTCCTCATTCTTACTTTGGAAAAATCATGCCAAGACTTCTCTCAAATGCACTCTGTCTTTTTTTTTTTACCAAACTGAAGCAATGGTACTTAAAAGCTAGAAATGTTCCTTTTTGCAGTCTATTCAATATTAAATTTTCCAAAATCCTTCCAGGTTGCCCGCGATGAAGCAGTTATTGTCAGGACAGCCTACGCTGAAACTATAGCTCAATTTGCAGAGACTGCGTTAAGGTAATTTTTTGTCTCTAGTTCCTCTGCAGTGAATCCTAGCAGCTATATGTGAAGATTCAATGTTGAATTCATTTCCTGATAATAATTTGTAGGATGATTAAGATGCTCTGAGCAGCCATTGCATTTGTGTGTCCCTCACCTCTTTTAAATAGTTTCTAATTTCTTTTCATTTAAAAACTAGAGTAAGCAAGTGTTCACTTATTGCGTCTGATGCAGAGCTCCGGAGGATATGAGAAGAGAGCAAAAGACAGAATTTGCCACCTACAACTCTCATTGTTTGTGCAGCCTCTTTAAGGTTTGGGGGAAACCCTTTACAGTGAGTCGACTTCGGTTCAGTTTGGTCAAAAGCTTCGCTCACCAAAAAACTTGCAGAAAAGGATCCAAAACTTTATCTGCGAAGTTCTCTTCAGTGAAACAGAACCTCTCTCTCTGATTGAAACAATGGAGCTATGGGAGGAGGAAAGGGTTTCTTCACCCTTGAGGCCTGCCTGGCTTGACCTTGAGGTTTGCATACGTATCTCTGCAACAAGGCTGCTTTCAGCCAAGGTTTTCCTTGATCCTCTGCTCTTGAGGCTTGCAATTAGTCTGATGTCAATCCACTTACAACTTTCATTTTGAGTCAACAAGAGTATAGAAATCTGAGGATTCCCCTCAATTATTACCGAAGTAACTTTGACTTCTTGTCTAATAATTTTGGAAAATTAAGTTGAACTCAAAGCCACCAAATTCTGTAAGGAAGGTCATTAAAAATCTCTTTTTTTCTCAAAAAAGCTCACTGATTCTCTCCGATGATTGAAGCAGGTTCTCATAATAATAATAATGAAGGGTAAAATTTACCATGTAGAAACTTTTTCCCAAGCATTTTGTATTTTAGGGTAAAAAAAGCGCTTATAGGCATGAGTTATTTTGTCAATTTTTTCCCCCTTTTTTTTTATCTATTTGTGTATGAAATGCAGTACAGTGTATATTAATGCCAAGCCATATGGTTGATTTTATGTATAATCTCCTATTAGTGTTCTTAATATTTTCACTAACCCATCCTCCTTTTTTTGCAGGTATCTTGAAAGATGTCATACGAATCTCCTTCCCAACGAAACTACTCGTCATAACTACGAAAGTGAATATGCAACTCTGCATGAAATGATACAATTGGCTGTCGCAACACTTCTTACTGATTCTCAAAATATAGTGAAACAAACGCTCATCGAGAATGGTATCACAAAACTGTGTGCCTTTTTTGGGAAACAGAAGGCCAACGATATCATTTTGTCTCACATGATCACATTTCTAAACGATAAAGGAGATCGGCAATTGAGAGGCTCGTTTTTTGATTGCATCGTTGGGGTAGCATCATATATTGGCATTCAAAGTTCACCCATTCTCTGTCCTCTTTTACAGCAGGTATTATTCCCTCCTATTATTTATGAATTTACATGAGGGGCTGAAAAGTAGGATTAATGGTATTTACTGTACCTGAGTGTACAGCAAAGAAAGAACAGAATCCATCAGCGGAGTAAACCTTGGCTGACAATGGATAAATGTACTAAACGCATTTGTAAGGGTATGACAACTTAGCAGCTGATTCAAAATTATTTATATAAAATTTCTCACACAATGAGGTGTTCAAAAATTAACTTCTTAAGATATTAATATTTATAATCAACATTTTTAAACAACAATGGTGTCACGTATATAACCTGTGTTTTATTCGACTAGTGTTAACTGTACATTTTTCCCTCTAATTCAGAAGTTGGCTTTTGTTCTTCCCGTTTCGTGGATCACTTTCTGCATGAAATTTTGAACAAAACAAACAATTTGGTGCTTCAGTTCAAACCATGTCCAATGGCTCATTATGATCAAAATGGTTGTAAAAAGAATCTCCTCAAATTAATAACGAAACTCAACCAGTTTCCTCAATTTCATACATCCGTCTTACTTTCTCTATCAGGTATTTTGGCTCCAAGAGATGCACTTCAAATTGCCTCGAATCTGATTGATATAATGAATCATGAAGTATGATTACTGAAGAGAGTTTTTGCCCAAAGAAGAAAAAGAAATAAAAAACAAAGAGTATCATTTAAGAAAAACAGTACTCTGGAATGTAATAGAGTCTTTATTACTTTTCCTTAGTCTAGTGTTAAATTACTCTGAGTAAAGTTCCAACTTTTAGATATGCATCTACAAATTTATTTCCTACAAAATGTTCAGAACTATCAATTTTGTATTTTTCTGGTATGTGGCCCTATGTTCTGTTGAATAAAACCCTTTTTTCATTTCTGGAAGGAAGAGGAAGGTAATTTGTTTTATTGATCTGTTTCAGGGTTTGACAGACGCAGAAGAGTTTGTTGTTGTAAAAGCAATAAATGCAATGACTGCATTAACCAAACTGAACTTATTATACAAGACGCACCAGTATGAACTTATTGGAGATACTGCATGTTTCCTTGTTCACCCTAACCTCTGGATTCGCTTAGCTGTCGTATCTTTTATTAGTGCTTTAGGTCGATCATTAAACATGGTTGATGTGCAATGCAAGGTTGTCTCGGCAATGAATCCTTACCTCAGGCATAGCATTATTCAAGTTGATCGAGAGGTCTTAGTTTTAAATGCACTGAAATCACCCATTCCCCGCTCCATTTATAATAGTATTCTTAAATGTTCACAAATTGATATGTTTTTAGAAACACTCCATGAGAGACAAAAAGCTCGTCAACTGGCAAGCTCTGGACACATCCCATCGCCTTCCTCAACAAATCAAAGCAGAAACCTGTCCAGTTGTAAACATCTGTTTCGAAACTTAGCTGCAGAAGGTATGACAGAGGATGTTGAAGACATGCTTGTGTCCATGGATAAACATCTTGATAAGATTCACCGGCACACAGTAGAACAAAAAAATCAAAACACTGGCGTTATTGATCTGATCAACGTTCCTCATCCACAACTTAGGTCAATCTCTCTTTCCAGGCTTGATCCCAAAACGGATTCCTCTTCGATATCATTTCCTCGCAAGAGGGTCGTAGATGATTATAGCAGCACAATGAATGAGGAGTGGCAGCACATGTTCGGCATTGCAGATATGTCTTTGAAGCCAAATAGCACATTAAGTAGTATTTCTCCATCTGAGCTGAGCTCTGCTGAAAGCCAACTACCTCCTAGAAGTCTGGATTTTGATTACAGTCTTCCGGAAAGGTCATATATCCAATACCGTTGTGCTCCTTGTCGATTAGAATTGCGTCATTTGATTGCTCGCAGGCAAGAACTTCATTTGGTCTCTTGTCGGAATCAAGAAAGCGGACATGTCAACGATTCATGGAATACCGTCACTCCACCCCCTGGTTATAGGTTGCGAGGAACATTAGTGGCACACTTGTATGAGCACAAAGCTTCGGTTAATCGCATGGTAACGTTCCCAAATTCACCTTTATTTGCCAGCTGTTCAGCTGATGGATCGATTCGATTGTGGGATGCTGTAAAAATGGAAGGACGCAACATTGCTAACAGATCTCGGCAAGTGTTCAACAGTCATTATGGTCCATTAGTAGGCTTAAGTCTGTGCCATCATGGTCATTCGTTAGCAACGACTAGCCTCTCAGGCTCAGTAGTGGTCATTAAAGTAGATCCTCATAGTAGTAAAATGAGCATTCTACAGAGCAGACAGCTTGACATGCAAGAGGAAGGAAGTGCTGTAGATATTGCTCAGTTCGATTCTGGTTCACAGTCAGTATTAGTCTACGCGACAATGTACGGGAGTATTATTGGCTGGGATCTTCGAGCACCAGGAGTAGCTTGGAAGTTAGAAAACGACCTGAAGCAAGGCGTAATAACAACCATGTGTGTGGACTCCAAGCAGTGTTGTCTCACGCTTGGAACAAGCAGCGGTTACCATACTTGTTGGGACTTGCGCTTTCGGCTTCCAGTCGCAACAGTAACTCACCCAGCAAACGCAAGGGTAAGAAGGATGATCAAACACCCGCTGCACTCTTCGTGGATTATATCTGCAGTTCAAAGTAACAATGAAGTTTCTATGTGGAATTTAGAAAGTGGTTTTCGGCAGGCTGTCCTCTGGGCTAGCACGGCACCGCCATTGTCCAATTCTCAAATGAATCCACACAGTGTATGCACGCTTCTCGCGCCTAATTTTACTCAGTCTCCGTTCCTCCTCACTGGTGGCTCTGACCAGCGAGTCCGATACTGGGGCTTGGATAACCTAAGTGACTCATATTTAGCCATTCCAGCTGCAAGTGATGTACCTGGCCAAACAAATTTATCATATAAATGTAGATTTATCGATGGCACAAACGTTGTCCAAGAAACACCCATCAAACCTAGAACATCGAGTACTTCTAAAGGAACCAATATTGAAGAGGCACCTAGAGCAGGACCAGACTATCCACCTGCTGGCCATCAAGATGCTATCACAGATATGGTCATGGTGCAAGCATCTCAATGCTTACTTGTAACGGGCTCAAGAGATGGTGTGATAAAAGTGTGGAAATAACTTTTATTTTCAATCCCATAGATCAAATTTCTGTTTCTGGCAGTTTAAACATGTCGAAACCTGCCAACGTGATCTGCTATGCAGTACCAAAACTTGGTGAAAAGTTTGCAGAATGAAGCAGGTGCATAAGCCTCTTTTGATGAAGTTTATGAGTGCCTTTTTCCCCAAATGGAATTGACTACCAAAGAGTGAGAGGGGGTAGAGAGAGACAGAGAGAAAGAGAAATGTATCTATTCTCATCGGAACTGACTGGGAAGTTATTCAGTTTTTGGTTGAGGAGCATAATCAGGTTTGATCCTTGCCCTTTTCACATTGAAAAATTTAATAGCATTAAAAACGTTTGTGTTCACTGTTCCTCCACAACATTCTTGGTGGTAGCAGTCTTCCATTCTATAGGTTTGTGGTAGTCTTCCATCAGCCAATTACTACTTATTTATAACTTTTCCAAAAGTAGAAGCAAAATTTTGAGCATTGATACTTCAATGTTCTTTAAGTGATGAACGTTGCCACTTCTTTTACAATGATTTTTCTGAGGGACCAGGTTCCATCAACCTATCTTGTGACAAGGTCGATAATCTTGGCAAATTTCAACACCTGAGCCAGAAAACGGTAGTAGGTCCTTCCCCCGCACATAAATTGAAAGAATTATCTGCAAGAAAGAAAATTTCAACATTCTGAAAATTATAATATGTGATAATTTCAGTAGGGCATTGGTTTCCTCATCAAATGCAATTTTTTTGTAGCTAAATCATGATTTTATGCCTGTAAATTTTCTCTTGTAAAAATATATGGCGTCTGTTTATGAGCTGACCTCAACTAAATTTTAGGCCAGCTTGCAATTTATTTTATCGCAAACGATTCTTAAGACTCATGTGCAGGAGCTTTCATTGTTTTTGGCTTAAATACTAAAAGTTTTCAAGATTTTTTACTTAATCGGTGAGATGCCTATCACGCCAGCTCCACCTTTCTGGACTAGGAACCTGGAGTTTTCTGAGGGAAAAAGAGATGCCAGTCAGGCGATCTGCTCGACTGTTTTTAGCAGGGTTCAGAACATGTGACAAGACTGACAATAAAATCATGCATTATACCTGTGGAGATTCTACAAGAATTTTAAATCATAGGGATCGTTACTTATTCGTCAGTTTATAATGGTTGAACTTGCGAACAAAATTACTTCCTTCAACAACCCCTTTGAATTGTATCAGAACTTAGGTAAAGTAATAGATATGCTTAAATATGTATAGGTAAGTACAGTACAGTAAGCCGAATGTTAATCTGAATTGCATAAGACTTTCAAGTATTTAAAATTCCTGTATTGCAGATTGAATTGTCCCATTTTTACTAATACAAGGTAAATCTAAAAGAATGTTTTAGTTTTTGAACTAAATAGTCATCAGTTATGGTAAAGTGCTGTACCTATGTTTCTCCTGTTGTCTGCTGAGACTCGATTGTTTTTGGATGGTTAAAGTTTTTGATAAAAAGAGTTGCAAATGTGCGAGTAATAAACTAGGAACTACATGATAACAATTGGAGGTACTGCTAGTCTTTTTGTCGTGGGCTGGAAACCAGTTTTTAATTAAGTTTCTCAACTTTCACCCATGCAATCAAGGAAATGTACTTATGTGTTTATTAGCAGTTTTGCACAGACCTATTTGCCAAATTAAATAGAATGAACTTAAAAATTGTCTGCTCCCTCTCAAATTCATAAATGCCAACTTTTGGAATTCTGTATCCTCACAGGATTGCTCACGGGCAATTGCCGACTCGTTTCCTGTTCTTTGAAGTCGTCGCTTGTTGGTCGAATAAAAGAAAGTGATATACTAATACCTTTGATTTTTATGTTCAGTAACCTCCCTCTGACATCCTGACCAATCAGACGCCTTTAGCGTTCAAAACATTTCATTTTCAGTATCAGACCTCTTGCTTCTATAATCTATACACTTTGCCCAACAAAATTTCTTGCGTACACACTTTCTGACGTGCATGCTGTTCATGCCTATAATGTGCTGTCAATACTATGGTGATTATTATTTTGACAATATGAATTGCCTCACTAGATGAATCGTTTAAATATTTTTTTACAACAAATCGAGTTTAAATTCTTAAAATGAGTTTGAAAGTACTGTTTCCATTTTCAATTGATTTTAACACACCTATCAACATTGATGGTTAATGGGAAATAGTGCTTGTGACTTTATTTTCAGACTTTGAAAGACGATTTTTGGTAAGAAAATTCCGTAATGATTGATCCAGAGACAGAAATCTTTATTTTTCCAAAGTAGTCCTTCTAGTCATTTAACTTTAAAATCTACCTGCTGCATTCACTATGCGATACACTGACGTTGAGGATCCACTTTTAAAAAGTTTAAATACAGTCGATTCACAAAAGCCATGTTTACGCAGAGAAAGTCCTCAAATTTTTTATTGCTGATTTTTTGTCAATAGAACCCGAACTTTGTTCTGCAGTCGCAAGTGAAAAAGATTTCTTAAACCAAACTCAGACTCTTCAACTGAAAACATTGCCATAATCTACCAACAAGGCGTTGTTTTACCTAAGAACAGGTAGAGAGATGAAATATTTTTTATTTGGACATGCACCTGCAACGAAATATTTATCACACGCCGTGCATTAGATGAGACAGCTTAATTAGGAAAAATGATGTCAAAAATCTTCAACCCTTTTAAGAGGTTGAAAAGTATGGAGAACCAAAGTTAAGCACCTGAGGAGCCAAACCATTTTTCTCATCACTCTCCAGAAGACTTAAATCATCATAATTTGCGGCTATTTTTCAAAATAAATACAGTGGTGCTCTTCTCATTTGGTGTGTTGGAGTTAGTAATACTCTCTCATTTTTGCAAACATTCGCTATGCATTTTCAATTATTTGCTTATTTAGTCGGGTAAGTGAGGTTATACTGTATCTTAAACATGGAAGGAACACTAACACTTTTTTTATCAGAAAAATAATGAATTGAAAGTACCTACTTAGGACTGAAAAAAAACTAACAAAAAGATAAACAAACAATAAAAATAAATATATTAATTGCAGCAATTCTTGAACTAGTGTACAGATAACAATTTATTGTAAACCTATAGAAATGGAGATAAAAATTTGGGTATCAATGTGGAAATGCTGTGCATAAAGAAATTATGATTTAAAACTTACTTCCATGAGAATATTGATGTCAAAGGAACGAACATAAACAGTTCAAGAATTCAAATCAACAAATTTCACAAGCTAGAAAAAGTATTATTAGAATTTTCCTTTCATCTCAAGTGTCAGGTAAATTCAGACATCATGGTACAAAGAATCAGTCTGTTCTTTTTTCTACTGTTTTTACAATCAAAACTTTTTGTTAAACCATTCTGGACTTCACTGGCAGAACATCCAAATATGCTGGGAGAGAACATATGAATAGGTCCGTTTTTCTTTATTTCTTCCTTTCTTAAGAGAACATTTTTTAGTGAAGATGTAGGGATACTCCTTCAGCTGACGGTTATTTAGGAAGAATTGCAAGAATCCTCCATACCAGTAGGAGTTCAGCAGTGGCTCTTGGCACATTTTGTTGGAACTTCAATAGATTGACATGAAGTTCATCATCAGCAAAAAACCAAAAAATTAAGCAAATCCACTGAGTAGAAATCGAGATATTTATGATTGAACACATGGACCATTTCCTGTGTGGTGGAGATAAATAAAGCTCAAAATGTACTTAGAGCGACTGAACCCCTACAGGGACGTGCAAAGTTCTTTTATTCTTGCAGGAGGAAAAAAAAATCAAATAATTTTCCCCTTCTTTTTGTGGTTAAAAATGAACAACCGATGATGCAAGTTTATTCAGAATTTCTTGGACATCAGCAAAAGCTTAATTATTATTTTGAATATTGGGACTCTAGCACCTTTGTCCTTTTTTTTTTGTTTCATTTAACTGAATTTTAGCTAGAAATTAATTTTCAGGATCACTAAATATTCGACCCCTATTTCTAACAGAAAAATAATAGGTCAGCAGGTTCCACATCAATAGTAAAAATGACCTTCCTGTATTTTTCCAGTATTAAAATCACCTTTTTAAAAAATAAATAAAAAAGAAGCAAGAAGCCTCGCAAAGCTTTTTAAGCTTACGAGCTCATTTTTGTTAAGTTTTACATAAGAGGTACATTTTATTAAGGTGATTCTAGAATCATTGAACAGCCTTATTGTGCAGCATTAACACGGATGTCTTATGGAATTTTTTGTCTTAGAAATTTGCATTTTAAGGATAGTTGTCTCACACAAAACAGCATCCAACTCAACAGATGCTAGGAAAAGAAACGAGTCAATTTGTAAAATATCTCATGCATTATTTCTAGCCAATTAAGATGTTTCAACTAATAGAGCGGGTTGAGCAGAATGATCAATTCAGCAAGGTAGGTTAAAAAGTAAATTATTCGGATGGTACAATTTTTAAATGCACTATGTCACAAGAGGATTGTAACACTGGCGTTTTTGGAATGCCTTAATCTTCATCCAATACTAGATTTAAGATACGATTAATAAACTGATACCATGTTGTGACATCATTTTCTCTGAGAAAACTATTCAACGTAAGAACTTTGAAATAAATCAATGAAAATAAATATGAATTCAATAGAGCTTAGATCCTTCGTGAAGCAGTCTTAAATGATTTATCAGGGCGATGGTCACAACTTCTGCCAGACTTGAACTCTTGGCTGGAGAGGGATTGGCGAATTATAACAGTGACAATGAAGTCATATAGTGGCAGCATCAACTAGGTATTGTCCAAATCCAGCTTCGAGTAAAATACTATGTAGGCAGCTGCAGTTTTGACAGAATCCGGGGATATTTCACAGACTTCCTGATCATCGAACTTGTACCACCTACAAAAAGAAAGATGGTTCTGATAATCGGTCGAGTTTTCTTGTGTTTGAGATGATGGATCCGATTGTAACAATGATTTTTTTTTTTTTCATACTCAAAATGGTTGTGCAGCGTCTGTTGAGGAAGGATAAGCGTGGTGAAAAGTATTTACTGCAGAATAATACCAATAAAATAATGGCAGGGGAAAGTACATAGAAAGTCACAAAAGTAATGCATGTTTCCTGTTTTTGAGAAAACAGTAAAACTTATCAACATGCGGTTTCAACATAGCTCTAGGCTGTATCGGGTATCCTCTGTTTTAACACAAGATCTTGTGCAAGTCTCTCTCCTAAAAATCGCCGAAGTTATAGTGTTAAAAACTTGACAAGTAAAAAGAGACTTTGGCATATTTCCAGAATGTTTTTTAATCAAATACTTAAAAGCAAGGTATGCAAAAAATAGAACTTTAATGGAGATAAGAATGCCACTGAATGAGGTTGGCAACAGGATGATTGTCAGCAGTAACAGTGTGGCGCTCGAGAAAAGTTTTCATGGAAACCGACTTACTTGAGTGTCTTTGCTGTTTTGCAATACGCTGTATAATGTCCACTATCCATTGTTCCATAATGATTGGAAACAGCGTAAAGAGAAAAGTGTACATTTCTATGTTCAATGCCGAACAGGAAATTTGACATATCCAAAGTTTGGTTTACAGGAAAGTCAACGTATGTTTGTTGTTTGCGACACCATCCATCACTGGTAAACCTAAAAAGTGTTATGGGAATTAAAACTTGTTGGAATGAATAGGTAGTTGTAAAAAAATTGAGAACTTTTTTTCACATTTAAAATTATATAATCAAAGAAAAAATTTAGTATTTTACAGTCTCTGAAAATAAGCTCTCTTTGAAGGAAATTTTGCTTTTCAAGAAATGTTTGATTCAATTATTGCATGCGACACTTTTAATACATTTTATTTTTTCTCTTGAAAACTATTTGGAATTCAACTCGTAATATTGGCTCTAACATATCATATCTCCTCCTTTAAAAAAATGAATTATAACATCCATTAACAATTTAAAGCTTGCCTTGCGAAAGGACGAAGTTTTCAGATCATTCATGTACAGTCAAGAAAAAATACCAACCTTTTGAAATGTATGACTAAAATTGGAGGTAACCTTGTAATGTCAAGCTTTTTTACAGCATTTCTAGAGGTTTTACATTTTGGGCATTCCCAGCCTAAAATTGTTTCCGCTTGCACATATAAATCAAGACAATCCTGCAAAAAAAGAAGAAAAAAAGGTAGATGTTCAAATTTAAACATAAATAAAAAAATAAAATGTAATTACAGGACAATATGGATAAAAACTTTGGGTAGAATTTTTTTAAAAAATTAAGATACAAGTCATATGGAGTAAAACTCAACTCTGGATATATTGCGTAAGAAACTTAAAACTAAAACTCACTTCACAGTCTGAATTTTTGAGTTTACAGTTCATTCCCCTAAGAAAGAGAAGATATTGGATATACGTCTGTCCAAAAAAAAAAAAGAAGTCTAGCCTGGCAATGAAAGATTCCTGGGTAGTTTTGAAAGCTGCGATTGAAAAAGTGGCTGTAACTCTTTCTTCATCATATCAAGGTTTTCCAGAAAATTGAAGTCCTCCCCCCCCCCCACACCAAAAAAAAACACACAAAGCACCTCAAACATCGCAAAAGCTTACCGAAAATCACAAGCACACACTGAAAATTGCAAACGACTGCCAGACTATAAAAAATTTGTGAAAAATAGATTCCGAATTTTTGGACCAAAATTTTAAAATCGAACCGAGCCGGAACCGTCGATCCGGTTCAAACTTTTTGAAGGTTTACACAGCCCTAAAAATTACATGAGAATAACCTACCACATGCCCAATACATAAAAAAAAATTGTTTTGTACAACTAAAGTATTCATTCCATAGATTAACTTACTTTTAAGGTACAAACATCTGTGCCAGATGGTAATGGAAGAGATAAATTTGAAAAAGGCTCAAAGGTGATGGAGCGTTCATGACACTTTGTGCAAGTAACCACAGATCTTTGCTGGCCGTAAAATAGTTCTTGGATTGGTGAGTGGTTGTTTTTCTTAAACTCACCCCATGCCCGCTCTCCACTTTCCTCTGATGCACCAGCTAAAAAAGATTGTTGTGGTGGCTGGAAAAGAAGATACACAATATTTGAGAGATGAGCAACTAGAATGATGAAGATTTACAGCACTAAGCAAAGGTTTAAGAGTGGTTTGAGAACTGTTAATTTCTTTTACTGCAAATCATAATGAGTGAACCACTTCTTTTCTTTATCACCTTTCTTCATTGAAAGAAAAAAAAATTCCCTTGAATTTTTCTATCTGATTGTGAGCCAGTCTTGGTGGTGTAGAGGATAACATTGGCGGGGCGTGCTTTGCGATATATCAATTGATCTGCCATTTAAACCTATGAAAAATCGATCATTCACGCCTCGCTACTGGAAGATAGGGTAGTTTGCTGCGAGAACTGAGATTCCAGGTTCAATCCCCGGAGACGATGGGTTTTAAAGGGTACTTAAAAGTTCATCATCATGGCCGTGGATGACCATGCCAATTTAATACCTTATCTATCCGTTCAAAGCGACATTGGTGGAGGAGGATTGAGGCCATCTAGTAGTTGTCACTTTGCACTGACCGGATGTATTTTGATTTGATTGTAGATCGCTCGTAGTGCGTGCAACTGTCAGTGTCACCTATGTACTAATCGATTGTATTGTGATTTAATTGTGGACCATTCGCACTGTATGCAACTTCTTTTTTTTCTCTACACTTCAAATATCCCACGAGGGATAATCGTCCCATCCCCCTCTGTCCCTAATCAAGCCAGCCCCAGATAACCATTGTTAACTGTCAGAATCATCTATTAGAGATTCAAACAACACAATCCACCTAGGGCTGTTCTATCGGTTGTCGGTAAGCTACCGAAACAGTTCCGTCAAGAAAAGGTTACGATAGGAGCGCTCATGCCGTTAGCGATCAGAGTTTTTGGAGCTGACGAAAATACGCTGTTGCCATTTGTACATCTATTTTACACGCCGCCGCGCCAGGCAATCTGATAAACCGACACACGGGGCAACAATGCATTGAGTGCGAGCTCTCAAAAATCCGATAAGGCCAGCTGTTGTCGATATCATCGCCACTGTCGGTACTGCGCCAGTTTCAATAAGAGACGATATCGAAAGTGTTCCGGCAAGAATTCGTTTGAACATCCCTAAATCCACCTTGGTGGGGGCCATGCTCCAAAATTCCAAGTTGGATAGGGTCTGTCATGGTCATCAATTCAACCTATTGTTGGCTATCAGACAGCGGCTGAGCCTTGCGCTATGAGGCAAGCCAGTTGAGAGAAAAAAGAGGAAATTACAAGGCGCACTGTTCAACAGTGATTACTTCTCCTTCAGGAGAGATCCCAACCAATAAATGGGTATCAAAAACTGCATATATGCCTTGTATCTATCCACATAAATCAAATTTGCAAACGCATTAGGGAACAAAGAAACATTAGATAAAACAGATTAACAAGAGGACCAAGAATTTCGGTATTCCTTATCTTCTGTTGATATTACTACTATTTTATCAAATTCTTGCAACTGAAATAAAAAAAATTTAAATCTATTTTGATGTCAGACTAAACATTCAAGAATGAAACAGTTTTTAAATAAATGGGAAAATCCTCTTTCTGATGACTTCACTAATAAAAGGCATTACAAATGATATCTTTGATTATTCCATTGATAACTTTCTGACATCAATCTAACAATAGTCAAATCAGAATAATAGTTACCCCTTTTAAGTCCTCATGTAGCCAGTCTATTAATATTGTAAGAAATTCATGCGAATCCTGTTGATCATATCCTGAAAAAGTGTTGCGGTAGTGCCCGATTCGATTCTGGAAAATAATCAAAACATTTTTAACTTAAATACAGCACACTAAACCACTTTATTCCTTTAACTGCAAATGTGACTCATTCACAATAGGCAGAGTGATTTACCATTAAGAGCTTATATTTTAAGTGAAATTTCCACCTCTTTCCTCACTGCAGGCATTAATTTCTTCACTTCATTTTTCTGGGCATTTCAAGATTCTGTATCCTAGTTTATTTTGACACTAATGTTTTTTAAAGAAGCATTAAGCCTAAAACTTTATGTGAGCCCGATTTGCACAAAGCTAATGTGACATACTGAGCAGGCTTTCATAGCTATGGACGTGGACAATAAAATAGATCATTTCTTAGTAAATGTTGCTTACTTTCAAGTTTTTGCAAGCAAAAGATTTATACTCGCCAGCCCACAATTTGATAATAACCGTGCGAAACTCTTCTGCAATAGTTCCTTCTGTTTTGCTTTCATGATTTTTCTTGAAATCTTTAGTGGCATGAAAGAATTGATTCAAAGGCTGGGTATTGCTTAGGCACTGCAGAATTGAGTTCATGTAACAGGTATTCCTTAGATTTTTTAATCCAGTTAGACCTGGGGTCTGAAAAAGAAAAATTGGAATAAGAAATACAGCTAATCATAATCAGAGTTGATGATTTAAAAGTTATCCGAACACAATTGTAGATGTGCACTGAGAAAAATTTGAGGAAGGCAGGATTTACTCCCCTACAAAACAATGAGCCAGATGACTTGAGGAGGGATTGGTTTGCTAACAATTGTTTCTTCCAATTTTTGGAGCCAAAAGAATGACAGGTACTGTGAAATTTCTTGGAAGGGAATCCTCTTAAAAGAAGAATGCCTTCTTAGGGTATTCAAAATGGATTTCAGTAGAACTGCTCGCAACTCTGGCAAAAAGCGCCAAAGAAGCAATATGGCATAGCCTACTTACTTGCTACCACTACGTCTCTACATATTTGGATTGTAACAAGGTGGAGAAGTGGTGCTGGGTCCACACCATTCCGCAGGGAAAACAAAGCCAAGAAGTTCCAAAATTTATAATTAGAGTCAGAGATAAATAATTTTAAAAGACAATAATTTTTGGAACTTCTTGACTTTGTTTTCCCTGCAAAATGGAGTGGACCCAGCACCATTTCTCCACCTTGTTACATACAGATTTGGCCACTTCTTGTTTTTTTCCCCTCATATTTGGATTGTTGATACGGCATCAGTATGTCTAAAAATTCCTGCAAAATTTCAGTTAAATTAAATAATTTTTAGCCGTTTCATGATCCGATTTTTTTAAACCTGTCACCAAAAAAAGAGAGGGAAGGAACATGTTTTTATACATAAATACCATTGCGACTTCAAGATGCAAATTTCATGAAACACATTGGGAAAAAGAAATATTATCAGAGTTGAAGCTAATTTCATTATGTACTCACAACTTTGCCATGAACAGGATCAGAATCTCTTAGGTCCCGAATTTTGTAATTATCTGTATTCCTTTGAGATTGTGGCTTGCTTGATCTATCAATGGTTGGAATCGGCGCTGCCCCTGCTCCTTCTTCGCTTAACTAGGGAGGAAGAAAAAAAAATTCCATGAATAAAACGATTAGTTTATAATGTATATGCTAAAACATGTATAAAAATGAGGCTGACCATGGTAGATGATTGGCGATCTGCCCAAAAAGACGCCAGATTAGAATAGGTTACTATCTGATCGATGTACGCACCATTTTAGAAAACTAGGGGGCTACAACCCCTGACAGCTTTGCGGTCCAACCCCTTGAAGCACTCCGTACTTCAGGTATCATGCATTATTCTCATGATTTTGTATAATGGAATATGATTTGAGAATCACAAGAGAGTGTTATTTTCGAACGATGGGTCGTTAGGTTCAGCAGAAGATTGCTGCTGACAGTCCTCACATTTTTTTTCATTACAAAGATAATTTGAGAGAAGAAAGTTCAGGACTTATTCCTTAACCATATTCTCTAATGATGACTGTCTCAATTATAAGCTGAGAGCGAAAAAAAGAAAAACTTTACAAATAACTCTCATGAATTGAAAGGTACCTGATTTATTTTCGGCATGGACAGGGACCTCTTCATGCCTGAATGGCTGGGCATGATCTCGGAGTAACCATCTGAAAAATAATAAATAAACAATTTTGAGTTACTATCGTCAAATGTTTACATTTACTAACAAAAACTACTGAAAAATAGAATAATTTTCAATGCCTCTGTAATGCTGCTGAAAAAAAAAATGTAACAGGTTTATTCCACTTTTCCTTATTCTTCTCTTTTTAAATGTTCTCTTCGATTGAGATTTCTTGTTTGATTAAGAAAGATATTTTTAGGTATAAAGATACATATTTACACACATAAAATTTGGGCAGAGAGGAACTCATTGATTACCAGTCACCTTAGTTTCATTTCATTGTGCGTAAGCACTAGAGCTCACGCATTGTTTTTTTTTTTTCATATACATGCCTGCAAACTCAAACGAACAGATTCTCTTGACTTACTGCTTAGTAAAATGTTTCAACTACACTGAAATTAACATATTTTTGCCAAATAATTATCGCTCATAAGTTAAACAAAGGCTCATGGACAAGTTATGCCACATGCATGTACTGCCAAGGGTAGGTATTGCGAACGCTCACCTGGCTTTAAACGATGAAAAATAATTTGTGATTCAGCTATGTCTCCGTTCCTGTAAGATATAGAAATTGAGGGAAACAATCAATTGAAAAACATGATAAATTATACAGAGGTAGAAAAAAAAATCAGTTTTGACACTATTGAATCCATATTCACACCTTTCTTTAAATATAAGTGCACCATGCTCAAACAAAAGAGTTAGTGCAATTCAATTTTTCAGCTGGAGAAATAAAGAAGAGCAAGATAATGAACTAATTAGCATTGTCTGCATAATATTCCTTGAAAAATCAGTAAGTTTTTTACATGAAGTGATGATTTAGTCACAGAGACTTACGGTGAATGCACAAAGAAGGCTTTAAAATGTCACTCACTGGCTTTGCTCATTGGAGCTTGAATTTACCTCCTGAACGGTTGTAAAATTTGAAAATCTAAAGACGTTAAAAAAAACTTACATGTTAATATTGGATTTAGATGGTTCTGGATCACCGTTTATTTTTAGATTTACATCTACGTTAGGAGTAGGTGATTCTTCAACAGTTTTAGTGATTGGCTCTTCTGGCTCAGCAAACTTAGTGCTATTTCCTGTATTTTCATCTCCTTGGTTCATTACCTGTAACATTTAAAACACTTTTAATTGAATACACGTCCACAGCTACAGTGGTTGATTACCTTTCATTCCATCAAAGTAAGAAGAATCATGGTAAAATACTTGCGTTGCAAATTACGATACTATTGCCCAGGGTCATTAGTTATTAATACCTGTGTTAAAATGTCATGTTCTTTTTCTTTAGACCGCTTCAAATTAATAACATACCACCCACAGCCAGAGTTTCTAGGCTTTATTCCCTTGACTAGAGCCAGAATATGAATTATTAATAAAACTCCCTATTTCATTCAAAAAATCTACACAGATTATTTAGATGTAGTGATTTGAAAATTGAATAAGTTTCAAGCTCAAATGCCTCTTTTCTACTGATTTGGAAAATAAAGATTTGACTACTTTCCATCATATTTCACACCCATTACTTAAAACAAACTTTTTTTCCCCTACCTTATTTGGAAGAAAGAATAAGAATTCTTTCTTCCAAATAAGATTATTATAAATTATTTCTCTTATAAAAGATTATAAATTCTTTCTTTAATGACATTCTCATGAAATTCTATCTTCAAAAGATGGATTAATGTATTAGAACAAAAATAAAGAATATTTTAAAAAGCCACAAGGGTAGTTGAATTGATGAAAAAGTTTGTCTTGGTTGTCATTTTTAGTCAATGGCGCAAATGGAACCTGGGGGAAAAATTATGCAGAGGGAAATGATGAAATACTAATGTATCTGGCAGACTTTTAAAGGAGAAGCTTTATACATGCTACATCAATACTTCCTACCACATATACGATAGTCATAAAGCATTTCCAAACTTACACGATCATCCAGTGGTTTGGACACATCTTCCGATGTTGGCACATTGCTTGGCGTTTTCAAAACTGATATGTTTGGAACATGGTTCATTGAGTCATTGGTAATTGGCTGCAAATAAAAAAAGGAAGAATGTTCTAATATTGACTGGAATGATATTAAGATAGTTGTATTTAAATTTGGTAATAGTTAAAATTAAATAAAGTAATGTTACAACCGAACAAGTCCATTTCCTCCTGAAATCTCAAGTCCATATGAATGCTGAAATTGCAGAATTACTTAGAGAATGGACTCACCTTACTTGGCCTACTTTTAGCACTGGTCTTTGAAATTTTTATGGACTAAGCAGACCCCATTCATTTTATTGCATTTCAGCATTGAAATTTAGATTGAGAGAATAGTCATGTAATGCTTCAACTTAATATCAGGCTGGTGCTCCTCATGGACAGTAAAAAAACCAATACCTTAAATGCAATAATGACACTTGACGTTGACTGCTGTACTGAGCATTAAATGATTACTTAATACAAAGCTGTAAAAAACACGAGAAAAATCACTGGTTTTTTCAATTGCTATCCTAAAGGGACGGATGGCAGACTAGTGACATATTCTTGAGAGGATGTGAAAAAACTTTCATTAATGCCAAAAGTTCAAAAACCTCTACTTAAAGACTCATAAAAGCCTGAAAAAAAGCAACTCGGTCCTTTAAACAAAGACAGCCATTAAGTTAAATGTATTGCATTTTTAAATCTTACCCTGAAATATGCTAGAGATAAATAAACAAAAAACTATAATAGTGATAAAATTCTCATTAATTTCTGAGTAAATTTTTGAAAGATTCCCTCTGATCACAAAATTGGATTAATATAACTGACAGATTTGAAAATATTAGAAAAAAAGAAAGAAGGAAGTTTCCAGTTTGGAAAAGTTTACCTTTTTAGCCCTATCTGGAATGATTGGAGTAGGTTTTGGAACAACAACAGGTTTTGGCTCATCAAACATATTGGGATACCGAATATCTTCTGCAACATAATATATGACATCAATGCATACAATGCAAATTGTGAGTGAAACAATGATAAGAATCAGACTTTAATAAAAAGGGTTGGATATGGATGAAGGCAGACTAAGGGGAGAAGTTCATCGCAAATGGGTATATTTTGGTAAATTTAACTTAATATTATTTTTTATTTATTTATTTCTTAAATCTTTGTTTGTTGCAATGAACTGAAAGTTTGATACTTCATGATTTATCTTCCCTCTTTCAGATCATGATATCTAATACACTCAGGACTCATCATGTATGAGTAGGTTCTCCTACTTACACAACATTGCGTACTCCCAAAATACAACGAAACCTTACACTATATGATAGAACAGTGCCATATTTTGTTGTAGGGTAGTGGTTATTCACATTTCTTGCCACTGTCTACTAAAAATTTCTAGGTTCAGCTAACTGCTGTGGTGGAAGAAACCACTAGCCGATCAGAAGTGTCCTTTTCTTTGCTGCTATGAGTATGGGCTACTATGCAGTCAATGTTTCGTAGCTCTTGTTTTTTCTGAGGCCGTACAGGAGAAAAAGGCATAATAAAAAGTAATTCTAATACCAACCTAAACTTAATAGTGAAATATCATGAGAAGGAAACTGGACATTCGGGTTTGTAGTTCGAAATGGGTAAGAATTCATCCATTCTGCATATCCACCATTTAGAAAAACAGCTTTATTTTCATACTTAGTGTTAGGGTCCCACTGGAAATAAAAAAGAAAGAGCATCATGTGATACTGTTCATACTGAGAAGAACATGAGACTTTTTCAGTGCATTTTCCAGGGAAAATGCAATATTGTGGCAGTTCAAACAGGGGTCCATGTTGGGAGCAGTAGAGTCGGTCGAATTTATATTTTTTCTTGGAATCTTCCACAGCTAATCAGGATATTCTTACAGGGTATAGATGATGAAGATTTGTCGCGATTGAAAATCGCGACAAAAAATTGGACAACTTGCAGTTATTGCCAGCTGCATTTGCTACCGATTCAGAGCTTCATGAAAGGTACGAACACATACTGCTGGGAGTTAGAAAATATAGCTCCTGAAACAAATTTTTGTGTCTTTCTGGGTTAAATTCAAGTGCTTTCTCTAGCCCTTACACAAATATTCCGTTGCTGAATATTTACAGGGTAAAAGTAGTAAGAAGAAACCTCAAATCAGGAGAAATGAAACCGTGTATTCTCAACTCAAGAAGTGCCTGAAGGAGTTAAATTTTTTTACTAGGATTTGTGCAAATCTCCATCATTTTTACCCCAATAGAATATCCTAATTAGCAACAAACAAGTCCGAGAAAAAATGTTAACTAACCTACCCTAATGAGCAGCTATCATAGATTACAAAAACGCATGCATCAAGACAAAGGTCACTCTAATTTCAAAAATAATAGGGCACACAAAGCGAATAATGAGCCAGTTAAGTCATTTTTTTTTACTGTGTCATTCGAAAGTAGTGAGTGACCGAAGCTTACAGTTTTTTTCCTGATTTTTTTTGATGAATGCAAAGGGGAGAAAAGTTTATTTGAAAGTGCCAAAAATTAGGCTGGCCTAAAATGGCGTTTGAACCGCTCGCTCCTCGGTTTCGAATGTACACGTCACGATCAATATGGCAGCGGAATGTGTAGTGGAAGAATACAAGGCTGTGTTGCATTAGCGGTGTGTTTTTGTTGGTCAATTGGAGGTTATGTCGGTTACTTTGTTTGAGATTCATACCCATTGCTCTTAATTCTCTAAGCGCTTCAATCAGAATGCGATACAGATTCATGTAGGGTATGGAACATTCACATAGACCTTACTTAACCTCAAACGAGAAATCGTGATGTCAACAAAGGCAGCGTGGCGGTATTAAACAGGTTGGCTTCGTCGCCACAATCTTCCCGTATATGACGCGTAGACTCGAAGATTCATGGCGGTTGGTTCAAACATATTTTCAAGGACCCCTAAAAAGGAAGCATTATATCTCCGGAGAGACAATTTTTCGAGAAGTTGTAATGTGAGCATCGTTCTTCTCGTACCGAAAACTGAAAGATTCGACTATTTGCAGGCAAATCCCTCCCAAGCTTAACTGACTCATTGGGGATGAATAAGGCAGTAAAAAAAAGGCTGAAGAATTTAATTTTCTTTCTGTTTTACAATCATTAACTTTAATCAAAAATTCTTAAAAATAAATGTTTTTTAACAAAAGAATCCACTTGATTAATGTCCTCAGATGGCGAGGAGGACCCAAAAAATTAAAATTGATATTCAAATACAAGGACTCGGTTGAGAAAGTTCTTCACCAATGCTTTCATAAACAAAGCAAATTCAGGAAGATCCTTCCTGGATCACATAGGACTTTAAATAATTGAGTTGATCCAAGAATAAGTCATATGATCCATAAATTTTAAGGTTGGGTCAGTTTTTACTTACGTTATTAATGGCCTGCAAGGCAACATCAAGTGGAGATTCAGGTGAAAAACCATCTTCTGAAGAGTATTCATCAATTAGAATTATGTATTTGAATTTTCTCCTTTGAGCCCACAGTGACTTGAATGGTTCTGCGAGAACTTTCTCTATTTGATTTGCAGTTTTGCTGAAAAAATAAAAAGCAAACTGTTAGAATATTTGTAAACCTTTCACAAACATCTAAACAGATTTTGGTTGTATGAAGCATGATTCAGACATTGAAATGGCATTTGATGAAAATTGATCCTTCCTTTGAAAGAAAAGGCATAAAGGCTTAATAACTGCAAAATCATATCAATTCGGTCATTGCCCAGCTGATACAGAGGCACAAAAAATTATTGACCACCCAACCAGCATGTCACACAAAAATGAGAGAACTCTCTTAACTTAGTTTTGCATCAGCAAAAAAATCAAAGATAATTTGCAAGATTTAGAATAATTGTCGGCAAAGAGCGTTAGTTTTTCCAAAAATGTGAAAATCATATTTTTCCTGGTAAACTTCATTTTTCAGGATGGTTCTGACAGAGTTTGTGTTTCATTGAGTTCTCATAAAGTCTTTCGTTATAATGGTCCAGGCGCATGGTAGCTAAAAATGAGGCTACCTGGAATTTCGGGTACACAGCGATTTTTTTGGCTTACTTTATATTTTTTGGGTCGCTGAATCCGAATCTGAAGTTTCCTACCGCGTGTCTGGTGAGCATTTTCCCCCATTTTGAAAAATTGACCTAAAAAAGGCCTTTTTTGCGGTTTTTTTGATGTAGCGGCTACGCATGAAAAAAAGTCCCAGATTTAGTTAATGTTTTGAATAGCTGACATAACTTGGAAGAAAATGGATATGAATATGCTAAGTTTGCTCAAAAATTGAGGAACCTCGGATCTCGGAACTTTGGAACGCTTCGGAACTTGGCTGACCGCGGCAAGCCGGATCGCGCGTTGATGGATGCGCCGCGAAAACGTGAATGTTGACGATGCTGTATCTTCTTCAATTTTTAAGCAAACCTAGCATATGTATACAACATTTTCTTCCAAATTATGTCAGCTATTCAAAACATTAACTAAATCTGGGACTTTTTCTCATGCGTAGCCGCTACATCAAAAAAACCGCAAAAAAGGCCTTTTTAGGTCAGTTTTTCAAAATGGCGGAAGATGGTCACCAGATACGCGGTAGGAAACTTCAGATTCGGATTCAGCAACCCAAAAATTATTGAGTAAGCCAAAAAATCGCTGTGTACCCGAAATTCCAGGTAGCCTCATTTTTAGCTACCAGGCGCCTGGACTATTATAACGAAAGACTTTATGAGAACTCAATGAAACACAAACTCCGTCAGAATCATCCTGAAAAATGAAGTTTACCAGGAAAAATATGATTTTCACATTTTTGGAAAAACTAACGCTCTTTGCCGGAAAATGCTCACCAGATACGCGGTAGGAAACTTCAGACTCGGATTCAGCAACCCAAAAAACATAAAGTGAGCCAAAAAAATCGCTGTGTACCCAAAATTCCAGGTAGACTTACCAGGCACCTGGACTATAATTGAACATGATTTGTAAGTTAAAAATAAACATCTAATATGCTAGCAACTTTTATCACATTCACATGTTCACTTGCATGGTGAACTTCAAATACTTGGGCGTTTTTCTGATTCAATTTTATTCTAGTTAAGATTTAAGACTGGTAAAAACAATTTTTGAACGATTAGGTACACATTAATATTTTTACAGTACAGGCATTTTTCTAGCCATGGTGGATTATTTCAACTTGAGAATGTAATGATCACTTCAGAAACACTTCGAGAAAGCTTCTTTCCAGCGCTTTGATTATAACTGCCCTGGGGGATATCAGTTTTGATCATTCTTGCCTTAATTGAAATTTCTGCATTATAATGAGCTAATATTAATATTTCATGAAATTACGAACAAATCAGGTATTATAATTGACTTATGAACATGGAAAAGGCTAAAATTGTGGAATAAAATCAAATTTTCAAAAGACATGCATGGATTCTTCCGCTTATTTATGAACTCACAGTGCCAGGGTGGCTTCACTTGTCCCCTTCAGATAAAAGTGTTCTATCTTTACGTCTTTAGTTGATGTCAAAGCAATTACTGGACTCTCCGAATTTCTTGTCAAAATTTTTCCAATAACTATAGAATCTCTGAAAATCTGAGTAGAGCTGGAAAATCAATTTTTTAAAAAAAAATCCATGTTCCCTATTGTTTGGGGAAAAAATCCATCCACCATCTACGAACATTGATTAAAAAGCAAAGGGCACTGTTGCTAAAATGTTACAGCACCAATTTGAAAAAAAAATGCTAGAAAAAATCCACTCTGGCCATTTACTCTGGGCGGCCCTGTCGACCCTGCTTATCCTAAATTAAATGATTTTGGAATATATTACCTCTGCTTTAAGATTGACGGAGGAATGTTTATGATAGAATCATGAACTACGTGGGAATGATTGAACTCTTCTGACGGTCGCACGTCTACCAGTAGAAGAGCATCTTTCATGAGTTGTGATAATACTTGAGGTCCGATGCTTTTCTGACCATCTTTGATTTTCTTTTCTGGTTTCGGTGCGGTGGCTGCATGACAGAGATAAAAACAATTAACAGATGGAGGGATGCAAATAAATTATTAAAGTATTATAAAAACACCTAATAAATTATCACACTTGACAAGTTGTATGTTTAACAAAAAAACTATTCTTATTATGGGGTTCTTAATATTTTGTCGGGTTGCACAATCAGTAGGATACTCACTTTTTTGAGGTCAAACTTGAAGAACTTTTGGTGGAAATTGATAGGAGACTAAATTTCTACAAAAAAATATTTAAGTTCAGACGTCAAAAAAATGAGTATCATACCTACTGATATTATAATATATTGTGTTCATGGTATTAAGAAAAATGTTTAAAGCTCTTTGGACTCCCATCCCTGAAGCAATGTTTCCTTGTTACCTTTCTGTAGGCCTATGATTAGCTTCATTGAAGGTCAATAAAAATTAATCTATATTGAAACTATCTTACTTTCACTTGATGGCAAAATTTCTCCGTTTGACTCATGCAGCTGCGATTTGGCATTCTTTTCATTAGTCTGTGTTTCCTTCAATATTCTTTCTTCATACCTGAAAGAGAGAATACAAGAGTTTGAAATCTACAATCATCATACCTGAAAAATTTTGGATTTCATAAAAAAATTCCTCAAAGCTAGCAGTAGGTTTGCATTTTTAAAATTGCCTGCACTTATTTTTTATTTGAATCAATCAGCTTTTCATCGAGACTTGCAAGGGTAGAGCTTTGTAAATATTATATTTGAAGGTGACAATTTTTCTTGAATTTTGATACTCTCTTTTGACTCCATGATTTCCCAGGATGATTATCTGACTATCCGATGCCTTTTCAATGTTTTTATTGGAATGATTTCAAAAGAACATTTTTGACAAAAAATAGGTATGTGGAAAATGAAAAAAAAAATGAGAACCTGAAGGTAAAACTTAAGATACTCGTATGATTGTTTGATTCGTTAGTTTGAATTTTTGTCGATTGCATGTATGGGTATGTGTATAAAACATTTTCCATTCACTGAAAGTTTTTGGCTGAATTTAGGTTTTTTTTTTTTTTGTCTGGATTTTTATTTTCTCTGAGATAGACACCAGAGGTGCAGATTGTTCTCAACCAGGCCTGCATGGTTGCAAGAGAAGACCCTGAAGGGGGAAAAGCCCTAAAAATTAATTATTTGTTTTATTTTAGGGTTTATGGAATTTCAACTCTTGTTAAATGATTCAACTTTGGCATACATACTAAAACTATCCAAAAATTTAACAAAATTTTGATCAAGACATTGTGTTGACCTATTTGAGAAAACCTAACACATTGCAACCAAAGCTAGAGCTGAGTTTACCACCTAAGAGATAGCGATGAAGAATCTCCCGTTTGGAAAAAATGTAAATAAATATATAAAGATGTAAGATATAATAGGGTTCATTGAAACATACGTACCTAGCTACGAGTTCTTCGTCAAGTTTCTCAAGCACTGAGATGGTTTCCATTGCTGTTGAACCAAACATGGAAGTTAAATATTTTTTGTCGTTCTCTGAGCGTTGGATATAGGAGACAATTTCAATATACGTCATGAAATGTCGGTACGCACTTTCCTGATCTCCTTTTCGCAGAGATTTTTCCCCTTCTGCAAGTATTTTTGTCAAGTATGTGCTTCGGTCTGACCTGAAAAAAAAAACAACAGAAAAAATAAATATAAGGCTTCGAAGAAAATACCTTGATAAAATTGAGAAAAGTAAATAGGAAGAACATGAATCAGTCATCAAATTTGATCTACATTCACTATTCAAAATACTGATGAGAAATCAGATTTCTGTTTTATTTCTAGGAAAGCTAATCTCTTCTCCTTCTTCCATTCTCTAATAAGCCTACCTCCATCTTCCCATGTTGCATTTTATTTTTCATCGGTAATTATGTGTCCCTTCCAACTAGCCAATGAGGTCAAGTCTCTATTTCCCAAATTTTTCATCTTTAAATAATCCATCTTGCAACTTTGGATGAGCTTTTTTTGGACTGAAATAACAATTGCCACTAGACAGGTAGTCCAGGCAAATTGGAACAAAAAAGATCCTTACTTAGAAAAATGCATGAAAATTTTTTATGCATGGTTTTGGTTGCTGAATACAAAGGACTTCTGCTACCTTCAATTTTTGCGGCTGAATCCAACATTTTGAAAAAAACCTTGCTAAATCTAAGTTTATTTTTTTTAAAAAAATGGCAAAAATACTTACTAGCTAATGCTCCTTCGACCGAATAAATTGCATACATTTATACTCTACATATAATTTGCAACAAATTTGATTCTTATCACTTCAGAAATAAGGCCAAAAAGCAGGCTGCTGGAGAGCATTGAGAAGAGTGCAAAAATTAACTTCTTGCATGTTTATCCTGCAAAACTGGATTTTTCAGTGATGATAGGGCCTAAGTGCATGGTCAGAATTACAGTAGACTAAAAATGCTACCAGAGAGTGCTTTCAAAAATGGTTTTTGGTCTACTGGCACCAAGGTTATGGTCTGTTAAACATGAGACGTCAAAGGGAAAAAAGTGACTTTTCTCTCTTGCCGTGACATACAACTCAAAAAAGTATTGCAAAGCTCATCTTAAGGGCTATAACATTTCAAATAAATAATTGAAAACATCATTTTATGAAAATGCAATTAGGTATCTTGGACGTGTCTCCCTCCCCTCATCCCCATCCCTCATGCCCTGCTAGTGCAGAGCTATGTGACTTCTTGCTGCATCTAAATGTAGGTAATAATAAGCACTGAGTACTTGATAATTGAATTTGTATAAATTTTGTCTCCTGTCTGGACAATATTGCAAAAAATTTCGTTCATGAGGCAATTTTAATTCTTTGAAAAATGAGATCATAAATTTTGCTCCTTACATTGGCCATTTAACACTGACTAAAAAGTAAAATATTAAAACAAAGCGTTCTTCACTTACCGCATTGCAACCTTTTTCAAAGTCTCCAGTGGCACTTGGCAAGCAGCCTTAAGCTCAGTTTTGCTTCGGAACCTTAAATCTTTTAGATGCATGATTACTCTGTTGAAAAAAGTAATAAATTAAAGATAGTACAAAGCAGAAACTAGAAAGATACAATGACAGGGTGTGGAATGGCACAATAATATTCTACCCACCTTTCATCTTGAGGGGTTTGAAGATTTACAATAAGATTCACCAATTTAACTTTGTCACCAAGGAGATAGGTGAACCACCATTGAAACAGAAAAATGGCTCTATCAATAACACTTGAATCGAGGGAAGTAAAATGAAAACTTCCAGTTAATCATATACTAGAAGTTTGACTTGCTCAGTATATTGCTGAACAATGAAGATAAGGATAATTTAGAGGGCTAAGTTATGGTGCTCCAACAGGACAAGTTTGCACGTATCACTATAGGTACAAGGTTCTTGTTCTCGCGATTAAATGCAAAGAAATGAAAAATTAATCAATCTTTCAATCGAGAGAATGATTACAACTTAAACATTCATTTACGTTGGATCAGTAAGCAAGTACAGTCTTTTGCACTCTCTGTAGTAAAGCAGCAAGGGAGAAAACGACAACTTTCTTCCTTTTGGCCTCTTCTCTGCCTTGAATCAAAAACTCTGCATATTAATAGTTCAAACTTATTAGCCTCTACATCTGTAAATAGATACATTTATAATCTTTAAAACCTCAGAGTATTTAAGTGCTGATCTAAGTAGCTCTCTCGATGGTTCAAAGTGAGCTTAAAGGCAGTTAGCTGAGAGTGCACTAGAGAACTGCATTTGTTTATCATGGAAGTTTGATGATTTTACCTTGGAAAGAAAGAAATATTGAGTGCTAAGAGCAGGGTCTATGCGGGTGTGAAGTGCAAATTCGCAGATGCAAAAGGCGGTTCCCAGAGATGTCTTACCTAGATCGAGCAGAATAATAGCTGGAAGGAATGCACCTCTGCAATTGAGATAACTGCAGACTGCAGGTATCAAGATGTACTGGCAAATATAAGTATTGAGTTGTGCGTGGCTTACATATTCTTTTAAATTCAAAACTTATGAGTGAATGGGCACAAACCTGCTGCAAGATAGCTCGGTAAAAAATAACTGACACTGATGTCTGGCGATTAACTCATTGCTGATAAGATAACTGTGACATTGAGTGAAGCAAAATAACTGTTTTGAAGCTACGTGAATACGACAGAAATTGGTGAAGACTTTTTAGAGGAGTAGAGATGAATTTTCACAGGATAATAAAGACCTTAAATGGACGGTCAGTTCGAGGTTCGAGAGCGATGACAGGCAGACGTCAATGACGTCATTGAAAACAATAACATAACCTTACTTATTCCTGATCGCCGATCGGATCCTGATCCTGATTCTTGATATTTTATTCAGATCTAATCTGATCCCATACCTTGATCTGATCCTGTGTGTATCGTCTCAGTGCTGTGGTTGTGACTAATTTGAAATGAGCCTTTTAGACAAATTAACTGATTCCAAGAAGAATTTAAAATCAACCGAAACTAAATTCATCCAGACTGATGGTTCAGTGTTTATTGAAAGTAGAAGTGAGACTGGCTTTGCAAAAATTCCTACCAGTGATACATCTCATGGATTTATCATCGATTTGAAACCAGATCTTCAAGTGGCCGAAATTCTCCCATGGCTTTTCTTCGGGTCTCAGGATGTTGCCTGTGATAGATCTTTACTCCTTCAACATCGTATAACTCACATCCTAAGTTTAGGTGTGAATATACCGCACTTTCATCAAATCCAGTACGAATTCATGGAGGTTTTGGACCTTCCAGAGTTCAATATACTCGATCAATTTGACAATTGCTCTCTCATCATCGACAGGGTGCGTGAGGAAAATGGGAAAATTTTGGTGCATTGCAATGCTGGGATATCTAGATCCTCCTCTGTTGTCATTGCGTATTTAATGAAGTATAACAGTCTCTCCTTGGCAGAAGCTTTGAATACTGTCAAATCCGCGAGGCCTTGTGCAAGGCCAAATTCTGGATTCATGGAGCAACTACACCACTATGAAAAATATTTATCTGAAAGGTACCTACAAATAATATCTTGGTTGCATTGTTTCAAAATCTGCGCTCCTATTTTAAGTATTTCTTATAAGAAGACCGAATCAACATCATCGCATGATATTTTCACAGAATTTTTTTCATCTAGAGAAAGAAATCACAGAAATTTTCAAGGTATCAAGTATACTCAGTAGTTTTTTATGTAGAAATTGATGCATGACAAGAAGTCAGCAATGTCGCAACCAAGATACACATTTCTGCAGTTTTACCATCAATATGGAATCATTGTTTCTCTGAATATTGTTTTGTGGGTTAACTCTCTTTCAGCTGTGGCAGCCAAAATTTTAATGGTTAAACTCCAAAATTATTGCATATTATAAATATAATAGATTGGTATAGTTAGATCATGTTTATTTTTCCAAAACAGAATCTGCAAGATATTTTGATATTCAATTGAACGCAGCCAAGAGCAATGCTTATGTGGCTGAGTCAGTTTACATATTAATTCAATAATTAGATAGGTAGGTTGATAGAGACATTATTTTATGTATAAATGAAACAGAATATGCAATGAAATATTCAATATCCAGAATATTCAAGAAGATCGAATGTTTAAGTAACATAGCATGACTGAACAAAACCATCAAACCTCAATGACCTGAAAAAATGATTGCAATGGCTCAAAATCGGGACATACTAACCATCATGAATAAAGCCGGTATCATACGATCAAAGTGGAGCTCTCAAAGCGGCATCTCAAGACCCTCAAATATTGTCCGCTTGACATTCTTTAAGGATCACATGACTCCACACAACACCACTTTGAAAGCTCCACTTTGACCGTAGGATACAGGCTTGACAGAAATATGTTTCCATGGTCAAATCCTCCCTCCCTCTAAAATGAGAGTATGAACTTTGCAGCATCTTATCGAAGAAGACTAAATAAATTGCAGTGTTGCAAAAAATTCGCAGTCTTTTTGCTGTGATGAATACTGATAGTATCTGACGAAATGAAGTCCTCAGTATCATTTGCTGTATTTAATAAAAAAAATTGTACAATTTTTTACGGGTATAATTATTAAACTTTCAAGGCTTTCTAGCGAGAAAGATGATACTCCAGGTTTTAGTGATTTTAGAATGAATCTTGTTCCCTCCGGCCAATTTTCAAAACTGTTGCTCTGTAGAAGTCAAGAAGAGCAGCCAATGATGAAACACTGCAAGAAATAAATAGTTCAAATTGAAAAAATGCAATATTAGCCAGCATTTTACAAAAGGACAATGGAGATACCTTTGTGTTCCCTTCTTTTTCAATTTCCCCATCAGAATTTGTAAAAGTTAAATGAATCCTTCCTCTGAAGAGGCTTGATTTACTTTAATTTAGTGTTTAGGTCCCTCATGAAAAAAGTTGCTCTAGTGTATTATTCCGATTAATTTTTATTTCTTTTGTTGCAGTTCTAGTCTGTATGGAAAAGAGAATTGTTCTAAAGAATCATGCCGATGATCACAGGAACATGCTTCTAATTAATATTTTCTTCCAAGAAGAGAGGTTCTTGCAACATAGCTCTCTTTGTATCAATGAAATCAATACTTGAAGGGAAAAAAACAAATGTGTCTTCTCATGCCTTACCTGAGAGGTATTTGGAGGCAAAGACATTATGAACATCAACTTAGCTGTACAGAATGTTTGTGTCCCAGTAATGGAATCAATGATGTGAGTTTCTTTCCTCAATTTATTTCCAACTTTTTTTCTTCTTTTTTTTAATATCGGTTGTAGATCAATATTTTGAAACAAGTTACATAAAAATTGCTGGGTTGCTGAAATGCCCCACTCACAAACAAATGGTTCCTTGACAAATTATGTGGAACAGTTAAGAGGTTGGACACAGTTAAGGCCAATGGGCCTGTTGCAAACCTTTGCTTGAGCAAAAATGCGAGTCGCTACTCATAGAAATATCTCAAAATCACGATGAGCGCATCGGCAAAGTCTGAAATGCACTCCTTGCTTCATAATTTGCATAAGAAATTTGCGTCTTTTCAAGCTTCCTGCCTCAAAAACGATACCACGGCACAGGTGAACATTTCGTCAGAGGAGTCATTCCATCCAACCCCTGCTCACAAGGATACTACGCAATATTCAACATAGTCACCGCCAATCTGCCAAAACATATGTGAAGGGGCGATGATTCTAACCACCTATACAACCGGCGTGTTTATATTCACATTTTTCTCGCGTTCATAGATATCCGCCTTGATTGACCTCATGCTCTCCTCAACTTGCGTGCGGAAGCGTCGGCCATGTTGAGCAGGGATTGAACGGAACAACTCCTCTAACAAAATGTTCGCCTGTGCCCTAGTATCCTTTCTGAAGCAGGAAGCTTAAAAAAAGCAAATTTCATACGCAGATCGTAAAGTTAGGAGTGCATTTCAGAGTTTGCCGATGCGCTCATCGTCATTTTTGGGATATTATCTATGAGGAGCAACTCTTATTTTTGCTCTAGCAAAAGTTTGCAACAGGCCCATACTGCTGTGCTAAAATAAAGTTTTGAGAAAATGGGCTCATCTGAGCAGAATATCATTGAGAGAAGCCTCCATTCTTTGCCAAATTGCCATCAATCATCCAGAAGACTCTCAGAAATCGTTTGGATGATTGAAAACTGACGAATTTGATCTCAACTATAAAAAAAAGGGAATTTTTCATTTTCATGTTAGGCCAGTGCTAGGCAAGACAGCCGTAAATGCTATCTTCCTCATGCTTCTGTGGTTGGGTTTTGGACACACAACAATGTATTTTAAGATCAGAAATTAGCAGAAATGGGTGCCATTTTACTCAGAAGTAACTACCTGATTACAATCCAACTTTATGCTCACCATTACTATTTTAATTAACTTATTTTTTAGCACATTAGAAAGCATTATCCGTCAAAATCTGAAAATCAAATTTTTCAATTTAATTTTTAATGCAATTAAAATTTCTCTCCTAAAAATTTTACCTCTCACAGTGTCCTTTCTCCCATCAATGGTCACACCCAGGGAAAAAATGGGGAGACCCATGTGTTTCAATCCTTCCAGTTGAATTTTACTAGGGCGTTTTTCTAAATTTAAGTATTCACAGTTAGAACTTGTAACCTCCCTCCCCCCTTTAATCAATGGCATTGCATCCTTCCCCTCTCCCCCTCATCAGCCTCTGGTGACTAATGTCTGAGATGGTCACAGGCCGTCCCAATCTTAGGGCTAGCACGGGGATCACTACTCCACAGGAGGCCAATTATTACAAACTCCATGTCTACCGAACTCAACAACTCAGTAAAGATACACTCCCTCTGTTTTACAGGTCATTAATCCCAATAACATGATGATCAATGGAGAGACATAATGTGTTGAAACTTTTTAAAAGTGATAACCCTTACCCTCCTCCCCCCCCCCTCTGCAGCCCTAAGTTATGTATCATTAGTCTATTTTTTCCTCCTCAACACTTACTTCCTGGAATAATTTTTAATTATCACTGGTTCCATGTCTTTGAACCTTTCCCTGCAATGATTGGTGCCATAGGCGTAAATAACGTATAATTTTGTTCAAGTATGACTGAACAAGCTCCTGATCTATTAATAAAGAAACTCACATAATTGAAACAAAAAGTGGAAATTTTGCTCTCACAGTTGAAAAATTCCGTTTTATTTTTTATGAGGCATGATTAATTTTTAATTTTACTTAAAGCAATATTACTGTACTTTTTGTCAAGTTAGGTACAAAGTGAATAGCAGCAGAATTACGTGGTCTTATTTTTACAACAAGGTAATTTTTTTTTTTCAGCATGTGTATACTTTTCTTTACATTTTTATTTGATAAGTTGATTGAAAGAGGGCATGCATGGTTAATTCGCCAGTTGTGCTAATAATAATCACTCCTGAGGCAACACTATTGAACCCAGTTACAGCTGTCTGGTAATCATTTCACCATCTGAGGTAATGAATAGTTTTGTACCTATGTGTGTGTGAATGTAAATGGGGAAAACTTTGAACTGCTCAAGAATGCAAATTGCCTTTATCATCCTCTAATGGGGCAATATACATTGGTAATTAGGCTCAAGAAATCCAAATTTGATGGTCCAGTACTTAGGGTTTCCCGATGGGGCACGGGGGACCCCAAACTGGTTAAATTTATGAGTTTAGGGTCCCCCTTTTCAGCGAAGCTTCAGGGGGCTACGGGACCATGAAATTTTTGATTCCTTTGGGTCGATTACTTTAAAGAATATCTTTGTTCGAAGCCTCTTTGTCATATTAGTAAACTAGTGTTTTTCGGAGGGGAGTTCTGTCTCTCCCTTTTAGGAGACAGTATTTTTGATGGGCCGATTTTTAATTTCTTGGTGTCTTCTTAGGTTTACATTTCCCCTAATCTCCGATTTCAATAGGGTAATTTCAAAATTTTGAAGAAAACCCCGGTTTTAAAGTAAAAACCCCCCTTTATCCTGGAGGGGGGGGGGGCTTCGAGGTGATGAATTTCGGTTGTCCCGGGGTCAATTCCCTAATCATTTTCACTGACCCTGACCTAAACCAACCGAGGAAAAATCCTGGTGTGAGTGGTGTGGGACACCCTGCACTTGCATTAAAACGGTTAATAGTATGTTACAAGCAAGTGTCTAATTTTTTTATAATGAGATTAAAACAGCCAGTTATCATCTTCAAATTCTGTTTCTCCTCTGTTGTCAGATATTGCAGGCACATTTTCCCCCCTAATTTTTAACTAGATAGATAATAGTTGAAATTCCACTTTCTTTTAACCTCTTCATTTCCCTATATAATTAAATTTTATCTCAAAGGTTCCTGGTGTCACATTCAAATCAGTATCTATTCTTTAACAAATTTGTTTCTTCAGTTACTTCCTGCTCTTTATCAGTTGTGGTGTCAAAAGTGAGCCAGAGTTTGACAGGAGTATATTTCACCTTTTTCAAACCTCCGGCTAATTCAATTTATTTTGCTCATGTTTTACCTTAATTATTTTATCTTATTTAGACTTTTTGCTCTGTCTCAATATCTATCATTATTATTAATAAAGTGAATCTTTCAATTAATTTTTGTTTCTCTCAATAATTTTTTTGGTTTTCGTTCGTGTAAGTCACACAGATCTACTCTCTTATTACTTTTATGTACTTTTTTTCTTTCCCAAAGTTTTTAGCTGTTCTGTCTTAGCCTGTGTTTTACACTGAAAATATTTATAATCAAGTGTGTGTATGTGTGTTTTTTTTTTTTTTAAACATAGAGCATTGGACATTGAACAAATAGAAACTACAAGTGTTATATTGAAATCGCTTCCCCAAGTGGTCGGACATGAGCTCAACAATTGAACTACCTGCAGTTGAAGCAGAATTGGAGAAGGTACCAGAATTTCCACAGAAAAATTTGGAGGTATTGAAAGAATGGGTGGACGCTGTCCCAAATTTACCACCAATATCTGGTAAGTACTTCTGATTAAAGATTTCTACAACCATATAAATTGAAAAATTAAGCCAATTGAAATTTTAGGAGTGGAAAACAAAATCCCACGTTGCGCAAACTACATGTGAATTTACAGCCCCCGTATCTTATGTCATCTTTAACCCTTAGATGACTAACCGTTTTTACCTACAAGAATGCCTAACCCGGGCCTGCAAGGCCTGTATTGAGAATTTATGGTTATTTGATAGCTGCGATGCTTCTTTCTCTGTTTTTTGAAGAATTTTATGATTTTCATACTTCGTCCTCCATAACTGAGGTCTCAAACTCTCTTTCTACCCATTAACGGCCTCCCTTCCCCTCTAACTCTCCCTCTCCTCTCCCCAGTCCCCTCAGATCTAGAAGCCTCTCACTATCAACACATTTTTATGTCTTTTTTGAGATTTTGAGGAAGTTACATTGAAGAAACATTATTACCTCTAAAAGTATACTTGAATTTGAGAGGAAGGGGGCAACCTACACCACCCCTACCCCCTCCCCATCCCTCCGGTAGCCATAAAAATTAGTACTTTCCTATTTGTTTCTCTCTAAGTTTTGCACTTAAAAGGTTTATTTTTTTAATTTCGGAAAAGAAAAGAAAAGTCTAAAATTTATTGTTGTTATTTATTGAATATTTCTACAGTGGATATCGGATATAACGACATCGGTTATAACGACATATCGGGCAAAACGACGTAAACTGGTCGGTCCCGGCTGAAATCCCATTCATTCAATGTATTTATGTATCGGTTATAACGACATCGCATATAACGACATATCGGTCATAGCGACGGAGTTTTCGCGTCCCAACAGATGTGGTCATCGGTTATAACGGCCTGAGCAACAGCAACAGAGGCCGAAGAGGAGAGGATCTCGTTTCCAGACGCCCTAAAAGCCATCACAACTGTTCAAAAATTCCTAATTTTGAACCCAGAATGGAACGATTCTACTTTATCACACTTTACGCTCGGCCCATAGAGCGTTACAAAAAGGGTACGCGAACACGATAGTGAAGCAAAAAGAAATCGCGGACTATTATTCAAATTAGAAGTTTTATACTTCTTCGGTATTGCGCGTATGTATTGTAAACATAATGTAGTGTGTAGTGCATGTATTCTCAATATTATAAAATACCTTGTTTTTACAATTTCAAACAAAGTGTTTTAATTAAAATTAGTCCTAGAATAAAAAAATAAATGAATTAAATAAATATTCAATTCAAATAAAATTAGATAAAGCTAATAAACAAAGGTGTTACTGAAGAGATAATGAATCAGCAGCAAAATTCACCGGGCCCTGGAATCCCACCTACAGCCTACAGCACAGCCTTGTTCTCAGCTCTTTAACATAGGGTACGTGCGTAAAAATTCCACTATCGGTTATAACGACTATCGGCTATAACGACCGAATATGGCTGGTCCCTTCAAGGTCGTTATATCCGATATCCACTGTACATTATTTCAATTTTTTTGAATACTTCTACATCACTTCAAATTTTTCGACAAGTTAGAGCAAATTTCGGATATTACAGTGAATTATAAGATAAACGGGGGACAAAATTTCTTGTGAAGTTTTTAATGGTTTTCCTGAGGTTTTGCTGTGATTGTTGTACCTGAGAAATGGTCATGGAGGTAATATACTGTCTAAGAACTGGCAAAGCACCGTGGGTTTTTTTCTTACAACTAAAAGGTAACCTCTGTACATATTTACTGTATCACAAGAAGCACCTGAAATTAACTTGTAACAACTCTTAGATCATCAAAAAGTAAACATATGTAGGTTAAGAATAATGATTGCAGTAGTAGGACAACGTACAAAACGCGGACAAACGACGGAAAATATACAAAAGTAGAAAAAATTTTAGGAAAAGTAAAACATAAAATAAATTACTGGAGGTCAAGAAAATCAGACTTATTATTTACTTATTATTCATATAATTTTAAGTGCTTCTTGTGATATCGGTGATATCGGTGAATATGTAAAGGTGTTACCTTCTAGTTGTAAGAAAATAACGCATGGTGCTTTGACAGTTCTTAGGCAGTACATTACCTCCATGACTAGGGGTGGACATGAAAAAAAAATTGCTGTGCCCAAAAAAATTTCAAATTTTTTTTTTTTTTCAAGAATTATATTTTTAAGGGTTTTTGTAGAGCTATTCGTGAAGGACAGACTTCTCGGACAATTACAGCTGCCATGGCGCGAAAAATAAGAAGCCGCTGGGCCTCGTAGACCCGGTTTGTCATCTTAGGGTTAATTAAGTTTTTGTCCAAGTTTAAAGGATTACCTACTTCAATTCATGTTATTAGCCTAGTCTAACTTAATGTGCATTCCCCTCTTAATTCTCAAAAGATAAAAATTCATTTGACTGTAGGAAATTTTCATCCTATATCTACTTAGTACTATTTATACCTTTCATGAAGGCTTGACAAATTTCATGGAGATATTTTTCCCCTCTATTATGAAACCTTTAAATAATTTTTTTTTTACCATTTTCAGATATCAAATTGATACATTTTCACTTCAGTTGCTACTATGATATGGACAAAACCAAAGAATGTATTTTGAAGTATTATGATATCTTCAGAAATCATCCTGAGTTTTTTTATTGTAGGGATATTACTTCCAAGGGATCTCAGACAGCAATGAAACTATTGTAAGTATACCTTGTCTCCTTTTAGTTGTGATTTTGCTGGTTGAGCTAATACTTTGAAAACTTTTTTGAATTTTTCATTCATTTCATTTATAATGATTGAAAATAATTTTCAACCTTTTATCATATATTTATTAAAATTTGTTGAAATCAGTACTGTGCGTTTTGTTGTAAGTATATTTTAACCCAGTATCAGATTTATCTCTTGTAGATTTTGAATTGTCTGCAAGTGTACAGTACTTTTCGCTCAGCTTCTATAGTCCCTCAGCACACAGTCATGAAGGTATTGATCTTGATAACGAAAATCATCCAAAAAACAAAATGGAAACTATAGGTTAATACTATAACTATACAATAACTATAGGTAAATAGATCATAAACTGTAAGTTATTGAACGGAGAAGAGAGAAGAAGAGTAGTAAATTAGAAAATCCAAATTCACAAAAATTCTTTACCAAGCCAATGCATTTTGGGATATTGTCTTGAAGGATGAATCAAGGGTTCCCAAAATAGTATCTCTTTCTATAGAATTTTCAAGTTTGAGTATTTACTTTTCCAACTACATATACTTTCTCCTTCTCTTTAAAAATTTTAAGTGAAACAGAGATGGAGGGTTCGTAAATTTGGTCATTCCAGATGGATTAAGGACTAAGGATTCATTCTGTTCAAAGGTGGACATTTCATCTTCAGGGGTCGTTTATCAAGCCTGTGATAATAATTTTTCTACTTTAATTGGTGAAATACCTCCTCAGTTAATTTTCCTATTCAGATGTATGTAACTGAAGGTTATGAAGCCCTTTTAATTCAGTATTTGTACATTTTTTAATAATTTCATTGATTTACAGGGATTATGCTATACTACCCAATCGAACCCCTCAAGGATATCAAATTATTTTCCAAAAGTTATCTACAACAGACACTCGAGAATTTGATTTCTGTGAGGGAATTAAACTCTTGAACATGATGTTGGATGGGAGTTTGTACCTCTATGGACTGGCGCCTGGCACAGTGGCGCTTCTAGACTACAAAAACTGCTCAATTGGACACATGCTAAAATCAACTCTTCCTATGTGGAAAGTAGTCATTCAGTTTTTGGAGGTAAGCTAAACATGCTTAAGCATGCATGAAGCATGCTTTTTCTCAGTGAAAGATGTTACTTAGTTTTTCACTTCCAAGTAATCTAAGAGGAAGATCATTTAAAAAAGGAGTTATGAAAACAGTGCAGAAAGTGTACTTATTTTGATTAATGAAAAGGACAGGATACGCTGTTGATAGTACACAAACTTCATTCCTTGATGTGTTAAACTTTCTAAGAAATAACCTGTCTTGTCTCTAGACAAAAACAGGCTGAGTTTACCTGATAGTTTATCTGTATTTCTTTGTTTCTCAGAGTTATATGTTCTGCAATCTAATTTTGATCTTCTTTTTTTTTGCACTAAAAGTATAGTCCCTATTTTCCCAACCTGTTGTTATTAGTCATGTAGTTCCTAAGCAATGGAACTTATAAAAGTTCTTCATCGCCCTAAGATTTAAATGAGGGTTGAATTTTATTTTTTACCTGTATGTTTTTCTACCATATTGAATCATACCCTGTGTTCTCAGCTATTATTTTGGATTGATTTTTTTTTTATCAATCTTGCATTAAGGTGCAGCCTATGTGTGTTTAAATTGAAGATTAAAAATTTTAGCTGCTAGCTTCCAAGAAGTGCAAACACAAAAAAAAAATTATACATCATAATAAATAAGTGACACCCATTTTTTTTTTTAATTCATTTTTTGAAAGTGTGGAGTGAACTGAGCTTTTAGGTATTTTTAAGGATTTTTGCAAACCCTAAACAGCAAAGAAACCTTATTTTGAATATACCAAAATGGGACCAGTTTGAAGCAATATTTTCGGTGGGCTCTTATGACGGAGCTAGGCGGGGGAAACGGCGTTCGATGATCGGCTGAATTGACTACAGGTTTCACCTTGCTACATCAACTCGACTGTTGGCTTCTAATTGGTCGGATTTTGAACAGCTTTTTCTCCCCCTAGAAGTGCTTTTTTAAACATTTTAATGAATTCTTTAGTTTTTTTCACCAAATTACAAGAGATTATCTACTCTACAACCCTGTAAAAATTCCTTGCCACTGCCCTGTTACAGCTTCAGTTAGACACACTAGCTCATCAACTAGACTCACTTAGTTTTGTTAATGTTCATCACTTTTTTGTCTCCATGTTGAAGCCTTCCTTGTTTAATAACCTTCACCTTCATTTTAATTTCTTCTTACAGACAGCAATACCTGTCAGACTCAAAGGCATTTATTTTATTAATACAAGTTTTTATGTAAAGAAGATATTCATGTTGCTGAAACCTTTTTTAAGTAAAGGGATACAAGAAATGGTGAGTTATTATCTCTTATAATCCTGTCTTTCAAAAACTTCACTAAATCTGCAAAATTTTCAGTAGCCTTCTCTTATCTCCTCCTAAGCAGTGATTAAGACCCCTCGTGTTATGAGATCAAAGTAATTTTTTTATTACTTTCATCTTTGTCCAGCTGTAATCAAGCTTCGCATGCATAATATAAGGTACCAGATGATTTGAAAGCGTTTAGTTGTCCAGGGTGGGTAGCACTGGTCTACGGTATTTGTTGATTGGCCTGTGGGACCCAGTCTTTTGTGCTTTTAAGTTTTTGACTCCAGATTAATTTATATGTATGAACATGTTTTTTGTTCAAAATTAGGATCTCAGGGTCCAAATGAAGTAGAAAGAAACTATGTAAAGAGGTAAAAAGAAAATTGAGGTACAATGTCAAAGAAAAAAAATAGAATAGAATGGAAGAAATTAAAAAGTCTCTTACAACAAGCTAATCATAGCAATGAGTCTTACGTATCGGTACCCCAGAGCCAAAAGGTACCTAACTTACATTTATGGAAAAATCGAGTTTGTGGCAATTTCAAAATCTCCATTGACGGTTCTGTGTGTCTGGAAAATTTGGTAGCCCTATCTTACGCCAGATATGAGATACGGAGTTTCAGAAATTGCGATTTACATCAGAATTAATGGGGCTAACGCGCAGTTTGCCTCTAATATCTCGGAACGACTAAAGTGGAGTTAGGTACTATTTGGCCCAAGGGTACTGATAAGTATCTACAAGAAATGTTGCTTGGGACTGTTTTAATCGGAAGCAGAATGTTTGAATCAGTATAATATGATAAACTGAAACTCTTTTTAGAGGTTAATTAGCTTTGTTTTATTCTTTTTATGAATCTATACATTGATTCAAGGCATCAGCCTAAGTACTGGTGTGTTTTCGATCATTGTTTCTTGTGGTATCAGTAAATAGATTTGTATCTTGTCATTACAGCTTCATTTTTATCAAGAGTGTGAACTGAGCTCCCTGAAAGAGTTATTTCCTCCTGAGTGTTTACCAGAAGACTACGGAGGCACTCTTCCATCTGTAGAGGATTTGCACAGTAAGATGAATAGATATGTATTGTTTTTAAGTTTTTATTTTATTCGTATGTTTGAGGTTGAAGTCCTTAAAACCCAATGTGTGACCGTTCACAGGCAGAAGAACGTTAATTCAGGAAAATTCAGAATCGAGTTACTGAAAGCAAAGCCAAGAGGAGTGCTCCACAAACATTTGGACTGAGTTCAGCATAAAGGAACCATCCCACATTTTGGAAAAAATTGAGTTATGAGTGGTTTTAAACCCAACCACCGCTCTACTATTTATCGCCAAAAATTCAAAGTTTTTGTTGGAGCAAATTTTGCAGAAATCGAACTTAAAGTTTATCTTTTACATTGAGTCTTATGCAGGAGCCAAACTTTAAACCTCTTTTTCTCGGTTCGATCCCGATGTGGCTTGGTTCCTTTCTGTTTAACTCCGTCCTTTTGAGGACTAAAATCGCCAAAAATGTCAAACCGAACTCGAAGTTGTGGCAGTTTGAAGTTTGTAGTTCAATAGAAAAACGTAATTTTGAGAAAATGTTGTTTTTGAGTTTGAATTTACTAAGTCTAGGGCTCAAAATTGAATGAACTATAATGCAAATTTACCTCTGCAGTTGGTTGAATAATGAACTGACCTGCTTAAAATTCACTATGTACAACAGTAGATGGATATTCCTATTGAAATCTCAAAAGTTGATCCTTTGACTCAACTCGTCAAAAACTGTTCTGTTCCAAATTTTGTCTCTGTCAACCAAGGTCACTTTTCTTGTAAGTGGTCAAACACTTACCAAGACTTTCTAATCCTACGTCTATTTTGACAATTGGACAGTAATTTTATTTCTGATTCAATACTTCGACAACGGGTCATTAAACCATGAACGAATTTTGACTTAAAAATACATTTTTCTGATGGTAAATGACGCGTAGAACACGATGGGTGCTTTAAATACGTATACATAAACTGCAACTTTTCCGCAAATTTAAAACGCCCAAGTTTTGTGCCGAATAGAATGATGTCATCCGGCACCAATTAGAAGCGAGCAGGGGTATCTACGACTTCCATCAAATGTCTTTCTACTCCTCGTATTAGAAAACTATAAGAAAGTCGCAATTATACTTTCAGAATCAAAGAATTGAATCTCATTCATGTTGTCTGTAGTTGACAAGCAACAATCCAACATTGAAATACATTTTATTTTAAGAATTATCTGTGGAAAATGAGAGGAGATAGTGATTTGACTGCCATTGTCCATCACTTCTATCATTTTTCGCCGTACCGGGGCATCCAGTCTTTGGAATTTTTAAAAGCAGACTTGTGCAGGATTTGGGCTTGAAGAATACGCAATAAATCACGACGTAATCTACTCACCCAGTACTCTCAGACTATTAAATAACAACCTCAAGGTTTAATGACCCATCAGTCGGAGACAAGGGACCACGAGACAAAGAAGATAATTGAGCAGTGTAATGCTTGTTCATAAGTTTTTAGGTCCTGTGTGCCAAAGAGAGAGGAAGTTTTTGTGAATATTTATAAGATTTGACTTTTGTTGGCTTTAGTTCACTGATGAGTTGATTTTGGAAATATTCTTCGGTTCCGACGTGTTTGAATGAACTTTCCTTGTGGTGACTTGTCTTGTGGTGCTTAAATTCTTACCTTATCTAGTGATCCACTAAAATATCAATGAATAAATATGAACTAAAATTAAAATTAGTGTTCAATTCAAATATTTTAATGATTCAAGAATGAGTTAGGAGGGAGCATGATAAGAATTTGGTCCTCTCATGATTTGTTTATGTATACCGCCTGTGTAATGAAATTAAACACAGAAGTCATGGTCCTGTCCTCTGTGTGGAGAAGTTGTCATACCTGGGAGCTCTTCTTTTCCATGGCTGAGAAAGTAGGGAACATGAAATATATTTCTCCAAATTGCGGTGATAGATTTTTAAACTTGGTTTCCATGATCAAAATTGATGCAACTACTGAGTTTTTCCAGTCAAAATTAAGAAATGCCTCTAAGTTTTCATCAACATAAATCGAGAGGAGAGTATCTGAAGACATTTATTTGATACTCTGTACACAATTCATGTAGATTGAAAAGTAGCGCTGCCTCTTTATTTTGTTCGGCAACATTCAACAGCCGCATTGATGGTCTATTTTGACAGGTTCATTTTTTATCACGGAAACCAAGCTTTAAAAAACAGTTGTGCGAGCAGTTCATTTTTTAGCATGATGTTGTTTATTCACTCAAATGTTTACAAAATAATGAGAGAAGAATGAGTATGAGTTGGTGTTACACTGGTTCGTAAGATTTTGACACTGACATATTTTACCAGCAATATTTAGGTGGAATACAGAATTATTCACCCAACTAGAAAATACACACGTTTAAATTATTGATTTAAAAAGAGAACAATAACTGATTGAATTGTCTCACCCTGTTTCTTTTCTCTTTTTTTGCAGGTGAATTTGGTGAGCAGATGTTACAGTTGCGAGAGTTATTTTTACAGGAGGAGGATGAAGTGAAAAATCCAGCTCAGTACAAGAACAAACAAAAAGTAGGCCAAGCCATAATTAATACTTAAGACTATGCTATTTGATCTCAAAATCCTCTTAAATGAGTAGTTAGAGGTCTTGTTATTCTACGTTCGTGATACATTTTAATTTAAAATAAACCCAATGAAATTTTACTTTTAGGTACATTTATAAGCATTTTCAAACTCTTCCCGTGACTTGATTAGTGTGTGCCATAGATCCGTTGGTTGCCCTATTTTAATTATTCTGTTTCATTGGTTCATGTCTAGCATGTTAAGTGGAATTGGCTAGAGCAGTCAATTTTGTATCATTCACTAATGCGTTACAAATCATAGTCTTTTCAGTTCAATGTTCAGATAATATGGACCTTTGGCGTTTGAATTGATTTAACAATATCAAGGACACTTTTAAAAGAAAAATAAAAAATTGAATCACTAGCTGAATGAAAAACTCAAAAATTATGAATTTGGTTCACTTTCAAAGAGTAGTCTTCTTTATAGGCGTGCTGGTCAGTTTATTACTGAATGAATATTTCATTGAGTCTTTTTCGTTAGCTTTTTTTAAAATTCTCAAAATTTCTCTGACTGGAAATGAAAGAAAGCTAGAGCTATCATCCAAAAGACGTATAAACTCCTCGATCGCTACAGTCCATCTTTCTTCAGTTTTTTGAGAGAGCTCATCATCTTCAAAATCTTGCGAAATGTGCAATCCACAGCTGTTTTCCTTGAAACAAGCATTTGATCTCCACAGTTTAGAGACACCATCTTCATCAGAATTTCCATCCCATTTTTCTTCCACTGTAGATGAAGCCATGTTTACATACTTTTCAATTAAATTTTGCATCATTGTACAAATAATTTGTAATTTTTCAGTCATGTGTGAATCATTAAAATCAATTTTCCTTCGCTCTGTATTGTGCCTTTTGGGTCTCCTCAAAAGTTTTGAAACTCTCTCCAGCAGGAACTCTACAATGTTCTGACAAACTACTTTATTGCTGCTGAGCTCTACCAGGAAAAAACACTGCTCTTCCCATCTCAGGAACTGTAACAAAATCAAAATGTTCATGAAAATTTTAGTCAATATGTTTGACATCAATAAAAATCAGGTAAATGGCATATCAGACTCTGTTTTTTTCTTTTTTATAATGAATAAATCATGCCCAGCTACAGTGCAGAATCATGTTTTGAGGACCAATCAGAAATTTAATGGATAAATGCAACAGTTTTATTTCATCTTCTTCCTATCAGTTTTCCATCAGAGGAAACTTATAGTTCTTTTACCTACGTTTTAAAAACATTTATTGGCTGTCAATACCAAAAGTTCTGTACCTTGGAGGTTTTTTCCTCAAAAATTGGGTGTTTCTTAATCAGAAGCAATTAACCTCCTCCTCCTCCTCCTCCTCCTCCCCCCCCCACCCCCCGAATAAATAATCACCGCCGGTTACATTTGGAGCTAAACAGCACTGTTTGATATTAACCTCTTCACTCATTTCTCTGTTGTAGTTTGCCTTCTTAATCGCTTACTGTTGGTTTCAAGTAGTAAAATTATGTGCGGCCAGACTAACAAATGATACTTAGATCAGTCAGAATGCTGAAATTTTCATTCCAATATTTACTTAAATGTCTCCCTTCTTAAAAAATAAGGTGGATTACACTATCGATTGGGTCATTTGATACTATGCATTCAGTTTTGTAACTGTCGAGAACGAGAAAAAAACAAAGTTGTGACACAACAGAGATGTGACTGACAATGAGCATGTCAGCTAAGTCACCATAACTTTTAACTGAAAGTTACCATCATGATAGTGCAAGGCTTGTTATATCTTGAAAATTCCTTGAATGTACTTCCTTGATTTTTCTCTCCCTAATTTTCAAGCCTTTGTGTATTGTTGCACGAAAAAAGCCCCTGAATTTTTCTTCATTTAGTTATTTCGAAAATCACTGTTTGAAGATTGGTCTTTTCATCTCTCACGCTAGAGACTATCAAAATGACAAATAGCATTATCTAGAGGTAAATTTCAAACAAGATGAGTTTTAGTCAAAATTTATTTACCTGGCATGTATCATCGGACGTCAGTATACCGTCTATTGTTGCCTTGATGAAATCGCAGCAAATATCAAAGCTTGTCCTCGTGTTTTTGTCAGGAGCCATCATGTTGAGCCTCTCATCAAAGTAGCGCTTTATATCAGTAAATACCCTTTCCACCAGCAAATTTGGCCAATCAAAGGTTGCATCATGTAACTTAGACCAATCATTCAGCACATCATTCATGTACCCAAAGATCAATCGCAATAAATTGGTCAACATCTCCTCTCTGTTCGTTCCTTGCTCTCGTTGAGACTTAGTCTGAGGATCAAGATCTGACCCTTTTATGTTCCTGCGGTTGTGGCTTTCAAAAATTGAGCTCGTCTGACTTGTTGCACTATTTAACTTCAGGGCACTCATTCTAGTGGTGAATTCATCGAAAATATCTAAATCTTTTTGATTCATTTCGGAATGTATCATACATGAAAATTGATCCACAGCACGGTAAAATTTTGTGAAAAAGACCATTTGCTCATCCGATGTATTATCATCAATTTTATGGACTGAGTCCCATTTCAGACTGTCCAGAAGATGTGGGTTTGCATGCTCTTGCATCATTGCACCCAGTTGTGAATAACGCAGTTCATTTGAGTCGGGTGGATAAAAAATTGCAACCTTATAATTTGAATCACTTTCCGTCATTTTTTCAAATTTACAATTCCGTTTTAATGCCTCAGCCTCAGTTTGTTCTGTTCTTTCTTGGTATTTTTTTGCGCAAGAAGAAAATGGTACTCTCTCATCTGTTTTTATTTTGTCCACCTTTAATGGGGTAGAGCTTTCAAGATTATTCAGGTCATCTTTGAAAAAGTTAGTGGTATTAAGCTCCTTATTGTTAAAGCAGAGTTTTTCTATGTTCTTGCTTTTTTCTTTTTGCTGATGAGCCTTCAGACATTGACTGTGGGATTGAAGTTTTTCATTCAGAAAACAGTGAGAGTAAAATTGACTTTCCGGAGCTAAGGAGAGAGAGGCAGTTTCATTCATTTTCTTAGATGTTTCTTGTAAGCTCTCAAGTAAAGTTGTAGTTGTTGTATTGCTTTTATATTGCCCTAGCTTTTCTTGCAATGTGTCTGTTGTTTCAAATTGAGTTTCATCGGAATCAACCGAAGAGTTTTTTGTAACAAGTTGTAACTCTTCATTTGTATGTAACTCACAGTTGATGTATCGTGAGGTTTTTTCACATACTTGCTGTTCACAAGTATTCTCTGCAGACAGCTTGTCTAAGTTAGTAATTGGTGTCGTATTTGACATATTTTTTCGCTTATCTTCTTGACGGTATAAAGTTTCTTCAGATACATTTATCACATCGAACTGAGTCTCACTGGCATTTAACAAGATGCTGTTTTCCATGATTGTTCCGTTTGCTAGTCGTCTACAAGTCTGCTCAGTGCCTCTAACAGCTCTATCTTTATTTTTCAAATCAACTTTAAAGGCATCTATGAAAAGAAAAAGAAACCAAACTTTTGAATCAATCTGGCGAATGGAGTAAAAATATATGACACCTAAAGAGTCTTGTTCGTCTAAAGTAGATTTTACCCTTTGGACTGCAGGTGGCATAATTAAAATGCAGTATAACTGGAAACTACTTGTAGAGAGAAAGATTGTAAAAAGTTGAAGAAAGAAAAATTTCTTCGTAACTGGCCTATGCTGCCGTGCTAAGCAAGAACGCTGTAAATCCATCAAGATTTTCCCTTGTTTTTCGGAACTTAACACATCATAAAATAAAAACTATTTTACCCATGCATCTCAAATTTTCGGGTTAAATTTTTGATAGTATTTTCAAAAGCATTCTGTTAAAACATTTTTCCAAGGTACACACGTTTTTCTGTTATACATTTTCCCCAAAAAATGTAAAATGGCGTTTACGGCGTTTTTGCGTTGCACGGCAGTCTGGTGGTCAGGAGTCGGTCACACTTGTGGAAACTTTCATGGGAAATTAAAATGACTGTAGCAGGCTTTTGCTCAAGTTTAAAAATTTAAGAGGCCCTCAGGTTTTCTCCCTTTTTGAAATCAGGCAAAGTTTTACGTTTTTTAAGTGTCAGTAGGAAAGTGAAGAGAATTGCTGGAAAAATTTTCACTAAATTATTTTTGGAGAAAAGTTGCAATAGTTCAAGAACCTTTACCTCAATGAAACTTCCCAGAACAGACTCGCCATTCCTATTCTATTTCACTATGAAGCTCTAGGACATGGTTCAAGGTAGATTGTGCTTTTGCTAAAGTACTTAGTACTAATTTTAAATATAAAATCACACTTACCATCAGCACCACACAAAGCATCATATATAAGGAGTGCTTTGTCGTCTGGGAATATCCATTTTAGTTCCTTCAACAAGGTGGGACCAATTTTAAAAATTTGGTGAGTTTGGTTCTTCATCAACACTTTTTCTTGAAGCTCATTAAACTGAAAGTAAGATAATAAAAAAATAAGTAAAGTTTCCTTCCAATTCAACTGTTATAGGATTAGCTTCACTTTTATAAATTGAAGATATTGTATGAAAATCCCTGGCATAAAGATATATTGTACTGCATCCTGTAGTGTGTAGCACAAGCCCATGACTGCTGTCATGTTGTTTTCTATTCCCTGCATTGTTCCAATTTTTCGCTGAATGCACAAATATTTATTCTTTCAAATGGGTCTTCTTTTTCCTCTTCAGTATTTTATAAATAAACTTGTGTGCTCAAAAGTGATATTTTGAACGAGTCTCTCAGAAAGAAGTATTTTATAAATGTGTGTGACCTCTGTGTCTTTTTTGAAAAGATCTGTATCAATACCTCTGGAAGGGAAGCAGCAATGATGAATTTTATTATCTTAATTTCTTCCTGAAATGAGGGGCTTGGAGGACAAGGTGCATAAGTGCAGTTTTAGCTATTTCGAGAGATACAGGTTTGAAGTTTCGAAATTACATGGATCCTTTGGCAGAAAGTAAGTTCAGATTGAATTTTTGATTCTTAAAAATTGGAATTTGGACGTGAATTTTTCATAGAATATGCATTAAGACCAGTTTTACTTAAAATCGTCAATATTTCAATTTTTCAAAAACTGCACCTATGCCCCTTGTCCTCCAAGCCCCTTAAATAGGATCTTAGATCTCACAATTTTATTTATTATTATTATTATTTTAACCCCTCAAGTTTTAAGAGAATGAAAATAAAATTGAAATACACTTACAAAAAGTAAATACTTCCGAACACTCTTAGCGTAAATTTTTGACTTTGATCCTTTTGGTTTATTTTTGATGATGACATGATCTAGAATCTGTTGCACATTTATAATTGATACATCATCTGAAAATAGAACAAAAATATTTTTGTTAGAGAAATGCAGACTTGTAAATGGTGAAAAATATTAGCTGTGTAGGTAAATTTTTGTAGCGTTAAAATCCTGTCAGTGAAAAGTATTTCTCATCCAGTCCCTTTCCATCGAGTCATGTTTTTTTTCCAGAACAATTAAAATTATTTAAGTGTGTGTGTATATGAATTATGGCGCTGTGCAACTCTTGATCGCTATCAAAGCCCATCCTTTCACAGATCATAAGGCAAAAAACACTTTCTGATCTCATCCTCCACTCCCTACCGCATACCCTGTATTGGAGGTCCACTCCGCATTCTCCTAAGAGGAGCGGAATCAAAAATTTTAACGCTTACATTCTTTTTTATTGATTTCTGAATTATTTGAAGCTAATTTAAATAAAACAAGAATATTTTTAGTCCATAAAATTAGATTTGTTCAAATTTAACTGTGTTTTGAACTGGCTAGCTGTTTAATCATCTCATTTGAGAGACTGTCAGTGTAACAGTCAATGATCCTGCATGTTTATTTGCATTTCATCTTACGCCTAAAGGTAAGTCTTCACATCTCTGAGTAATAACTTGCTGCAATAATTAATTTCAAAAGCACACATTTGATTGCAATGTTTTAAAATGTAATTTCTTAAGTACTTAACTTTTACAAGATACTTATAAGCATCTAATATTACGTATTCTTCAAATTTTTTTAAGAATATTTAGCAGAAGTGAAAGAAATGGAAATATAAACTCTCATATTGATGGCCAAAGTAACCGCATACCTCCTTTTGCAATGTTTTAGATTTTCTGTCACACTTGATATTTTTATCTATGAAAAGCTAGTCAATTAGGTACTTAATTTCTTGGAAATTTTCTTGATTTTTATCCTCTTTCAGCAGAATATTCTGTACGAATTTCAAGGTGTAAAGTTGGCCTGTGTTTCTCTTTGAATGGATAAAAATAGTTGGAAAAATTTTGAAACACTGCAACTGATGTACGTAGTTTCGCTTTTTGGGCAATGATAAGAATGAGGCCAATCATACCTAAAGTGCAATCATGCTGTGAAAACTTGCATTTCGACAGTGTAAGTCCGCAACCATGTATCTCCGTTTGTGACGTTGCAGACTTCCTGTCATACCTACTCTATGTTTTAAACAGAAAACTACTCAACAGCAATTCTTAAAAACTGCCGTAATTTTTCTTCTCTGTGCTCAGAAAATTCTGCGGAAACTTCAAGGAATGATGCAGATTTGTCCTTCTTTAAAAAAATAAAATAAGAGAGGAGATTTTCAAACACCGCAAACGAGATAGTTGATTGTGTATTTGCACCTTCGATTTGTATTTTTTATTGGTTTTTATGAAGTAAGGATAACAAGTAATATTATGGAGAATTTTTTTGCATAAACATTGCTAATTTTTTTTTTTTTTGGGGGGGGGGTGCTTCCTATTGTATGAATCAGAGACAAAGTCAATTTTCGCTTTTAAATCCTCCACGCAAGCTTGCTTATAAAAAAGTTAAAAATAACAGAGTTCACTGGATTTTTGCATTTCCTATACCTCAAACGCAGTGTCTACTTAATTGTGTGGCTCTTTTCCTAATATAAGTAAGCCAATTTTACTTAGCCACGGTGAAAGTTGGCAATCACGTAACTCTGTTTGCAACGTCGCAGACTTCTGTCTTACTTTACTTTTCAAACGGACTACTCAACGGCAATTCTTTAAAACTGCCGTGATTTTCTTTTTTTCTTCTTTTTTTTTGACAAGTATTGTTGAGCCACACCATGTGGCATTTATATATACTAATGTAAATAAATCAATAAATAAATTTTCCTTCTCTGTGCGAAGAAAATTCTGCAAAAACTTCAAGGCATGATGTCAATTTGTTCTCCTTCAAAAAAATAACACAATGACGGCGATTTTCAGACGCCGCAAACGAGATATTATATGATTATGCCGACTTACACCGTCGTTAAGTAATTTTTGCAGCGCATTTCATGAGGCCAATATGGATGCGTTTTAGAAATGCTCTGCTTTCGGCCGCGAAGTTATAAACGTTCGCTGATCATTTTTTATGTGCTAAGCCGATTTAAAGTGAGGGCGGTAACACCTATCATCTAACTCCGAGAATATTGTGCAAAGTCTGAAATTTTGAAGATTTGGAGCTCCCTAAAAATGCATGAGATGTTCTGAACAATATGCTTCCTACCTATCATCTAACTCCGAGAATATTGTGCAAAGTCTGAAATGTTAAAGATTTGGAGCTCTCTAAAAATTCATGAGATGATCTGAACAATACCTATGCTTTCCCCTGAAATTACCTATCAATTTTGAAAGTACTTATAATTTATAAGTCAACATTTGAGAGGAAGGTGCACAGTTTTCTTACCTAATTGTGAATCCGCACTTTCCATGATATTTAAGTCCTCTAATTTCAATGCCCATACGATGCTGGTAGCCAATTGATTTCCGGTTACTATCCCGCACTTTTTATTTGTAACCATTTCCGCTTTTGTGAAAACTCGCGCTCCGAGCTTTTCGCGGCGTTGCAATCTGATTGGTCCAGATTGGTCGTTGAGGAGAAATAACAGGAGCACAGATTAGTCCAGATCGCTAACATCGGCGGAGGAGCGTGCGTAGTTTTGTGAGCGCCATTGGCGGGAAAATCCATGGGCATTTAAAACTAGGAACCAAAACTGAAATTTTGGCTATTTTCAGCAGATTTTCGGCGGGGAAATACTTCTTTTTCAGATTTTTGTGGGATGAAACGTTCCGAAGAATTCAAGAATTAGTTTCTCGGTAGAATTTATGTGGTTCAATATTTCCAGATTAAATAATTAAGGTGGAAATAAATAAAGAAGGAGAATTAATTAAAATACGAGTAAACAAGGCTAAAAATTGTTGAAACACTAAAAGGTAAGACGTTTCGAGCTGCTTCCAGCTCATTTTCAGCTGCAAAAACACATAAAAACAAGTAAAAAATTGAGTGGCGACCTGACCTCAACCGTTATCACGTAACCACTCATAATAACGGCTGGGGTCAGGTCGCCACTCAATTTTTTACTTGTTTTTATGTGTTTTTGCAGCTGAAAATGAGCTGGTAGCAGCTCGAAACGTCCTGCCTTTAAGTGTTTCAATAATTTTTAGCCTTGTTTACCCGTATTTTAATTAATTCTCCTTCTTTATTCGTATAATCGGGCTATGTTTTTGTGATTTATCGGTGGAAATAAACAAATCAGCGTTCATCAGTATACTGAGTAGATAACATTATTGAAAAAATTTGCAGATTATAATATATCATATTTTTGAAGTTTAAAGCCTTAGAAACCGAAAATTAAAGCAAAATCCTGCCAAAATGAGACTTTTGGTTCCTAGTTTTGAATTCCCGCCAGGCCCCCAAGAGAGCAGTTAATTGCTACCAACTGTTGTAAGAATATTGAAACAGAATACTTAGCATAACAGTACTTGATAAAATCTTATTTGATCAAAAACCATTATTATACATTACTATCTATACTTTATTAAAGCTTTATAATCAGAATCAAGAGGAAATTTCTCTCGATCCGGTCAAGTTCTTTCACTACTGGTAGTGCCATCAATTTTCTAAAGTTGCCTAACCTGTAAGCAAAATTACTCACGCTTCTGAAGCATTGGCTAGATTGGATGTTAGCGATCTGGACTAATCTGTGAACAGGAGGTAAGATTTGGCTTGCCGTCCTTTGATGACGTCAATAGGTACTATTTGTATCTGGTTACGTAGTGCTAGTTCGTTGGTCCGCTCCCAGGAGTCCCAGGTCTCTCTGCTTCTGTCTACTCTACTTCTGTCCAAGGCGGATAAAGAATGGTGGTCGCATTTCGATTTTGGCTGCCATCTTGAAGCGTTGTGACGTCAGGAGGGTACGGGTTATGCCGTGCAATCCGAGGTTGAGTCGGCCCCCCCGGCCTCGGCCAGCCCATGTACCCGATGTACCCGATACCGTGTGACGTCCAGAGAGTACGAAATGCGACCACCATTCTTTATCCGCCTTGACTTCTGTCGTCGTACTTTGTTCATCGATGATATGACGTCTTTTCTTGCGTCTTGCGTTATTCGTCGTAAATTCCAAAGTCTGAATTTTTAAGTTGTTATCCTCTTTTATCGTCCCTTAACTTTCGTTGCAAGCAATGAGCAAGTGTTCATAAGCTTGTAGGTTGTTCATGAAACAACCTTCTCCCCTTTGTGCAGTTTTTATTTTTTCCGAAGTGGCTAAATACCTCTCACCATTCCGTCATTAACCGAAGGCCAGCCGAAAGGGTGGCTTCCATATTTTGTTGAGGTAATTTTTTTATTATATTTTGAAGTGATGCTTTTAACTAAAGTTATTTTCGCTGGAACTCACTCTGCGTCGAATTTGAAGAGTTCTATACGTCCTTTACCATCCACCCTCTCCCAAAATGTCAATCAAGACTGAACTACCCCTAGATAGGAGTACTCCAAGATAAGACTCATTCTCCAATGATTTCAATGTTCATTCCTCTAAGTATGTTTTAGTCAAATGTTTCTCCGAATTTGGCTTACTTTGATCAATCGTCTCGATACTTAATGACTTTCAATTCCACTGCCTTAGCATGAACTGACTGAAGGTCTAGGTATATTCATTACCACTTCGCCATTCGCTGTGATTCTCCAGATTGATCCGAATCACAGAATTAAGTTTTTTTTCTTCTACCGAGTGGATAAGAAATGATGTGAGTAGAGGAGTGAACTTGTCTCAAGGTCTATTAGATTATTGCAGTGACAAAGAGGTAATGGAAGTAGGAGGCTTTAACATTGGAGCAATTCGTTTGATTGCAACAAATGTGTATTATCTGGTGATTACATGTACAAATTAGACTCTCATGCCTTATCACAATATTTAAGACCAACTGAAGCTTTTGAGCATTATTATTCTTTTTAGCAATAGCAGCAGTATCTGTGTGATTTTTTTATTTTCTGTCAGAAAAAGTCAAACACCCTTTCTTATGATGACATCATACTAGTCTGAAACTCACCCTTGAAAATTTTATTGATAAGAGAAAATCCCACCTATTTTCTTGTATCATATAAATGCAGCCAGGATTGAAGATTGACACTAGAGCCTATAAGGGAATCGAATATGCTAGTCAAGTCTCTCATGATTCAATTACTGCTATGCACTTTCAGCATACCCTTATTTTATTTCATTCCCTTGATGAGGATGGTGAGAACAGTTACTAGCTAATTCTCAATCTTTCATTTATCTATGTCCTCGGAGCAAATTATAGAAGTAGGTAGCTCTAATTTCAACCCTGAAAACATACAACATGTGTGTATTTTATTGTCCTTCAATAAGGTCATTCAATGGTTGAATGAGCTAGTTAGAGCCTGTTTCTAATAACTTTGTCCTTTACGTTACATGTATTGAATAGGGAATTCCCAATTCCGCACATACAGGAAAATAGGGAAAGTTGTCTGGACCGGGCTCTAACAAGTTATGCACCTGCGTCCAGGGTGTACAAAGTCAAAAAAACAGACCACTGCTCCTATTAGTCTGGAACAGAATGTGACAGCCTTCAGATGCTACTACACACTTCCGCAAAATTAATTCTTGAAGCAAGTTGTTCTAACCCACTTTTGAAGAAAATTAAAAGTAGAATTGAAATAAAGTGAGATAAGAGGCTGTGTTAACCTACTACTAGAGCTAGCATAGGGAGAAAATTAATTTTAAGGAAGTACGAATCATTTCCGCTTTGCTGTCATGGTAATTGATTACCATGGTGGTATGGGTTAGTCCTAATCAGTATTTAACTAGAACTGGGGAAAGGAAAGAAGAGACAAATGTCACATCCAAAAATTGCACCATTCAACCGATATTTACATGCTAACCAATGGGCCAACTGATGATTGATGCATCCGGACTGATGTGACTTTTGTCTCTTCTTTTCTTTCCCCAGTTCTAATAAATATTCTTTGAGTGTGTACATGTATCAGTTTGGAGGAGAAAGCCAAGCTATACTTCTTTCAAACTTATATTCTCTTGTAGAGAGACATACTCTTGGTTGAAGATGGTCAGTAATCAGAGAATTTGTTACATTTCAGAAGCTTGGCAGAAGGCAGTAATATAGTAATTAATGTCTTGTATAATTATTGTCTTAAACTAATAATCTTGGTCTCCAAATCCTCATAGGATTTTGCTTGGAAAGTTGAATATTTTAAAATTCTGTGCTGTAGACGTCCCATCTGTAAATCCTTATGATAAGAGGAGGAATATGATCTAAATCGTTCGCAAAGGGGGGCTGGCTGCCCCTCTGCCCTCCGAAGGTTGATGACTATTCCCACAAAATTAGTGATTGTATAGAGTCGCTTAGTACCAGTAGACCTCATATGAGTCTTTGCCACCTCTCTATAAAATTTGTCTAGTTTTTCCTGTATCCAAGATTCGCCTAGTAACCCCAGATTTGTTGTCTGAAGGCAATCAACTCTTAAGCTATCACATTGTATGATTATTTGAGATTTAGTTGAACTACGTTTTGCATTAAAGGACTCCTAATTTTGGCTAATTTCAGAAACAAATGCGCCTATTGTTCCCCTATGCAGATAGGAGAAAAAATTATCTAGAGAAATTACATTTTTACCAATTTATTAGTGTTACTACTGTTGAAGAGAGTGAATTCCTTAGTTTAACATTATTTGCGGTGAAGTTTTGGGGTGCTTGATACAACATAACAAATGATTTTTTTAATATATTATTTCAGATTGAATTTAGTTCTTGGCCCATTTTTGATGTGTGTGGTGGGGGTGGGAGGGTTTGTATAGTGTTAGAAAATATATTATAGAGTAGTAATTCAAATTGCTTCCAAGTAGAATCAAATAAATTTTACTCTTCCGTGTAACCTGACTTTTTAGCTCTTTAGAACGGAAATATCAGACTTTTTTTGCATTGTATTCGATCAAAATTTTACGCTGAATCAGATTTTAGCTTTATATTGTCCTTTACCATTGACCAGCAAAAATTGTACAGATTTGCGGCTTTAAGTGGAGAAACCTTTAAAAATTCACAATTTTTTTAACTCTTGCACCTAACTAACTACGTGTGTATGAGTGGGAAAAAAATTAAAACTGCATTAAATTATCACATGCATTGTCTGGCAAGCAAGACTAACGCAGACAAGCCTGAGAAGTTGGTCTATGTTACGGATAAAAAAATTAACTTTCGGTGACAACAGAGCCAAAAAAAAAATTTCAGCTGATGAACTGATTCACCACTATCAAAATCAACTTTCCAAGAGGATTCTGGCCTCAGAAAAAATGCTCGGGTCTTTAAATATCAACCTTTATTTTTTCGAAAAACCATGGCTCTAATAGTAAAATGTATTTGATACTACTCTTCCTCCATTAGTTTTCAAGCTATTCCTTCTTCGAGTCATTTTTTGAGTTCCAGTATCATATTGACGATTTATGCGCAGGTAATTCAGCATTCGGTGAGATAAGAGGATTTAAGACCCTTGTAAATTTGATGATTGTACTGCTAATCTTGTTGATTTTTCCTTTGACCGGTGTGTTAGTTTTGATAGTCTTTAACCCTAGCTTTGAAAGTTAGCTTATATCGGGGTTTTCTCTTCTTTTCCATACTGTAAGCACCTACCCACTTTTTTTTCTGTCCTTTTTTTCGCATTGATGGCAGATTTTACTTTTGCTGATGTTCTATTTTCCCTAAGTAACCCAATTTAGCGTATTATTCTGCTGCTTTGTTACAATCCAACGGATAAATCAATTAAACCAATTTTATCTTATCTGCTCTCTCTCTCCTATCATGTGTTTTAAGTCAACCCACTTTATGTAACTTTTTTCGCTTGAAATCCTAATCATGTTTCCTTGTTAGCTGAGATCTTAAAATTGAATTGACAGATTTACTCCTTAAAATTGAATTTCTGATGGAAAATGGATTCTATGGCAAGAATCAGCCTGGGTATTTCAACCCGTTAGTGTGTGAGATAGGTAGCTAATTCCCACTTTAACATTTCTGTAGGCACTTTTAACATCATTCAAAACCAATTTAATGTGAAGAAGTGGCATACTTTACAATTTTCACAGGGAACGTCGGTTTTGGTATTTTTGTCATCAACCCAAAACTATAAATGGATTGCATTTTGCTAAAAGGAACCAGGAGCATTCCAATGTCGCTAAAATGGTGCATTTTTTTTTACCTTACAAATATAAACTAATCATTTAGACAAGTTTTATTTTTACCCCCAATAAACTATAAATTCAAGACAAAAATTACCTTTTTTTATTTTTTGCATGATTTCAGTAATTTTATTGCAAAGAGTGTAAGTTGCACAATCCTAGCAACATTGGAATTCTCTTGGTTCCTTTTTTGCACTAAAACTATGATACTGGAAAAAGGATGTTTCCCTTAAAGAATGGATACAGCATTTCAATAATGATCTCCTATGTTAAGGATTAATAGTATATATATGAATACTCAATTGTTGCCAAAGTTCCACAAAGTAAATATTTAATTTTGAGACCTGTCCTCAATGTTTTACCTAGAAATTTTCAGGTACTCCTGCAATACTAGTTCAAATTGTGGATCAAAATCTTTAAAAACTCGGCAACTTTTGAAGTTCATGTAGCATTTTGTTTAAGTGTAGTAGTGTTATAATACTTGCGCTAAATTTCGTCCCTTTTAAGGGTTTTTATATTCTCTTTGTGCTGTACTTACCCTTAGTCAATCAGATCATTTTGAATATTTGACGCTATGATTTTTCTTTGTTTTTACAGGGCGCGGGTCAGCTGTCAGCTCCCGTATCTCAACAAGGCGACTGCAGAGTTACTGTGGACTGGGTGATCGCACTCAACGTTGATCCTCCTTGGAGCTGCTGACACTCCTAACAGTTTTTAGCCTCGGTCCGGTCTAGGTCGCCACAAACCTGTCTGAAACTGGACACCGGCTGCCTCGTAAGTTTTTTTTTTTCCCCCTCTCGAATATTTTCTCATGAGTCAAGTAATAAGCTCTGTGTTATGTTAATCAATTTCAGCTGTGTTATGTTTAGTGACTAATTTAGAGGCCTACATTTAATATATTATCATCGATAAATGGTCCCAGAAACACAAACAACTTCATCGTTTTTACATTATTTTTGCGAAGGTGGTTAAATGCACTTGAGTATAATTTGTAATGAGCGAACACCACGAATACTCAGCACAAAATTCGAACTTGAACTTTTTTTCTTTTGTTTTTGTCTTGAAGCAATCAAACATTGACACATCAATAGGGGCACAAAATCAGTCTGTGATATATTTTAAGGCAGCGAAACAACATTATGACAGGTGCTTACATGACTGCTTTCTCTTCGTTGTTTACCTTGATTTATGTTTAAATTGATGCATTGAGTTTATTTTCATCATTAACTCTGTTGTTTTTCTTATTTTTCAGTTTGCTCTTTTGAAACATTAGCTCTAGAGTCAATATTTGCAAACAATATTTGTTCACAAATAAATCTATTTAACCAACGTACTCAATTTGTGTCATTAGTCTTATTTAAATAATCATAATGAAGCTTACCGAAGTCGAAGATCAAATTTATGTCATGAAGTCTTCTACCAACGCAGCCAAAGTTCTTCAAACAATTGCTGAATCAGGGGTAAGTTATAGTATTATTGCAGTATGTGCCTTACCAGTGATGGTATTTCTTAAAAATTCTGACTCTCCCATGTTGTGCGACAAAAAGGACCCAGGTTATTAATTAGCCGAATTAACCTGGGTGGATATGAGAACAGCCTGTTCTCATAATCCTCAAAAGTTTTTAATAATCTATTTTTCTATCTCTTAAATATTTCTTAATTTCTCATAATATTAGGGGTGAAAGCCTATTATCTATCAGCAGAGCTTGAGCTGAAAAGAGAACACTGATTTATAACTTGAGAACATTTTTCTGAGATCTTTGCTTTGAAATTCAATGCGAACATGAAAGGCTTACATAGAAGATTAAAAGCGCCCCATCTTGACTTACTAAAAACGAGGTAACACAAGAACAAGGGAGGTGAGCACCAACGGATCAGGTGAGAGCAAAACAGTGCTGCAGGAGCCTCTCAATCATGCAAATGACGGGTCGCAATTGGTTGGAAACGCATATTGGAAGGTCCCAAACATGAACTTTAAGTATGGGAAAGCGCAAAAAAAGGAATCTTAAAATTGTAAATGAAAAATAGTAATCATGCAAGTTTGAAATGATCCGTTTTTGCACTCTAAAAGAGATTCTATTATACGGGAATTTCAGATTTTTATCTCTAAATCTGAATTCCAAATCTATGATTATGTATTTATTGATTGATCGATTGCTTAATTTATTTGATGATGTGTGATGGAAAAAATGTATTCATACGCCTTCTCTTCCATTCTTTCCTTTTTTTCCCCCTTAGGTCAAGGATGAGGCGTTTTACATCCTGGATATAGGAACCATCATTCACAAACATCACGAATGGCTGAGCAAACTACCTCGTGTGAAACCACATTATGGTAATTAAATCTCTGTTTTAAAGCCTTTGTTCCATCCTTAGGTTTTGTAGCAACTAGGATTACACGAAGAATTTCATTAGGCTAGGAAATTCCTAGAAAGGAAAATAAGTTAGTGTAAAACATTGAAAATAATTGAACAAGGAAAAGTGTAAAAAATTTGAATAGCAACAAATTGGTTGGAAATTGCGTTGCTTTTTATCAGATAATCATTATTTGTTAGTATTTTCAGTCAATCAGAAGTCATCTTTTGACGCAGCTGCAGAAGTATTGTATATATTCTTAATGTTATACAAGCTCATGTGTAGAAGCTGCTCCTCCGTGAGTAAACACTTTCCTAATCCCTTATCAGTTGCAAGAGCAAGTGTAATATGATGATAATGGTCTAAACAAATAGTTGTTTTCTCTGAGAATCAGGGCTTATCAGTAATACATAGTCTGTAAATCAAAGTTCTGATCAAAAGAGTGCTTATCAAAGTCCACAGAATTGCTTACCAGATCATGGCTTTCGCTCTTAATTCACAACCTTTGTCAAGAAAAGATCTATGTCTGCTCTTCAAAGCAAAGCATAAAGTGATAAGAGATAGCTGCGTAGAGTACATAGAGCCGTAATGTAATCGGGAGAGCTGGCGCCACTTTTAAGCATTTTCCAGGTTCCGAATTCTGAGACTCCTGTGTGAGGCCGGGTCACTTTTTTGATACATAATTGATTGTTTTCGATACACAGGGACCTGACCATCTGATGTAAACATAGATGATAGGAATTACTACGTATTTCACACTGCCATTTTGGATCAAACATGTATAGAAAAAGTGACGCGAGGTTGGCGCACACCGGGCTCGGAACTTGTTGACCGGAACATGGCGTCAGCTCTCCCATTTACATCATGACTCCATTTACTCTATGGATAGCTGCAAGATATCAACCTGCCTTAAATTTTGAAGAGCTCCATAATATTATCGGTGAAGATGAAAGAAGTCAAAATCTCTACCCAAGGGCAGATTGGGACCTAAAAATTTATTGGGATATTCGGCCCATTAGTGCTCAGACCAGCTTACTTTAGTTGCCTTTTGACGTTTGAAAGAGACGACCCAATTCAAAACTACCCTAAGTATGAACCTGCCTTCCAGGATTTTTTCCGGTATTCCCACTTGCCTGTCTGCCTCTATCCATACCACTAAGTACTATAATTAAATATCCATTTTAAATTTTAATTTAAGTAGACATCAGCATTCTCATCTACTGTCATTACTAATAATTTGAGTGAACAGAGACCCTTTCTCCTCCATTTGAAGCACTTCGAACTTGGAACTATATTTTACCCATTACTACTCTTCTGATCATGTTTTTCATTAAACTTTGTTGCTATCATTGTAGTCATGGACAGTGGCATATGCAGGATAGGGTTCTGGGGGGACACAAAGCTCCCACCAGGGGGTCTGGAGGGTATGGAATATCTCCGAGGTGCAGCAGGGGGATCCAGGCCACCCTCAGAAAATTTTGAGAATTTTGACCCCGTTAGACCCCCTTTTTTAACAATTTCTGTCATGAAAAGTGACAAGAAGCTCTCCACTATTTCTCCCCGAAAAGACCTTACAAAAGTGGAAACCCGTTTTTACAAGACCAAATGGGATGTTTTGTTTTAAGTATGAGATGAAAAAAATCCACTAACTGCCTGAGGGAAAAATGAGGCTTCTGAGGCGACGCTCGAGGCCCTTTCGTCCGACTTCGAATCCTTCCACCTATTTTTGCTAGACGAAAATATCATCGTGTTCTCTCCCTGTCCAATTTTTCGATTTAGCTTGTCTTTTTCTCTATTTTTGGGGGCTCAGGGGGGGGGGGGGTTGGTTTGGACCCCTTGGTCCTCCCCCCCCAGAGCCCCCAAAAAAGAGAGAAAAAGATAAGCTAAATCAAAGGAAAGGAAGCAAAGGAAATGTCCGGACCACTTGGTCCCCCCCCCTCCCCCGGTCTATATGCCACTGGTCATGGAATGTTCTTTAATATTTTCATTTTGTAAATGTTGATAAGCAGCATGCTGAACAGTGATCATGAAATAACATTTGAAAGTCACACATGTTTTCAGGTTGTCATATTTCCCTTAAATGGCAAAATTTTATTGTTTTCGTTTATCCTGTTTCAGCTGTCAAATGCAATGATAATATCCTTGTTTTGGAAACTCTTGCAGCTTTGGGTGTGGGTTTCGATTGTGCTTCCAAGGTTTGTTTCTTTTCCTGCAGTTTTGTCTTTTCAAAATGAACATTGTCTCTATTTTTTCAGATGACTGAGTCAGTCCAACTAATTTTTTTTTTTCTCTCTCTCTCTTTTGAATGTTCTAAATGGCTTGAATGATTTCCACAATAAACGAGCATAATTTTTCATTTGTAAGTAATTTTCAATTGCAAAATGCAGGCGCTCTCATTTTTCATGCATTTTCTGATAATTGAAGGAAGAAGAAAAAACTGTGTAACAGCCCCTTTATTGGTATCAGCCAAGCTATTGTGCCTAACAAGTTATTGTGGCATTTTTATCTTCAGTGAAAGACTTCACATTCGTTTTTTCTCTGCCTTTCAGGGTGAATTGAATAAAGTTTTGAGTCTCGGTGTAGCAGCTGACAGGATAATTTTTGCTAATCCAGCCAAACCTGCTTCTCATATCCGGCATGCTGCTAGTCTCGGAGTTGGGTTGATGACTTTTGACAATGAAACTGAACTGCACAAAGTGAAAGAACTCCATCCTGATGCAAAGTAAGAAAAAAAAAATAAGAAATCAATTTCTCAGTAGTTCGATTTAGGATTTAATAACTGAGGTAACAGTTAACTGTTAAATACCTGTTCGGTTCGCTTCATAGACAACTGATTACGGACTTTGGAATCTATCTCATCGGTGTGAAGTGACAACTGTTGTTGTCCCTGCAGCAAAGCCTTCTAGAACAGCCATTCTTATAATATTCACATCTTCATCTTTTTCATAGCAGCATGTATCACAGGCAGTTACTTACTTTACTGCCCTGTTGAGGAAAAAGACGGTGCCTACAATGAGAAGGCTTTCAGCCAAAACCAACCAATGTAGGCCTGATAATATGGTATTTTATTTATGTACTGGTCTCATGCTTCTCATGCATTTCACACAGTAAGATTTCAATTTTTGTGTAATTTTGTTCCTCCAAGTGCGTAAGGTAATAGGTTAAAATAAATTGACCCATGATGAATAGTACCTATGTACTCGGGTACTTTTTCCTAGCAGGACAGCATACTTGAACTAGTTGTAAGATTTTTGTACCTTTTCTGCCAACTTCTTCGAAATTATAAGACCATCAATATTGAATTTTATCTGATGAATGATTCTTCCTCTATAATAAAGGTGAAAAGCACATTTATTTTTCCTAGTTAGGCTCACTTTTTTCTGTTATGATCGAACGAACTTTCTCGTGTGTGCAGATTGGTCGTGCGTATTCGGTGCGATGCAGCTGTTTCTCAGTGTCCTCTTGGAATGAAATTTGGCTGTGATGCAATTTTAGAAGCTCCGCACTTGATGAAACTTGCAAACTCACTTGGTATGTTAATATTTTCTCATTGTTTGGTGTTAAATCAAATTTAATTCTTTTCAACTGAGTTTCGAGACTTAAACCCCTCGTGCAAGTGAAAAAAGTAGCTCCTAAGCTGTAGAATAATGGGACAGGGTGTCTGCAGGTCTGGAAAACCAAGAATTGCCACAAGACCAAGGAAAAGTAAGGGAATTTTATGAAAAAGACTGGAATTTTAAAAAAACATTGAAACTTGAAAGGTTTAAAAACATCAGTGCTAAAACTGAGTAGTCTGGGGTTCAATGCTTTGAGTTACATTCTAAGTTGTGAATAGAGGAATAATTTTCAATAAAGTTTAGTCAATTGAATGACAAATGCTTGAAGAATAAAAGATCCATATTTTTCCGTCATCTGCTGAGAAATAAATACCAATAATTGTTCATTTTCATTTCCATTAGTGCAAATTGTCGATGTGAAGTTACGGAATTTTGATCATTTTAGTCAGGGGGAACCTAGAAAAGTCAAGGAATTTTTCCTGCCAAATCTGTAGACACCTTGAATGCGGTACAGTTCCAATAGGAATATCTGGGAAAATGAAACTCAAAGATTGCTCTTTTTATCCAATTTTTTATTGTGACTTTTGAAGAAAGCAAGGATGATTCAATCCAAAAGTTTTAAAATTGCATTCCTCCCTGTGGATTATTGCTGAAGAGAGAATGAACTCTTAAAATTTTTGTCTCCAATAATTCAAAGGTCGAACAAGTTCTTATGGTTCCTTCAGAGATTGGACTGGGTAAGCTGAAATTCATCAAATGTAACATGGCCTTTTCGTGTTAGCAATCTGTTGTTCCTCTTTTTCAGGCCTGGAAATTGTTGGCGTAAGTTTTCACGTTGGTTCAGGATGTCAAGATCCTCCAGTGTTCCGCAAAGCAATATCCCTAGCTAGAGGCTTGTTCGATCTGGGCTTTGAATTGGGTTTCAATATGCATCTCCTAGACCTTGGAGGAGGGTTCCCTGGCGATTCAAGCTCATCCATCGATAGAGTGAGTATTTCGTCTCTTGAAATCCAACATCAAATTTTTGAACATTTTAGAATCATTCTCAGTCCTCTTCTTCTTTTTTATTTATTTTTATCTTGATTCTTATTTAAGATATTGTTGGTCTTTTGTTTGTTAGCTTTTGACTGCTGAAATGTCAGATCAGGCCTTTTGATCAGAACTGAGGGTCCTTTATCACATAACTTGCTGAAACAAATTATGATGAATTTAAATTAACAAAAAAAATATACAAAATTGCAGCCCTTTAATGAGTACGAATTAGGAAACGAAATGAAAAGTTTTAGGGGGCTAGAAAGCTTATGGTAATGATATAGTATAAAATAAATATAGAAGAACAGGTATCTTAAAAAAACAATACTAAAATATTTTTAGACACATTGTCAGATAGTCATGACTGCCTGCAGTGACATTAGGACGCAGTGATTTTTCTGTTAATATCTCACAAAGAGGAAGCCCTTAGTGCCCGCCTCCGATTTTGACAAATTTTTCGGAGAATATATTCCCCAGGGAACTAAAATATGTGATCCAACTACTCCCACTACTGAGCCTTACGAGAGTCATTGTGAATTTTCAAAAATCACAAATTTTCAGCAAGCAAATGGTTCATGCTCACAAGCCGAGCACATTTACGCCACAGCTGCCATTGCCTGGCAGTGGCTGAGTGGACTGCTCCCCTCATTATGCAAGGTTGTTGGTTTGAATCCCATCCCTGAGCTATAATTTTCATCTTTCTTAAACTTCTCTTCGGTCACCTCTAATCACTCATAATCATTGGTTATTGCTACTTATTTGAAGGAAATTGATGTGATAACTTCAAATAACGCCATCTTCATTTAATTCGGATTAATACAAAATAAAACCAATAAATATGTCCCTCAAAATTTGTATCCTCCCTCTCATTTTTAAGGTATCAATTTGACGTATTTATGCCAAAAAGAACCATGTTCCACGCAAACGGTATGCACATAGTTCCTTTTAGCATAAATACGTCTTAGGTATACGTAAGACGTATTTGTGTTTAGTCGTCTTTTTTTATGTCGTCGGTCGCTTACCGATGGCATCGCTGTGATTGCGACTGATGGTTACGCCCATTTTTCTCTATCCAATCACAGACAACTTGACTTTGTTATGACGACAGAGGACAATCGCTTGCAATCGCTCGTCTTTTTTTATTAATGCAGTTCAAATGATGATCACGAGGAGCGCGACTGGTTGTAAACAGCAGAAAGCCCGCCAAATGTAAATAACCCTTTTCTTGGGGTTTTTTATTGAGACTGGTGCTATGATAGATTTTTGTGGTTTTTTGAATTTTGAAGTGGTGATTTTGTGAAGTTTTTTAGTTTGTGAAATGGAAGGGTTAATTTTAATAGGAATGGAGCGAATAATGCATATGAAAAGAAAAAGGAGAGAGACCACTTGAGGACCTCCTCCTCATCGAAACATAATATATTCTCTCCTCTCATTCATTATTATGGAAAATGTAAGAAAAAAACTTACCACGATCAAAAATATTGACTTGAGACATAATCAAAATTTAATAAAAGTTTATAACTCACCAATTCACAGCTTCAACTCACGAGTCCGTCACGATCACGGGATTACGCTACTAAAAAATTGTTAGAGGTTAGGTTTCACTGATGGTGCTCCATGGAGACACTCCGGACTCGGGTGACGAGTGATTGCGGCTGATGGCGTCAAAGCGTCACGTGACTGATGGTCTAGCTCAGTTTGACAAACTAAGCTCCGCCCATTTCTGATGGCATCAACGAAACAAAACACGAATGATTGCGCAGTGACGGCGACTGATGGCGACCGATGGCATAAAAAAAGACGACTTTTTACTTTTGTCTGGTTTATTGGTTACGCAAGGTGGATAATGAAGAAGTATAAGTAATGTGCACCTTTTGAGAGCTCTGATCAGTAATTATTTATCATCAGTTGATTGCTTATTACCTGGAATAATTTTTTGGCGCTTAGGTACAAGAGGAAATAATTGACTCTGAATGAGTTTTCTTTTTCCTAACAACTCACCCCAACATAAACGCAAGCTTTTCGTGTTTACACAACCAGTTGTGCTGTCTTTTTCACTTTTGCGGGCTGCGGGGCTTGATTAGTGGATTCCGTGGAATCTTGCTCCAAATGCTGTGACGGAGATCGAGGAGATGAAAATGAGGAAAGAAACGGTTATTCCAAGTTGGACGTGACCGAGATGGATATTGATGCAGCCAAGCGTAAGGTGTATGTATGGAATGAACTCACACTGGTGATGGAGTTACCTAGGTGTTACTCATATTCAAATCATATCTTCCTTTTTGTCTGTAAGACTCTCTTTCCTCTATCTATCGCCATTCTTCAAGTGTACAGATCAGAAACGTCGTAGTACACAAGAGCCTCTATTTATGATCAATGTCCCCTAAATGACTCTTTAGTATATCATATTATTACACATTTGTGGAGAAAAAATGTAGTGCTTTAGCACATCTTATTTACATCCAGAAAAATTGGTAGAGAAAATTAGTATTATCAGAGTTAGAGTTTGAAGCTTTAACTTAAATTGTTTTTTTTTCTTGGCTTTGTTCACCCCTCAGGATAGTGTGGACTTGAACACTATTCTACAAACCTGCTTACTCACATCTTTGTCGATTTAAAAAAAATTTTCAGCGCTTGCACATCTGTCAAATTGCTTCGCTTTTGTTAAGAGCAAAGCATTATCTTTATACCCATTTCTATGAGGTTGAAATTATCCTACTCATAAGTGAATGCAAATCGAGAAAACTTTGTTATAGAACTGATGTGACAACATGTGAAGCTAAGTTTTTCAAGCCATAGAACAACTAATCTTTTGAAACTCATATTGTGAGTCTTTAGATATCGTAAAATATGAGTGAAGTAATTATCTGTATCTCTTACGGTGATGTCATAAATGACTCACTCTCACTGATCATTCTTACGTCACTCATTCTTGTAAAAAAATATTTTCCCTTCAAGACTAAATTTTTTTTCTATTCCTGATTATTTGCCATCCTGTATCTCATTTGAATGTACATTTCTCTGTAGATATCTATTTGTTGATTGCGGAAAATAGTGTTCTCAGATTGCTCCAATAACAAGATGTACCATGAATCAATTCTGTTGGTGTACTATGTTTGGTCTTGGATATTTAAATTAGCCACTGGATGACAAGTGCAAAATTTTGAACGCATCCATTCCTCAAACAATTTTATCTCCCGCCTTCGAAATAAGCATCTGTTTTAAGCGTACTGTCGGAGATCCAGTGAGCATCTGAAATGTTCTAACTGTTGGGCAAAATTTTCTTTGGAGATATGATCATGAACCTACTAAAGTTTTTTTTTAAACTTTGAAACATAGGTTTTGACTAGGCTGTTGGAAATCTACTGGCAAACCAATTTTTTCTCATAGTTTATTGATTTCTCTACTAACTTTACTGAATTTTCAGTATTCAAGAGAAATGAAGGCTTTAGTGCGAGAGAAAGATAAGAAAGATGGAATTTGCATTTTGTCAACTGTTGCCTCATATAGCATGAGAGACAAGTGCCAAAACAGAGGTTCACCTCCCCGTGGATCTTGAGCAATTATTTTCAGCTACATTACCCCTTGTTTTCATTATAGGTCTTGAGCCTGCCCACTTTCAAGTGATGCACTCCCCTTTGTTCTAAGTTTTTCTTTTCCAACTGTTTGTTGGCTGGTGACTACTGCTTTTGATACATTTTTCTATTTTCACATGGAAAACTGTGACAACTTTGTATATAAACCCCTCAATCATTGTAAGGAGGTCTATTTTTAAAATGTGCTTGAATGTATTCGTTCAAGTAAAGAAACTCGGAAGATATTACAGATGAATTAGACGCATCTATGCTGAAAAGATCTTTGCGCAAATGATCAAAATCAAAGGGAACTGCGTAGCATAAAAACCCTATGCATGTAGTTCCTTTCCGATTAAGTTCATCCTCCAAAGATTTCTTTTAGCATAAATATGTACAATTGGACTAAATTTTGCAATTAGGAACTACAATCTCTGGCTCAGTTTAGAAACTACGTATGTACTATTATTTTCCGTATGCACATAAGTGTTTTTATGGATGAGCCAAAAATTGTAGCTCCTAATTGCAAAATGTAGACCAATCGGATGGATTTAAATCTATCCAATTGATACTGAATTGATCAAGAATCACCCTGACTGCATCAATTGTTTCCTAATTTTCTCTTACATTTTATTTTTTCTCCTTTTTTTGGTGTATTTTCTGTATAATCCAGGGAAAATTTACAGAAAGTTTCAAGGCGATATGCCTTTCAGTTTCTTGTTAAGACAATTAAATATGAAAGGAAATTACGCTACATGAAATGGGCTGCATTTTGCAATAAGGAACTACAATCTCTGGCCAGTAGATGAAGACACCTATCTGCATTGAGAAACCATTTGCAAATAAGTTGTTTCTAAAATGAGCCAGAAATTGTAGTTCCTGATTGCAAAATATGGTCCACATGCAATCAAACTGACTCTAGTTAAGTCCGTTGGACTTGACCCTTACCATACTTAAGTTCGACTCACCTGAAAACATTTTGTGTACGAAGTTGTGGACTTGTGGAGGTATCCATCGACCTGTTCACACAAATCTTCGGATTCAACGATAGAAAAATGACAACATCTCAAGTTTTAAGCACTCTAATGTAATTCTCCGTTGTAGTTTTCTTTCTTTTAATCCAATTTTTTTTTTGTCATTCCAGATTGCTGATATTATCAATTTGGCATTAGAGGATTACTTTCCTCCTCAAACCAACACTGAAATTATCGCAGAGCCAGGAAGATTCTATGTAGCCAGTGCTTTCACTCTTGCTACCAACATTCATTCAAAAAGAGAAATATATTCGACAGACAAGGAACTTTTACACACCATGTATTACATCAATGATGGCATCTACGGGAGTTTCAATTGTATTCTCTTTGATCATTACACTCCGACGCCTATTCCATTAACGGTGAGTATTGACCAGTAATTATCAATGATCTAATCGTGGCATTCAGGGTCTCAGTAAAGTGTCATTGGTTTAATTTATAAGATGAGGTTAGAACTTAAACATCAACATGAGTCTTTTTCAATTAAAACTTCAAGCAGAACATTTTGGACGCATTGTAAATTTTCAGATTCAACACATAAGTGAGGTATCAGTGTTTCTTGTATCAGTAACTTCTAATTTTCTGCTTGCCCAATAACTGAAGTTTACCAAATCACATCTGACACTAAAGAGGTACATGTAAAACAGGTCCAATCTCGCTCGTGATAGATGCTTTAAAGACTAGGCTCATTTACTCATCTGACAGTGCTGTGCCTTTTCCCATAGTTCTGACCCCTCCGAATACTTTGGAGAAAGAAAACCAGGAAAAACATCATATTATTCATCATTTCTCCGAACATGAGAAAAAAACGGAGTTTTAAATCCGAGGAAGTCAAATTTCTACCTTCAAGTCAAGACAAGTACTCAACTTGTATACTTGTTTGAAGACTTATTCAACTTGAGAGTCCCCTGTGCAAACTGCTTGTAGATATCTTCTTTTTTGATTATTTATAGGGCAGAGTCTTTTGCTGGGTTTCCTGACTTTGAACTCAGCCCCGTCATTAGTCTTTTCTCAGGATTTGAAATTTTGGGAAGGAATGCCCCTACACACGATATCATATCATGACATCGTCGTATACACATGGTGTTACGCTGACTATCAGGCTTTGCAGCAATCCAGTGCTAAACTAAGGACATCACATAAACGGATTAGATTTTGCAATAAGGAACCACAATCTCTAGCTCTTCTACAAAAACAGCTTTCTGCACAAGGAAACCAATGGCATACATGTTGTTTCTAAAATGAGCCAGAAATAGTGATTCCTTATTGCAAAATGTAATTCATATAAAGCGAGACGTCATTTCAAAGCGAGTGTGCACTGGATGCACACAGAACTCTGCACTGGCAATTACCTTTCCATTCATGAACTTTGCATTACTTTCAACCTGATTACTTGGCTTCTTGCTTTCTTCTTGTGTTGATCCATTTTATTTAAATTTTGACAACATTTGAAGGCTACCCCATATTTGCATAATCATTGTGGCTGTGTATAAAGACAGTGTTTCTTCAAAGCAAAAGTTGCAAAGAAATATGAAATGATTCTATTATTCACTTTTTTTTTACAATGTTACAGGACTCAAAAAGCGATCAAGTTTTCTCCTGTTCATTGTGGGGTCCAACATGTGATGCTTTAGATCGCATCATAGAAAATTCATTCTTGCCGAAAATGAATATCGGTGATTGGATAATTTTCCCTGACATGGGAGCATACACCGTCCCTGTTGCTTCCACCTTCAACGGGTTCCCTATCCCCAAAGTGTACGCTGTTGTTGATGAAAAAATCTGGTGAGTTTTCTTTGTATTCTTCTTTTAATTTTCCAAAATACTCTGTGTCAATGTGTGCGTATCATTAATATCATATAATCAAGTCCTACTTATTGTCAGGTCATAATTTTTGATCACCCAAAAGTTAATCTCCCCTCCTTCCCCCTCATTTTTTGATAAACACTGATTTCTCTGTTATTCACAAGGTCTTAGTCTGACTTTGTGTATCAAGTGACATGGGTATTGGAAATACTTAAAAAATTACACCTCTCCAGTTTTAATTTTTGAAATATCAAGCCGAAGTAAAGGCAGGTGGCCTATTACTGCTGTGCTAAGCAAGAACGCCGTAAATCCATCAAGACTTTCCCTCGTCTTTTGGAACTTAACACTTCATAGAATAAAAACCGCTTTACCCATGCACCTCAAATTTTCAGGTTAAGTTCTTTATAGTATTTGCAAAATAATTCTGTAAAAACATTGTCCCAAGGTACACAAGTTTTTCTGTTATGATACATTGTATCCAAAGAATGTAAAATGGCGTTTTTACGTTGCACGGTAAACTAGCTGCAAAAGTGCTCAATAATTGGTAACAGCTTTTCGAGTTGGGTCTACCGTGTAAAAATGATGATTCTAAAGTAATTTTGCATGAGGTGTTCAATAGCTGATTGAAGAATGAATCCTGAAAATTATGAGGCTGTCACTAATCGGTGACTGTTGAAAAACAGCAATAAATTTGGATTTCGTAAACTTTGATGTGCACTGTGATTTCTAACTCATGGAAGTACCTCATCAGTAATCATTTTTATGGCCAAGGAGACACGGTTTGTAATTCAATGTTATTTGTTCAACCATCGCTTGCAGATCACTTTGCTCAACTTGGTCCCTATGATGAAGATGATGGCACTTACACAATAAGAGCCTGCAAGTAATACTAGCAAAGTAATGCCAGTTTACTTTTTGTTCTTATTTCTACATGTTTTAATGTTAATAATTTATGTTTTACCTAGGCCTGCCCTGAAGGATTGTGCTCCGCTCACCGATGACCACTTTGCAGTCTATCATTCACCTGCATCATTCGGCATTGGAGATTATTCTCCTAAGTGGCCTAAGGGCATGGATTCGGATGAGTTTGAAGAACCTCACCCGTACTTACTGGAATATCTCTCAGCTGACTGATATTCAATCTTTACCAACTTTTTCAATGGAACATGTTCTAGTTCGCTTTCCAGGTTAAAGAAATTTATATTCACTTCTTTTAAAAACATCAGGCAGCATCAGAATATTTCCCTTTACAATTCATTATCTCAGATTTTACGCTGCAACTCCACTCACTAAGTTTCACAGCCTGTCTAAAATCAATGACAGTATAAAATTATTCTTCTTTGAAATAATTACAGCATCACCTGTTGCATTTTTATCATAATTTTGAGAAACAAAATGCTGTGAAGACTCTAAAAATGGCTTAGTAACTTCTCAAAGTGTACACAGCAACATTCTGAGGTGATATATTCTCTGCTGTATACTAAGTACCTCCTCATCAGGCCACCCAAGTTAAATACTAATCATTGTCTTATGATTCTGAATAGGAAAATTCTAATTGATTTTTATGGATCTAGCCTTAAGTTGTTATATGTTAAGACTCTGATTTTTATGTGGTAGTCTTTTAACTTTCGAAATATTTTAAAGAAATTATTAATCATTAATTTTATCGATTCTCTGTAAATGATTCCACAATTCACTTCGGCAAAAGACAAGTTCATGTCATCAGCATCTCCTCTTTTTAGAGAAGAAAAGTTTTCCCTGTACTTATCATAGTCAATTCATCATTTTTTTCAATCTCAGTTAAAATGTATTTGATCAAAAACTTTAAAAATGGATCCTCAGAAATTTTATGTTGTTATCAGTCTAATAAGAATTATGTAGCTTTAAATGGTGTCCCTTTTTTCAGTTGCATTTTTTGTCACTTGTAGCAGTACAGTATGTTATCATAGGGTAAAAAAGAATATTTTGATAATCTTCCAAATGGTCTGAACCAATTGTTTCATTTCCTCCTCAAGGAGCAAGACTCACTGCTTTCACGTGTGTGAATCAAATACATACCAGCTTATCATAAAAACCCGATTTTACAAGCCATGTGTTCTCAAATATTTTGCATAAGAAATTATCACTAAAGTTTTTGAATAACTTCATTGTACAACAATGTCCGATAGGAGCCAACTCAGGAACATTTTTATCTCATTTGTATTTTGTATAACCCTCTTAACCTTTTGTCATTTACTAACTTTTGAAGTGTCATATTATCTAACTATTGATTCGCTGCAGTAATGTTTGGCTTTTTACTTGTGCATTCATGTGTTTTTCCAGTCACCGATAATTTTTGTGTGAACATTTCACTTTTCTCGATATTTCAGTTTTGAGTTGGAGAAAGCAGGTCGGTTACAAATGAATTTGAGCTCAGTCAAGCTTGAGCAATGCAATATTTGAGCACATTTTGATAGAAATCTTAAAGTTAAGGACACTTATGATTCCATACGTTGAGTTCCTATCAACAATTCCTCTGCCAGTCGCTCCAAAATTAAGTGAAAAACTGCATTTAGTTACAGAATGCTGCCTATTTTATTGATTCATTATTCATTAAATCTTACGACTGAACTTTTGTCGGTTCAATGTTTTATAATATTTTTAGAAACTTTAGTTTTACTATATTAGGAGACAATTGTGAACAACTAATGTTTGCAAATAATGATTCTAGAGCATAAGTGTTGTTTCTGTAGTGGCACAGAAACACACAATTTTAATTGAGTAAAGAGGCAGCCCGCGTGGTGCTTTCCATTATCTAATCATTATTTTTATTTATATTTTTTATGAACTTTCAGTAATTTATGTATTTTTATTTATTTTAATCAAAATTGTATAGTTTTAAATTGCATTGTTTATTTTGGTTACCATGCTGTCTGTGTAGTTCCAAAATCCTCATTGCATGTATACATTAAGCTCAGATATGAAAAATAAATAAATGTTAAAAAAAATTGAAAGTTTTTTCCTATGCTTCAAGTACCAAATACTTGATTTTGACGATTTTACTCTTCACACTTGCACAAAAAATATCATTGGAACTTAATTTTCTTTCAAAGATCGGAATAGAATCTCTAGATCCTCTTCTATTTTTCCAATTCTGGATTTCAACGTATCAAATTCTGCTAAAAACAGACGTGAAATCCCTACTTTTTTGAAAAATCACAAGAAAGTTTTGTTCCACCACATTTTTTATCATGTGAAATAGTGCGTTGAAAAATCTGTAAATACGCAAGATGGATATCAGTTGTCAAACAGCACCAAATTTTAATGAGATGCTGAGCATAGGAGAGAGGAGCACTGATGGTGTTTCGTAAACTCCTAACGAATTTTTTAATGAAAAAAAAGGGACAAATTTCATTATATCATATCCTAACGGACCTAACGGAAAACGTTAAGATTTAAAGTAATAGGTGTCCTGAATAAATGATTTTAATGTGACTTCCTCTGAATGATGCATGCTCTGAATGAATCCCGATTTTCCACCCCACACATCGTCACCTTCCGGCCAAAGTATCACAAGCGCCATGCAACGTTTCAAAATTTCCGCCGCGATTTTATTTCTTTACAGGGAAATTGTTGGTTGAATTTATTTGAAAATTTGACTGAATTTTATCGGCAGTGCAAAGAAACTTCAGTGAAATTTTCGGACAGCTTCGTTGAACGATTTCTCTGTAAAAAAATAAAATGACGGTGGAAATTTTAAAACATCGCATAGCGCTTATGATACTTTGACCGGAAGGTGACGACATATAGAATGTCTCCTCATAGGTGAAGTGGCACCAAAAAGCACAAATTGTTAAAGGGAATGGGGCCTTCTGTCATCATGCAGTTCAAATTTTGAGACGGGAAAGAAGATGGAGGTTACTATTTTATAAGACTTCAAAGATAAAATATTGCCAATTTAACGATAAAATATCAAGTCCTATATTTACAGAGAAATTTTTTTTTCCATTTTAAACATTACAACAGTCTATAGACACTTTAACAAAAATGCATAATCAACTTATTCTAGCCATCGTTAATAGATACAGAAGTTATTTTCACTACATAGAAACTTGATGGAACAATACCAATTCAAAATATAGTTTGTATAGATCAAAATGATTTGTCAGTAGACTCTAACTGAAAGAGAATTCACAAATTTAAAAATTCATCTACGCGGTAAATGAAATGATTCATTTTGCATTTCACAATTGAATTTTAAGGAGCCAATAAGAGAAATCAGACCTGCATCACATTGAAAATAACATACGCTTCTATATTTTGCAACTAAGATTAGATTTGGATCAATTTACAACGGAGCTCATGTGCAACCAGCCACCTAGAGGTCGAAACTACTCAACATTTGATACAGTTACATTCCATTTGATCCCACCCTCCTCCCTAGTTTTAAAGGCAAAATAACTTATAAAGAATGACCGATTATCAATAATACAGAAGTTTCTATAAACTTGCTGATTGTTAGGATACAGAAAAATAGAATCACAGGATGGTCAGTTTGTGGAAAGACTTAAAAACTTGGTTTCGTTTGTAGACATGAGGAAGAAGAAAAAAAATTCATCCTAACTCCTGGATTGAAATTAAAAATGAATGATCGAAGTGCCAAAGTATGGGTTATTCAGGTATTGACATGATGTGGCCTTAATTTATCATAAGTTGAAGGTGAAACAAGTAAGAAGTAACTACCTGGAACATTTAAATTACAATTTTCATTTAGAAGCGGTACACTAGATGAAAAACAGTAAAAAAAGTACAGAAAATAAATGCAAGTGATTGTTTTTGCACTAATTTGAATATTATTCTTTGTGGACCAAGATGTAACGGGAACCTTATTCATAGCATGAATTCAATTATTTTTAAAAAAATCTATTGGAGTAACAATGGCTGAAAATATTCATTTGTACAGAAATATTTCTATCCTCAAACAAAATGAAAGTACAGCTCAGCAACATACATGATGGGAAAAACTCCAATAAAAGCTTGACTTAGTTTTAAATTTGAGAAAAGCAGACATAGGGAAATGATAATTTTTGCCATTGAAACACCTATCCAAACACATAAGGGACAATGCTCAATAATTTAGAACTAAGAGCTAGCTGGTCATTGCTGAATTGCCTACTACAGTGTTCAATTACATGATGGTCATTTACTTGATCTGTACCTAAAATAGACGTTTTTCGGCTGAGAGGAACTAGAGCCAGTTAGGAAAGATGATGTGTGCTCGTAAATGCTGCATAAGAAACAATGTATAAGTTGGCGTGGTCCGTTTTAAGGAGATGGAAAAGTGAGATTTTACTGAAAATCAACATGAACTAGGCGCTAAAATACGATAATTCATGAGCCTTGGGCATGTGACAAGAGCGATGTGGACAGGATTCATGAGTTAAAGTCCGACAACCTTGTCGTTGATTTCTCCCATCGTAGCTGCTGATGTAACTGACGCTCTAAAATTCCCATCATTCTTACAGCTGCTGACTAACGAGCGCATCCCTTTTTTCCCACCCTTTTCTATTACATTTTAGCATAAATACATCGAAATAATACTCTGAATTCAGCATTAAATAAATTAAGAAATTCTAACATAGAATCTTGTTGATGGGCTGTAGTCGCCTACTATTCAACACTTCAAACAGTGTAAGAGATCAATTATATCAACACTGATGCTTCCAGAGATAAAAATTCTGTCATTGTATTCAGACTAACATAATTCGAGTCATTATTTCCATTTGTGCAACGAAGCATAATCAAAGAGAATAAAATATATTCCTAACGAAAAGAATTACAACCAAAAAAAAAGAAAAACGGAAAACCTGAATAAAACAATTACGATGTTGATGCAATGACTTGGAAATAAAAAGGTAAGATGTAAGTATTTACAACTACTGTCCTCCAAGGACTTGACCTCTACCCCAAGAGTGTCCTCGCCATGAGCTTCCCGAATTTTCTGGTCGTCTGGGAGTTGGAACAGACCCAAAACCAGCAACATGCGGTCTGTGATCTGGGAACCATTGTTTCCTAAAAATCAAAACAGGTGAGAATGAAAATTTGAACTTTCATAACTAGTTTTAGACTAATCTTGAAAAAGAGAAAATCAAGAGGCACAATTGTGAATAGCTGTTATTTTAGGGGAAAAGAAACTATGTTGAAACGAAATAAACCTTTGTACAAAAAGTATGGATGAATGGATAAAAAGGTAACTCATAAATTGAACAATGTGCATCAACGTGATGAATACGTGTACTTTCATTCATTGCAAAAATGAGCCAGCACTCAAATTGAAGTAACTCACAAATGAACAAACAGTTCTTCCCGCCTTTCAGAACCAACCTCTGAAAATGGATCAGTGAAGTAATTAAATGGTAAAAACCACCTACTTTATGGTTGGTGGCATAATTGAATGCATTAAGACTGCAAACAGAAAAGTCAAAATTAATATTTTCTTGACCTTTCTCCTATTTTTTTAATTCCCTAATGGAGAAAGGAAGAACAAAAGTTTGATTTATTCCTTGGCTTGAAAATGCATATGATAGTAGGAGCAAGACTTAGAAACTTACAGGATGCCTGGAGTTGACAGTAACTCTGGACCATTCATTTCTTGTGGATACTTTATTGTAAGGAAATAATACAAGTGTCCAACTACAATGCCAACCAGCTCCATGAGACCCCTGAAAACAGATTTAGATTTCTTTCAGATTGACAGTAGAGATGATTTAGGAAGGTTTGAACATTCCTGTACTTTGAAATATATTCTCATTGCTTTTATAAAGCTGCAATTCCCACACTATGACTCTACCTCCATTAAAATCTTCAAACCAATCGCATCCAGACTTGTTTAAAGTGATACTGAGATCAATTGGAGTGACTAAGATTTACACAATTAAAAAAAGCAGAGATTCAGAGACTTCTCAGTCAGGCGATGGACCAAGTCAAAAAATCCTGTGAGAGCGGAAAAAAATGAACAGTAAAAATATTCGGGAAAACCTGTGTCTTTTGTCTTCAAGGGGAAGCTATCATACATTCAGGTAAAAGTAGAGGACAAGTCAATTCAATTAGGAGAACGACTTTGAAACCTGAGGGTCATTCCACGCCTAGGTAGTCGGGGGGGTATTTTTTTTTCCCCCTCCAAATGACCCAACGATATTTATTTTTGGACTCCTTAATACTCCTAGTTTTTGGAAATATATGTGGTTTACCTCCGTTTTGTTTTTTTTCTCGCAATTTTTACGTGTTTTGTAACCCCGTTGCTTAGCTTTATCCTACTGTAAAAAGAGTGACAGTTTGGTAGCAATGTTTTCTGGTGTTCCCACCAAAACCAAGTTTCAGGTTATGCTGGGAGTTGTCAAGAAACTGATTCAATGTGCTCCTGCAAAGTTTCAATTTTTAAAAGTAATTACTGTATATTATAAGTAACTTTTAAAACTTAGTGTACTGACTGTCACACCCGTTACGCAAAACATGGGTTTTTTAATGTAACTATTTTAATTTATGTCATTTTGAGATGCCAATTTTTTCCGTACGTCTTCAAGTCAAGTACAGCTTTGGAGTATTTTTTCCGAATTTTTATCTCAACAATTGATGGGCAAAAATGCGTAACGGGTGTGACACGTTACGGGTGTGACCAATGAGAAGAGGCTTCAATTATGCTGATGTTGCCTCACTTCTCACCATTTTTTCTACGGTTATCACAAGAAATACACTCATATGCATAATTAGAGGTTATATATACATCTAATAAGAGAGAGATAGCCATTTTTTTTGCCATATTTCAGTATTTAAAGTGAATACACCTTATCTCAAAAGGACTTCAAATAGAACTCGTTGAACTCTCTCCGATTTGATTGAAATATTTTCACTTTACTACAGGCCCAGACCTACCGTGCCAGGGTTTTTTTTGTGGTTAATTTGGGCCATGCGAGGTGCCGATGCCGATGGTGGGACCGCGGGGACGAAAGGGGAATCCTGGGTTACCCGAAGAAAAGCCCTGGGACGGTAAGTCTGGGCCACCCTGTAGAATATTGTAGTTTTGGCATGTTCTACATTAAAATGCGTCATATTGCAGATTGATTTACTGCTCAGGATTGCCTACAATAAGAGTATGAGAAGAAAAGTAAGTTTTTTAACTTTTAAACTCTCTCAAAAATGATGGACCTCAGAGAGACAATTTGTCACACCCGTTACGTCACACCCGTGACGCAAACGGTAGGTCTGGGCCACCTTGTAGAAAAATGTAGTTTTGGCATGTTCTACATTAAAATGCGTCAAACTGTTGATTGATTTACTGATTAGGATTGCCTACAATAAGAGTATGAGAAGAAAAGCAAGTTTTTTAACTTTTAAACTCTATCAGAAATGATGGACCTCAGAGAGACAATCTGTCACACCCGTTACGTCACACCCGTTACGCAAACTTTCCCATTTTTCAAGGAAAGAGAAACAGAAAATCGAAAACGGATCATCGGCAGTTGAAGCAAAAACCCTTGGCTTCATCATATAATTTAATCAGATTTTTACATTCATAAAATTCGCTGAGTTTCCACTTTACACTCACTGAGGAAAAACTCACTTCCAAAATCAGTCACACCCGTTACGCATGCCTTTTAATTTTTTCTGAGGAATGGAACAAAGTAGAAACAATTTCTGATAAACTGAAATGATCTATAAAAAAAGTTCTTTCTGCTGCTGCAGATCATTTTTTAATTAAACCCCAAGAAAGAGTTCAAATTCTTGTTTAAAGTTAAATTGTTGTCACACCCGTTACAATGGAATGACCCCTTTGCACCTCCAAGGAAAGCTGTCTTCGAAACCTGTAAATATGGAACTATTTTTCAAACAGAATAGATATAGATTTTCATGTCTATGTCAGATGGTTTCCTTGTGATGGTCATAAGTCGCAGATGGTGCACATTGGCCCTTCCGTCTGTCTGATTCTGTCCGACTCATCACATACTGCATTTCGATGGTTTTTTTTTCCAGCACATTGCGCAGCTTTACCATTTGAACTCCTCGTTAGTTTTTTGCTGGGAGCACCTTATTACTACTAGTAATATCTTGCGTAATTAAAGGTATAATTCTCTTTTCCACTCACAGATGCCATCGCATTGTAATTTTAACATTTACATTAATTTTACCTCCTAATTTTGGTATGCTTGCAGGAAATATCGTCAAGCATTCTGTACATGGTTCCCTTCGTTTTTGCTACTGAAATTGAAAATAACCTTGGGTTTTCCCGATTATGTTTCAACTTTTTTAGGGCATCAAGTCTTTCCTGGCAAAGCCTGTTTCTTCCACAAATATTAATTTTATACACAATTTTGACGAGTGAGAATTTCTAAAAATTTCCTTGAATTCAGCATTGAAAATTTACCGGAATCAATGAAGGAAATGCAATGGAAACAGAAAATACTGTGCAAACCTGAATAATTTAAGAGCTCAGAAATGAGGAGAGAAAAGAATAACTAAGTTTGAAAGCATTAAGAGTAAGAAAATAGCAAAGAACTCTCCTTACCCATTTGACATAATCATGTTGAAACCAAAGAGAACCCACGGTAAGAACATGGCTTTGAACCTTGTTCCAAACCAGAAAGTTACTATCACATCTCTATTTAGCTGACACCAAACATACAGGACACTAAGAACCATTGGGTCCATCAACAGCTGCAAGGCAGAATAAAAATATTGCATTATATTTTTCGGCAAATATGAAGACCAGTTCATTACTCTTTGTGACTCGGTAAACCTTGCGGTAGATTTAATATAAATATGATTTTTCTAGTGAAAATTCTCACATCTCTTAGTGTTCAGTTGATCAATTGTGAGACAATAGGAACAAATATATTGGTCGACGCTGTTGCATATTTGGACTTAATTTGCAATGGAGTTGTTGCACATCTTTTTTTTTTTTTTCAGTTTCGTAAAGCACATAGAAAATGAGGAAACCCACAGGTTACCTTTTTCTCATTTAATCAAATTTTAGGTGGGAAAACGACTTCCAAAGTTGCCGAAAGTTCAACTTCATTTTAAACGGAAAAATATTGCCCCAACAGATTTTGTGACATTACAAGGATCATTTACCGCCATGATCTTTTCAGATGAGATTGTTTATATACATTCCGGTTGTGCAGTACCTCCAAATTTTCGAGGAAATCAGAGTTTCACTCGAAGAGGAAACAATGATTTACCTGAAAATGTTAGAAGGCTATAGCTTCTATTGAGGGGCACTTGTGGAAAAAACTGTAGAAGAAAAAGGTTTTTTATTGATCCACAGAACACACTCATGCATTATGGCTACTTGACCCAAGGACACCCGGTGTGTGCAAGTTCACACATTGTTTCTCCCTTTAAAGAACTGAATCCTTGAACGCAGCCTATTTGTACAGTTTCCAATTTGAAGAGCACAGAGACAGCATTTCGTCAAAAAAGAAACTTCCTGAAACTAAGTATTTACACTGAGTAAATTAAAATACATTTACAGTTTTTTATGTTTCGTAATAGTCCAATAAGGACAGTAATTTTTTCTGTTTCATCCTTCTTCCAGGATAAAAGCTCCATTAGGAAACAATTGACTTTACTAGCTGCAGAGATTTATGACTCTTTGTCTCTTGATTTCACTGATCCGCTGAAAAAGAGAGACAGCGAAACAATCTATCCAACATGCAAAAAAGGTAAATAAATTTACTAGATGTGGAATAGAAACTTACAGGTATATTCATTAGAAGTCCTATGATAACACAAGAAATCCAATTGAATAGTAGCATAAAAAAGTAGTCTGCAGGACGACCTTCAAAAGTACCTAAGAAGGATGGAAAAAACCAATAAAACTTGAATGATGATTGAATCAATACTTTTGACCCAGAGGCTACAATTAAGATTTTCTGATTATTGGTATGGAAATTTAAATGGATGTGTCGGTTGCTTTTGCAGTGCACTTGAAGTCCATCAGCTTTTTCACTTACAATGCTAACAAAGAGAACGTCACTCAAAAACCTCGATCAGCAACCTGGTATCATGCATTCTCTGTATGATTCCATAGCAAATTAGCTGTCCAGCATCGCACACAACCATTCCTAATGATCTCTCAAATCATTTCATTTTGAGTTTTTTTTCTCAAAATTTCAGCCAGTTTTGGCCAGAAATCCGTATCTGTAGCTTTAAACATTTTTTGAGTCTTCCTTGACTGCAACAGGAAACTGGCGTTTGTTGCTCTACTGGTTTAGAGGCTAGATGAGATGCTTTTTGATTGGGCATCTCCTCAGCAGCCTTTTTAATTTAAATGACGCCTGGTCACACTTTGCTCAGGAGATAAGGAAAAGTCAAATAACTGAGGTAGTTGAGGGACACATTCGTTCTCAGTAGTTAGATTGATATTGAGCACTGTAAAAATAACATGTTTGCAATTATTTCTTTGGTTTGTTTTCATTGATATTGAGAGTACAATACTAGGGAAAAATAAATGATTCAATAGACAAATTTATGATAGTTACAGATAATTCAGCCTTTTATAATAGACATAATTTCTCATCCTATTCCTCATCTTAAGAGAGTGATGGATTTTTTTCAGTTAAACGAATCCATTACTGATACTTAAAATGAATGAGGCAAATTTTCTTGGTGTGTAAAATCTCACTGTGACCTTTTTCTTTCATCTTTGGAAGACTCCTTGTTTCAAAGAAAAAAATAAAAGATATCAAAGAGATCTAAATAGACATAAATTCAGTAATAAGTCGGCGCAGATGTATCCTGTATCTTTACCTGTTTCCAACCGGAGAGAGTAATTATAAAGAAAATAACAGTTGATTAAAAAGTGAAATCCAGTGGAAGGAGCTAAAGGATAGAAGAACACTGATGTTATCGGTCGCCAAATCTGAAAAGCACAAAAATTTATGGGAATCAGTGGAATCAGTTGGTTGAATCTCTCTTCAGATATACTCATCATTCCATCAATGTTAATGAATTATGGATGAAAGACCTTCTCTGACAGAACAGATCAATACCTAGTACATGATCTAGTCTTAATGTGATTCTAAAAGAATATTTTTGTTTCTCTTTCAACCCAGGACTATGATCCACAAGCTTCGAAGTTCAAGTTAACTAAGAGGAAAGAATTAAAGAATTGAGAAAACCATTAATTGTAATAATGGAAGCACCTTCCAAGAGAAAATATTCAAGCATAAACAAAATAACTTGGTTTCGTTGGTTCTGGATAATGATGACTGTCAACTTCAGAGATTGTTGCCGCTACACTGCTTAAAATGATAGACAGCTCACACTATTTTTACGTTAAATTTTGACACATGAATAAGATTCTCTTGTTTAAATTTATACAGTTGATTGGTACCACGGAAGTGTGTTTCAAGCACTTGAGTTCTCACAAACCTGATTCAAACTCAAAGCATTCAACGTAGAGCAACTGTTAAAAGCTGGCGGCAGCAAACTAGCTCTGAAGACTATCTGCTTCCTTGTCAATCACTTCTTATGAAAATGTAGGTGCAAAATAAGTGGATACATACCTCAAATCCATTTATTAAAGGTTCATGAAGAAGAATGAGGTACTGTGGCTTTAAAAGACCGAATCTTCCTATGAGTGAAATTCCAACTGTTAGCCCAAGCCAGTGTCTGGTAAATGTGGGTAGATTTTGAAACCATTGACTGATGTCCGACATTATGAAGTATATGGGTCAAATCTGAAAAAAAAAAACAAGGAAATACTCAATTGAAGATGTGTTGATTAATCTCGGAGAGATTTTTGCCATTTGTGACTGTTCATGGCAAAAGGATCCTTGTCTACAAGCACTCAAGATTGAGTTATTGATACCATAAACTGGAGAAAAGTTCTGTAATCATTTTGGGACAAAAACTTCAAAAATTTCAAACCAAACCAGAGTTATATTGGTCCCAAGTCTGTGCGGCAAAAAACATAGATCCAAGAAAGAGCCCTTTGAAATTTTAGTTTGTCTAGATCAGAGTACAAAATGGCAGGACCACAATGCAACTTCATGGAACAAAAATGAACTAAACTGACCACATCTTATTACTTTTTGTTACGTCATTATAGAAAATTACCCGTCTAAATCTCTACATCTGATTTCCTTTACCTGACTAGACAAAAAAGCCTGAAAATTTAGGTTTATTTCCTGTAGATGATCCTAGTTTTTTAAAATATTCTTAGAAAAATTAAGTTTGAATTAATTTTTGATTATTTTTCATCTCACAAGTGCATTTGAACATATTTACATAAAAAAAATTGTCTACACAGGGCATTTAGTGCAGATTGACTAGTTTGTATGAATACAACCATTCAATTTTTACTGAGATAATTGTGCTTACCACGAAGAAAACAACGACTTTTGATAGACTCAGGAGGAATCATCCAGAGACATGCTACACCCGTCTCAGAACTACTTTTCGGTCTCCGATTTCTTGAGGTTGGTGAGCTGGAGAGCAGTACAGAGAGTGATAGAGCTCGCGCATCGTATTTTGCTACAAACGTCAATCTCCAATAAGCTCTTAATTCGCACCATTCAACATTTTAATACATGTAGTCAGGTGGCACCACTGGTAAATGGTGACAAAAACAATACTTTGAGATTTGTCTCAACAAACGATACACGAGCTCTAGGGGTAGGGTTGGCTTTCCTTTTTCTTCACTTCTTCCTTTTCTTGCAGCATTATAAGGTTTTAGGTTTGCTGTTGCTTTATTTTAAAAGAATCTGAGAAATATAGAAGCGTACGTAAGCAATGAAATATTGGCGGATGACAAAGCAACATTACGCAGAAAGTGGGAGCAAAAGGGGTAGTCCTCCGAGCTCTCTGCTTGGCGATCCTCGGGAGACATTAGCAACACACCTGAGTTATCCGCTCAATGTTCCTCCTAGGAGTAGACCGGGGGCTTAAGTAACACAACTAATGCTCTCGGAGGTAGTTGTAGCAAAGCGAAGGGGTTGTAAGTTAACAAATAGTAGAGAGGTTAGACTTCTTACCTAGGTTCTGATTTGAGGAAGAGGGTATATACCCGTTGTTAGGCCTGCTATCTGATCTTCAAGACCAATAATATGAAATGTATTGCAATTTTTGGTTCGTATGTGACAGAGGAATTCACAGTAAACAGGGGTTAACAGTCAGAAATTAGCGGCTAGACGAGACCATCGTTCTGATGAATTGACAGACTGAGAATCTCTGTGGGTAGAATATTTCCTTGGTAAACTACCTCGCGCTGAAAAGCGGCATGAAGTTCCGGAGAAAATAGTGAAAAAAGCACAAGAAACTCACTCGGTTAATCACAAAAATCTCGATAACTGTTCAGAATCATCACGTTAGACACGAACACAACAACAACGAATGATGAACGACCACATCCGCATGATAACAGCTCAATAGAGATGGCTAGAGTGGCAGTGCGAATGACGGATTGCGTGGCAAGGAGTAGTAAGGGGCACCTGGGCCCCGCAAGACTTCACCGTTACCTCACCTCACCTGCTCGGGCGTTGCGGGTATTTTACACTATCATTAATTTTTAAGAAAGGAATTTTAATTATAGTCACTAACTATTAACATCCCCCTCCCCAAACCTCCGGGAGTAATGAACCTCGGCCCCCTAAAATAATCGTGCATCATGGCATGGCTCTGGAGTCTGGAATTGGCGGGAAATGTCAGCCAATTAGAGGTGATCCTGTCTCCGTTATTTTCAAGTGGGGGTTGCCACCGGTTGCCACACAGCCGGACATTCTGAACTACAGACTGTCTGCTACAGTTCTTGCATGTGCATATACATATTCTTTAGTAATCAGCCAGCCATCACTCGTGCCGGAAGCCCGTGGGTTGGATTTGTAAGTCGCGATTTTCGAGCCCGAGGAAAGGACGGTTTGCAGTTTTCCTTTTCCCAGCATGATTTCAGTCATTAAGCGTTCCGTAATAGTTGTGCATTTTTAGTCTCGACTCCTCTGTTACTTCATCTTTTCAGACCTTTCTGCTCTTCCGTGATTTATCTCAAGTGCGACAGTTGATTCCTTTCGCGTAGGGACCGCGCGGTTCGCTTTTCAGTGTTTTCGCTTGGTTTTCGGAGAATCGCGTTGTGTTATTCCTGCAGTGAACGTCTCTTTGTTACTCTCATGGATACAGTTTAAGTGGTGCTTCTACCCCCTAACTTAGTGTCTTTTTTTCTTCTCGACTTACGGTTCCACATCCCTCGAATACCTCAAGATTCAATGGTCAAGGAATGTCGAGACTTGTTGCTCACCTAACCTCTGCCATGTGGTCTTGAATCACAACTTGGATGTACACACAAAACTGCATTTGATGAAAATAGTATTCTGGTGCCAAAGTTTTCCTAGACACAATGGCAAGCACAGAAACTGAGTATCCTACGCTAGAAGCGAAGAAGGTATCTGAAAATGGGGTCCGGAGTGGTAACGACGATAGCACAGAGGGAGACATTAGTGAGAAGCAGCCTTGCTTGGATCCTAAAACGAACGAAGTCAATAACGCTACGAAATTAGAAGATGATACAGATAAATCGGTTAACTTTCAAGTCGAAAGTAATTCCAAAAAGCACAAGTACAAGCCTAACAAAAGTGTATTTAAAAGTAAAAATTCACGCAATCAAACTGGAAGGTTTCCATTTAGTTTCAATTTTTCTCTCGCTAAAGTCCAAAATTATGTTCAGACCAAAACAGGCATGAACACGTGGTGGAGTGTTGTTTTTGTGTTACTTGCGTTATTACTTCTATTCTTCCTGATCTTAAGTATTGTCATGACTGCTCTCTACTGGAGGTCACAGATGGTATTTCCAGTTTGCAAAACAACTGCTTGTCTTCGAGCCTCAGCACAGGTAATACATTTTTACCTCTTTTGTCAAATTACACTTCATTAATGGCCTCAGTCCAATAAAGGAATGCATTAAAGTATCCTCCTCCCTTGTAACACAGGAGCAAGAATGTATCAATCGCTTCGCTGTAAAGAAGGGATCTTCTGCTGTGAACAGAACAACCAAGGAATGATTTTATGTACCTTCAATCCCCAGCTTGCAACATGAGAGCTTATTTTTATTTTTATTTGGGCAGAGGTTCATCATGAGTCTACTGTTGACCCCACAGAAATCCCAGATAGCACATGCATGGACATCCGTACCATACCTGCAATTTTTTTATATCCATAGAACATTCTATGAATACCTGTGTGGTATCTGGGATGCCCCTCACTTCCGAAACTTATTTATGAACTTTATATATACAATGGGACTTCTTGTAAACGCAGTCAAGCCTAGCCTACTTTATAGCTTTTGCTGATTAAGACTAGAAGTCTAAAATTTGCCCACTGCAAAAAGGTATGAATTTTAACAAGAGAGTCCAAGCTAGTTATGTCCAACTTCTGGCTCACTTAAAGGTGCAAAAAGTTCCAGTATACAGAACATCTCCTCTGGTTAGGTGTGTTTTTCTTGAGGTAAAATTTCAAATTTGCCCAACTTTTAACACTTCAGAATCCTCTACGTAATCTACAGTGACCTCTTGTTTTCTTTTTTTTTTAATTATGATATTCATTAGAGGCAGGGAAAGACAACATTGAATAAATGTTACATCAGTTAATGGCACCATTCAACAGAAATTATGTGCCAACCAACTGGCCAACTGATGACCAATGCTTACATCTTGATGTGACTTTTATCAAATCTTTTCTTTTCCCTGCCCTACCTCAAAACCGAAGGTTCCCATCATTTTTACTGCAATCTGTGGATCGTTACTTAGATTGGACTTTTTTTGCACCCTCTAACAAAACTAAGCATTAGTAAAGTTGTAAATTAAAATTAGCTTCCAACATCGTACAACACAAATTACATACACTGCATACTGCAATATGTCAATTATGCATACTACGCACAATACGCATTTTATTGTCAAATAATTTTCACTGTGTCTAAATTGCTCTTAACAAGTTTTCAAGCACCAAATTGCTCATTGCATAGAGGAAGAATCATTTTTGCGGAGCAATTGAATTATTTCTAAACTCTAATTTTCTTTCTACCTACAAGCTTTCCTTTGTTGCCAGACTTCTCGTGGTAGAATATTTGAGAAAATCTGCGAGTATTTTCCTTTTCTTGTAATGCAACAAGGGGCAGCTCAAATATTAGGTAACGCACTTTTTTCGATTTTTTAACCCCCCTCCCCCCGCGTAACGCACCTGTAACGCAGCTTCTCCCATTTTCGAAATGATTCATTCGGGAAGGGCAGGATTTGCAATTTTTTGGACGTTTTTTCAAAGTCCCCCCCCCCTCCC